TTTCTCTTTGCAAAGAGGTGACGTTGATTTCTACCACGGAGAGTCACCATTTGAATTCAGGAGAGCTATTAAGGTCGTCAACAATGTTAAAAGAGCAGTTGCACTCCTCTTAGACCAATGGCCAGAACACGCCACTTTGCAGAATATCACAAGGACTGCTATTGAGTTCACCGAATTCCCATCGAACTTCCCTATCTCAAGACTCCTTCAAAAGCTTGAGGTTATCTTCACTTACCTTAACGAATGGGAGAAGTTTGCAAGCAGCAAGGTGACCCTCAGAACTTGCTATGACGAGGTGACTGAGCTCATCGTGTCTTGGAGAAAGCTTGAACTTCTGTCTTGGAGAAAGCTTTTCGAGAACGAGGACTCTGCTTTCAGAGAGAGGGTTGGTAAATGGTGGTTCTATCTTTTCGAGACCATCATTGTTCCAATTTTCGGCCTTGATGAGGAGAATGATGAGAAGATGTCAACGATTCAACTTTTGGGCGCTTTGAACGTCTTTATGAGCGAGACCACCTACGGAGAGTTTGCGACTGGTTTACAGTTGGTTCAGGCTTTTGAGAACCATGCATCAAGGTTGGAAGGTGGCGAGAAGACTGCTAATGCTCTTCACAACTTCACGAAGTTCTACGAGCAATACATTCCCCACATCGACGAGGCCATTTCGCAAACCAAAAAGACCCTTGAGAAGGATATCAACGAGGTGATTCTTCTTGCCAGTTGGAAGGATGTTAATATCGATGCCCTCAAGCAGAGTTCCAAGAAGTCTCACAACAGTCTTTTCAAGATTGTGAGGAAGTACCGTTCCCTTTTGGCGACACCAATTTCTCCTCTTGTTCAGGCTGGTCTCGCTTCAGACTCCAAGGTATCTATTGCTGAGGTTCCTTCCATCTTGTCTGTTCAGCATCAATCTCATGACCATGACACACAGATGGCCATTCTCAAGCTTTGTGGCAAGGCATCTACTTGGGACGAGAGACCAAACAGACTCAAGAATTTGTCTATGATCGAGAACAACATGCGTGTTTTTATTGATAAAGTTAGCCGTTCAGCCGCACCATCGCTTTATGACTATGCTAAGGAGATCATCGAAGAGATGGATAGACTCAGAAAGGAGACGCCTAGCGTGATGAATGACGACACTAAGAAGGAAGTGGCTGCGTTGAAGACACAGAAACACAAGCTTTTGAGTGAAGTTTTGAAGGAGTTGAGAAGGATAGGTATCAAGACCACCGTGAAGCCGGATATCAAGAAGCTCTTGGCAACGGTGAATTTGATCTTCACCAATAGTGCTTCCTTCTCCTCCAAGAAGTTGGTCAGCGCTGATGCTTACTTCTTGCGAATTTTGGATTTGCTCCCACGTCTCAGAGCTTCAGTCTCCGAAGGTAACGATGAGGTACCACAAGCCGACCTTGAAAGAGGTTTGGCGGCCACCGAGAACTTGTTGTTTTCTTTGGTGACCGTGAGAAAGCCAACCAACAGCTTAGCGCTGTCACTTGACGAATTGGAAACTTTCAACGACGCTCTTGCGAATAAGCTCTCGGAATTGAACTCACAATCGGGCGTTCTTTGCAAAGCGTCATCTATCGAGAGTTTCTTTACCAATTTGAGAGATCTTCAGGTTTTCGTTCGCAGCTTTGAGCAATTGATGGACTATATCTCAGAGGTGATAAGGGGTGTTGTCTTCTTCACCAAGGTGTCCGATACGAGTATTCTTGAGAACCTCAGACAAACGGTGAGCCAATGGAGAGTGAAGTTATCCATTTCAGATCTCACGGTTCCCGTCGAGAGTGAACGCTCTATGTTGGAAGAGTTCAAACAGTACGTTGCACAGATTGTGAATGAGTTGGTTGCATGGAGGGATTCCAACACTGCCAACGGCTTCATTGCTCAAACCATTCTCAACTGGCTCTCCAATTGGGAGCAAAATGTGAAACCAACTTCAGAAACCGCTTCCACCAACACCGTTACAATTGAGGTACTTGAGAAGTCGCTCAGGAAACTCTCCAACTCGATTCTTGTTTCCGTACAGCGGGTTGTTGAACTACACGATGAGGACATCAGCCAGGACGACGACAAGTGGTTACAAGAATCCCAACAGAGACTTTCCCAAGCAATGAAGGCCCTCCACCACGAGAGCATCAACTCTCTTCTCAGAAATGTCAGATCTAATTTGTTGAACATCGAGCACGATCTGGAGACATCAGCTGTGAGTGCCGCTTTGATGAGTTTCACCTTGCCCTTGGTCCAGTTGTACTACAAGCTCGCCTCTGCAATTCAAATGAGAGCTCGTGAGAACTACATCCAGATTTCCAGATCCACCTATGTCTTGGCCACTGCCCTTCACAAATTGGCTTCGTCCGGTTTCTGTTCTCCAGAGCCTCCACAGGAGCAGAAGAAGGACGATAACTTGCAAGATGGTACTGGATTAGGTGACGGAGAAGGTGCCACGAACAACTCAAAGGATGCTGAAGACGATGATTTGGACGAGCATGCTCAGCAGCCAAACGAGGAGAACGAGAAAGATAAAGATGACGGCGAGGAGGAAGACGACGACGACGCTGTCGACATCGAAGGAGACATGGCTGGAGATCTCGAGGATGCCTCTGACCAGGAGAAGGATGAAAATGACGATGGTGATGAGGAGCAGGACCTCGACGAGGAAGTTGACGACATCGATGATCTTGACCCCAATGCCGTCGACGAGAAAATGTGGGACGAGGAAGCCAAGGATGACTCCAAGGAGAAGGAGTCGGACAAGATGCCACAAAATTCTGTGAACGACGACGACAATATGGAAGCCATGGAAGACGAAGATCAGAAGCAGGAAGAAGGTGACAATCAAGAGGGAGAAGAAGGAGAAGAAGAAGAGAAGGAGAACGACGGAGAGTCAGAAGACGACGGTGAAGACGTTGGTGAACAAGAAGACGAGGTGAAGAACGACGAGAACGAACAGCTCGATGACTACGTCCCTGAGACTGAAGCTTTAGATTTACCCGAGGACATGAACTTGGACGATGAAAATGAAGACGAAGCTGCTCAAGACGAAGACGAAGGTGACGAGAAGTTCGAAGACGACTTGGACAAGAACGAGAAGGAGGAAGAGAAACTGTCTGATGAAAAGGACGAGGAACCCGCTGATGCTGAAGCCGATGCCGAAGAAGCAAACGAGGAAGAAGCTTCGATGGAACAGGATGAAGAAGACGACGCCAAAGAAGGTGCTGGCGATGACAAGGAAGTCGACGAAGAACCACAAGAAGCTTCTGACGACGAAACTGTGAATGGTCCAGAAGAAGGTGAAGAGGAGAAGGATGATGAGCCCGACTCTGCTGAAAATGGTGATCTTGAAGCTGATGGACTCGATGGAGCCGAACAAGATCAAGACGAGGATGTTGACATGGACGCTGCTTCCAAGGCTGCTGTAGGCGATAAGGGCGATGGTGCTGATCAAGAAGTCCTCGAGGACCAGGATGATGTTGGTGCCTCAGGAACTGCCTCTTCTGAAATGCAACAACAGGAAGACAGAGATCAGGATTCCAACGACAACTCCAACAGTGAGATCAAGGAGTCTTTGAAGCAATTGGGAGATTCGTTGAAGGAATTCCATCGCCGCAGACAAGAGATCAAGGAAGCTAGTCAGAGGGATCAAGAAGAGCAAGAAGCAAAGGCTGACGTTAGACCTGATGAATTCGAACATGTCGAAGGAGAAAACACCGAGCAGGATACTCAAGCGCTTGGTGCTGCTGACAATCAGGATCAGATTCAACGTATCGACGAGGATAAAGCCATCGATGATGACGAAGAGATTCCTGAACGCGAGGAAGTCGATGAAAAGAAGGATCCTGACGCAATGGACATCGAACAAGGAGACGAGGAAGCAGCTCAAGAAGGTGAAGAAACGAACCAAGAAGCCGATTCAGAGAATGTTGGTGCTGTGCTAGGCGAGAGAAGAATCGTTAAAGAAGAGGACCAGGATATCGATCTCGCAGCCGAAGACCTTGAGGAAACGAAGGCCGAGGTTGACATGAAGAATCATCTTGATGACGATTACGAACTAGGCAGTGACGAAGTCCCAGCACACGATCTCATTACATCCAGAGAGCTCTGGAACCACAGCGAACTTGCTACTCAAGAGTTGTCATCCGGTTTGTGTGAGCAGTTGAGATTGATTTTGGAGCCTACTTTGGCCACTAAATTGAGAGGTGACTACAAGACCGGTAAGAGGCTCAACATGAAGAGAATCATTCCATACATCGCTTCGGAGTTCAGAAAGGACAAGATCTGGCTCAGAAGAACCAAGCCATCCAAGAGACAGTACCAGATCATGATCTCTGTGGACAACTCCAAGTCCATGAGTGAGAGTAAGGTCACCGAGTTGACATTGCATAGTATTGCCCTTGTCTCCAAGGCTCTCACCCAACTTGAAAGTGGTGGATTGTCGATTGTGAGATTTGGTGAGGATGTGAAGCTTCTTCACCCATTTGACAAACCTTTCAATCAAGAAACCGGTGCTCGTGTTTTCCAGTGGCTTGACTTCCAACAGGAGCGCACAGACATCAAGCTGTTATGCTCAAAGTCTTTGAAGATTTTCGAAAATGCTAGAGCCTCTTCAGGTGCCGACTTGTGGCAACTTCAAATCATCATTTCTGATGGTGTCTGCGAGGACCACGAGACAGTTGAACGGATGGTCAGACAAGCTAGAGAAGAGAAGGTTATGTTGGTTTTCGTTGTGATCGACGGAATTACATCGAACGAGTCGATCCTCGATATGTCCCAGGTGAGTTACGTTCCTGATGCCAATACAGGTGCTATGACGTTGAAGGTGAACAAGTACTTGGACACCTTCCCATTCGAGTTCTACGTTGTGGTGAGAAGTATCAAGGAGTTGCCAGAGATGCTCTCGTTGATTTTGAGACAATACTTTACAGAAGTCGCTAGTGTTTGATTCATGCAATTGGATTATTTAAAAATGCAAAATTAAGATAACGATCGTGGTAGGATTAGAGATCGTAGTATGTGGATGGCGCTCTGAGAGGCCCTGGGGGCTTGGAAGGGCCCGACGACTTCTTCGACTGAGATGCTGATTTCTTGGATGGGATGTTAGGAACAACTTTGGCGAGGCAGATGGACATGTCGTCAAGCTTACCACCCAAACTGATGTTCTTGCCAAAACGGTTCTCGGGGAGTTTGTTGACCATTTCGTTGTAAGGCGTGTAGGCGTTATCATCGTAGGCCGTCAGCTTTGCCTTTCTGAGTATCTTGTTAGCGACAGCACGCATGTCATCATTTTTGAAATGGGTGTACTCGTCGATCATATGGGCGATTTCCCAGTCATGCAAATTGTCAGTGATACCATCGGAACACATGACGATAATGTCATCGGGCTGGAGCTTGATGGAGTCAACCCATGCGACCTCTGAAGGCATCACATTGAGCGTCTGTGTTCCAATTTGCTGAGGACACAAGTCGGAGACAAGCTGTTCCTCGTTGGTCTTGATGATCTTACCCTTACGCACAATGAAGATCTTAGAATCACCGATGCTGATCATCTTGAGGTATTCGCCACTCAACATGCACAAGACGAGCGTCAGGGAGCCTCTCAAGTCCTGGAGGTCCATCAAGTGGGAAGTATGCAAGTAGGAGTCGTCCAAAATCTGGTCGATGTCTCTCTTATTAAGATGGTGAGGCGCAGTGTTGAGCTTGTACTCCGTCATGAGACGACTGAGCGTTTCCACCATGGATCTAGACCAGATGCCCAGGGAGCACTGCTCCCCCTTGGACTCCCAGCCTGACACGCCATCGGCGATAGCCATGACCGTCGGAGATACCAACATGGCGTCGTCGCCAGCCTTGATGGAGAGCGTATCGGCAGGAGAGCCCTGGGGCCTCCTTCTAGGCAAAAGACTATTGAGTTGTGTTGGGTCTGTCAAGTCACTAAGGGAATGCACGGTAGGGTCCGAAACCGTGGAATGATGGGCAAACAGAGCGTGTCCTAGCTGGAACTTGAAGCGGTCATTGCTGATGTACTTCATCTGCTCACTGGTGACCACGGGATACTGAATATATGGATTGTTGGCGTTCTCCCTCTCTTCCTTCTTCTCGATGTCAAGCTGGCGTTGCAGCTTACCAAACATGGAACGGACACTTCCAAAGAAACCCGTGCCCGACAGCAGGGTGGACTCCACCGCTTCTCGTAGGTAGCGGGATGCCAGTGTGAAAGATCTCCTGGCAATAAACATGGTAGTGGTATGGTTTACAAATTCCCTGTATCGAGGGGATCAGCCTGTTTAAGTAGTACAGCCTGCAAGAGAGTTCTGTGCATGAGTCCGATGGCGCACCTACTCCGAGAGGCTAGCTTTGTGTGCTGGCTGCAGGATAGCCCCGCTGGCGGGGTGTTTCCTCATTGCTTTTTTGATTATTTTCCTCTACTATGGCGTCCAAATAGCCGTTTTGCAGCCACTAGCGCAGTCCGAGTCAGAATCGTGAATTCAACCCAAACCACTCCCACTACACCGCCAGCTTCAGTGGCACCACCACGTGATGCTATAGAATTGCCTTATCGGGGGCTGTCAAGTCCCCCCATTCTTCCATTATGTACATACTTACTCGCGCACAACAGCATTGTAGATAACCTTGTACGGAGGGGTGAGCCCCGTGTGGACCTCAAACTGCCTCTCTCCTTGGTTCACCAACATCTCCACACCAGGAACAACTGTCCACTGGTACTTGTCCTGGGCGATCTTCATCATTGGTGTAACACGTGGTTTGTACACAGCGTCGAGAAGCGTGGGGTTGAAGCCACCTTTCTTGGCCAGAGCCCCACGGTGGAGCAAACTCTCAACGCTGTTGAGGAGATTCTCGTCAAGAGGCTTGTCTGCAGCTACACAAGACACGGCAAGAGAGACGGGCTCTGCTGCTTCGACTTGCTCCTTGGATTCTAAGATTTCAATGTTGAAATTCTGAGGCAACTGGTCTCTAATCTCGTAGAGTTTAGAAGCCGTACGGTTGATCATGTAGATTTTAGAGCAGCCAATTTGGTGCAAGGCATAAGCGGCGGCTCTGGCAGTGCCACCACCGCCAATAACCAAACCGTTCACTGAAGCGTGCTCAATAGCAGGCACACCGTTTCTGGTGAAAGCCTTGGTGATACCGTACCAATCCGTATTGTCACCCAAGAACTTACCGGGCTGACCCTTAAGGGGAACCACAGTGTTGACTGCACCAATAAGCTTGGCAGCGTCCGAGAGCTCGTCGGTGTACTTCATGATATCGAGCTTCAAAGGCATGGTGACAGCCAAACCTCCAAAATCAGGCTTCGAGATCAACTCCTTGTAGACCTCTTCAGCGTTACTGCTTTCGAAACGGCCAAATTTAAACGGTAAGTTCAATTCCTGGTAGGCAGAGCCGTGGAGATCTGGCGAACGAGAGTGCTCGATAGGAGAGCCCACAACGTTGAACTGCTTCTTAGTCAAGATACCAATCTGGCTGAGTGAGCTGTTGATCTCGGCAAGAGTGACTTCTCCGTCTGACGGAATTCCAGGCAAGAGTTCGCTAGTGATCGGCGTGAAGACCTTGTTCAATACCTTCGACAACTTACCTTCCTCACCGTGGTTGTATGCAATGAGTGGAGTGCTCTGGTGAGCAGTCTTGAAGTTTTCAACGTCGATGTTCTCTTGGAAATCAGTGGCAGTGCCAACCAACTTGATCACATCAGCGTTCAAACTGAAAGCAGCATTGTATCTGTTGTCCCAAGCAGGGTCACTCCACTTATGCTCCCCCTTCAAGTCAACGTAGGAGGCGATAATCTTGGTGAAGCCCTTCTTACCGAAAATCTGCTTGGTAATCTTCACCGGAATATTCAACTGGAGATCCAAGTACTCAACACCCAATTTGATGGCCAATCCCGTCAAGTCCTGGTACTTCTCGATGTCCTCATCAGGGAAAGCACCACCTTGGCTCTTGGTACGCACAGTGAAGATGATAGGCAAGTTGACGTATTTTCTGAGAATAGCCACTTGCTCAGCAACGTAGGTGGAGGTGTGCTCCTTCAAGAGATCAACTCTCAATTCGACAGCAGAGGAGGCTGCAGTGATGTCTTCCAAGTCCTCAGCAATATCCTCCAAGTTTTCATGCGTGAGACCAACAGCGTAAGATCTTGTTGTTGGAACCCTGGTAACCTCGAGGCCGGTGATGGTTTTGATGAAGTTTGAGAACGACTGCCTCAACTTCTTGAACTCATTATCGGTGGAGCAATGAGCAGAGTAGAAGAGGAAGTTTGAGCATTCGTGGTACCACTTTTCTCTTCTCTGCCAAACCTCCTTGATCTCGCTGATGTATGCTGGTCTTGTAGCGTCCGAGTTCAAGAAGATGATGGTCTCGTCCAAGTCACGGTGCAAGTGAAGAACAATTCCAGACTTGGCGTAGTTCTTGAGAAGCGTTCTCGATTCTTCGCCTTCGACGATTCCGCCACCAGTGGAGATGATGTAGCCGGTTGACTTCTCGGTGACAATCTGCTTGAAAATCGTGGACTCAATTTCACGGAACTTCTCCCAGCCCTCCTTCTTGATGAACTCTCTGATATCGCCATGCTGCTCCTCAAAGGCATCATCAGCATCGATGAGCTTGAAACCGAGCAAGTTGGCCATCCAGCGACTCACAGTAGACTTACCAGCAGCTCTCATTCCAATGACAACAATGGACTTGTCACCGTTCTTTCTAGCATTGGCCAAAAGACTCACATCGTTCAAATCCTTGGGTGGCTCAAATCCATCAAGTTCAGCACCAAACTTGGTGTGCAAGATGTCCCACCATCCAGGCCATGTCTTACCAGTACAAGATCTCTCTGTGATGAGAACGGGCTCAGGGCACATACCAGCCAACAAGGAGAAAGACATGGCGACTCTGTGGTCATCATAAGTCTTGACACCGCCTTGGGTAGCAGAAGGAACCTTCAACTTTCTGTAGTCAATGCCGTGAATTTCAATACCATCTGGAAGCTCGTTAGCAGTGACACCAAACTTGGCAAGTTCATCCACCATGGCTTTAATTCTGTTACACTCCTTCACCCTCTGGTTAGCAATACCGGTGATTTGGGTGGGTGTCGAGTCATTTGCAATGGCAGCAACAACAGAAGCTGTAAGGAAAGCGTCAGTCATTGGCTCCATATCAACATGCTTCAATGGCTTGAGAGATCCTCTAGAAGGACCTTGAACAGTAGTAGAAGTGGCAGTTTGTTCTACAGTGCATCCCATTGGCTTCAACACATCAACAGCAAATCTGGCATCGCCCTGTAGAGAAGAAGAGCCGATGTTAGGCACAGTGCAAGAAGTGCCGGTCATGGCGGCGAAAGCCAAGGGGTATGTAGCTGAAGATGCATCAGACTCGATCTCATAGACCTCAGGGTTTTTGTAGGAGCCCTTTGGAATATGGTAGGTGTACTCTTCCGTCGTGGACTTGGTAACTTCAATACCAAAAGCCTTCATCATGGAAATGGTCATGTCGATGTACAACTGGGAAATTGGCTTACCTCCAACGAGGGCTAAAGTAACCTCTTCCTGGGCATATGGAGCGCACATCAAGATAGAAGAGACGTATTGAGAGGAGATAGTGGCACCGAGCTCGATTCTACCACCTTTCAATCCTTTGCCAGCGGTGATCTTCAAAGGCAAGGAGCCCTGGCTGTTCAAGTATTCCACCTCAGAGCCATTACTCCTCAAAGCATCCACCAAAGGACCAATGGGTCTCTCTTGCATTCTAGCATTACCAGTCAAGACAGTGTAGTCGTTTGACTGTTTGTTGATCTGGACGAGAGAGGCAACGGTGGTCAAGAAACGAGAGGCTGTACCGGCGTTACCCAAGTAGATTTGGTCATCACAGGTGATCATGCTGCCACCGTTACCGGTGACAACGATAGTTTCACCGTTGTCTTCCGTCGAGATTTCGGCACCCTTCAAAGCTGCAACGGCAGCCAACATATGTTTCGTGTCGTCGGAATGTAAGAGGTTCTTGATTTTGACAGTTCCTGAACCGAGGGCGGCCAAGATCAAAGCTCTATTGGAGATGGACTTGGAGCCTGGTGGAATCACTGTATTGGTGGATGGGGTAGCTGATTCGCTGAATGGCAGAACCAAAGTCTCATCTGTAAGGACAAACCTGAGATCCTGCTGGGAGACCTCGTGGGCCTTCCACTGGTAGCATTTACCAATGGCCTCGAGAATCACAGTTCTGATCTTAGAACCATCGTTCTTTTTGTCCACAGCCATCTTTTTCAATAAGCTGTCAATAACAACAAAGTGCCTCTTGAAACCAACGTTCAGAAGGAAGGTTTTGTCGTTGATCGATGTGGGAAGGTTATAAGCATTGAGGCACTTCACGAGTCTGGCAACACCAACCGGGCTCAAAATACCCCAGTATCTGGACAATTCAGCCTCAAGGACCATACCAATAGAAACACACTCACCATGGAGTGCCTGTGGAGTGACAATGGCCTCAATAGCATGGCCGATGGTATGGCCAAAATTAAGAAGATTTCTTAAACTGGATTCCTTCTCATCCTTGGACACGACATCTGCCTTGACTCTAATGGAACCCAACACGGTCTTGACCAAGTCTTCTTTGATCTCCTTGAGATCAATAGAGTCGGAGCTGACGACCTTCAAGAAGGTAGGTGCAAAGTTCTCAAGTCTTGTGAACTCAGGTTCGTCCCAGATAGCAGCGGTCTTCACCACCTCTGCCATACCATTGATAAACTGCCTCGTAGGCAACGTTTCCAAGAAAGACACATCGACAAAGACATATTTAGGCTGATGGAAAGCACCAATGAAGTTCTTACCCAAAGGTGTATCAATGGCAGTCTTTCCACCCACAGCAGAATCCACCATTGCAAGCAATGTCGTGGGAACCTGGACAACACGAACACCTCTCATGAACGTAGCAGCCACGAAGCCAATCATGTCACCCACAACACCACCACCCACAGCCAAAATGACGGTATCTCTCGTGCATCCACTTAATAAGAGGAAGTCTTCCACTTTGGCTTTGGTCTCACGGGATTTGTTGTTTTCACCGGGCGACACAGCATATGTAAGAAGTCTCAGGTCAGGTCTCTGTTCCTTGATTTGTGACTCAAAAGAAGCCCTCAATTTCTGGAATGGGGCAGTCTTCTCCATATTCTCATCAGTGACGATAACATAGGTAGATGTAGCTAGGTTGGAGAGAGTCTCCTTCACAATATGGTCCTGGATCCCGTACCCCACATGAATGGAGTCGGTTCCGAGGATCTTCACCTTTTCTACCTGAGCCATTGAGTAGACGTACTAGGCTCTGATATCAGTAGATTTTCAATTTTCCAGATTATGACTGATTTTCGCGGCCAACTTTGATAGTGCAGTACTTGACACTAGGGTTGCAAAATTGACACAGTGAGGCACCTACACACGATCACATTCTCATGAAATATTATTTTATTTTTTTTTCCCGGAATTTTTTGACAGCTGATCATCACATGTCAATTTATTCCTAGAGCACCTGGCGAATGTGCTCGATGCATTCCTCTGGGGTTGCCTGAGGATGGTCTAGCTGCCACTTCATTACCTCATCGGTGACTTCTCTCATCCATGGGCCTGGCTTTTTGTCGAGCTCTTTAGAAATTCTTTTTCCGTCCACAATGGGTTTCAAGTGAGCCACATCCTCTAACCCTTTATCTCTTATGGTCTCCAATAGACTCTCGTATTGGAAGACAGTTTCTCTGAATTTGTCTTCATCCAAAGGTGCGTTGATGCCCTCTGGAGTTGGGGTCTCCCCGGTGAGGTCCACGATTTCCAAACCATCGAGGTAATCACTGAAAGCACCAAAGGCGATGTATAGCTTGAAATGCTCACCGTACTGGCGCATGTACAAACCAAGGTCTGAACGACTGATGGAAGCTGGATTCTCGAAATATTTGTCGAAAGTGGTAACCCCACTGGAGTTTTTCAAGATATTACTAACAGTATCGTAATCGTGCTTACCGAGCCTGAGACCTTCCTTGAGAATAACTTCAGGATAGTGGGTGACTGCCTGCTTGCGTGCATTGAGCTTGACAGAAATCTCACTGTAGGGCTCGAGAATCAAGGAGAGCCACAAAGCTCTAGTTGCAGCTTTATCGTTTAGTATCAGCTCGTAGACACTTTGCAACAAAGGTGCCTCAGATGAGTGTTTGATGGAATCCACGAACGAGTGAAGGTATTGTGTTGCAGCGTCTATACGTAAAGACACCTTCAGGTCCAAATGATCAATCTGCTGAATTGCGTCCGGATTGAGCTCTTCGATAGTGCTTCTGAGGGTGCCAGGGTTGAAAATGCTGTTGCTGAAACCAACATGATTTGTCAAGCGAAGACCATAGCTAGGATTGTTTCCGGTGAGAGTCTTGTCTGTCTCAACACCAACGCGCTCCCTACTTATCTTATGGATCAAAGAGCTTCTGATATTGGCGTCCTTCATAGCTTCGATGGCTTCAGCGTCAATGGTAAAATTAAAGCGGGAAGCAAATCTGATAAGTCTCAACACTCTTAAAGGATCGTCCATGAATGTCTGAAAAGGCTGCAACGGCGTTCTGAGCACGCCATTCTTGAGGTCCTCTATACCTCTTCCAGTGAAATCTTCAACTTCGCTCTTATTAAGATTGTAAAAGAGGGCATTGAGTGTCGCATCACGCCTTAAAGCATCCTCTTCCGCAGTTCCACAATCGATAATGGGTACCCTGCTGTCTTCCGTATATTTTTCACTTCTGAGGTTGACAAAGTCTATGTCCAAGCCAAAGAGCTTTGCTGTGCAAGTTTCCAAATGCTTTGACTTTTCTGGGTTCTTCTTGATGGTATGAAGACTTGTGGAGTTTCTGCCCAAGTCTATGCCTTGTTGTTCGGTGTATTCGAGTAACCTAGATGCAAAGTCTTCTCCTGAGAGCACGTTTATAGCTATATCAAGGTCGTGACTCTCTTGTCCGAGAAGTTTATCCCTCACCCATCCACCTGTTATTCTCAATTCCAACTTGTCATCCGCAGAGACCTTGGAATTATAACTGTCACAAAAGTTCACCAAGAGGTTACGGATCGTCTGTTCCCTATCGTCTAGGACAATGTTTGATTTAACCATGCTGGCTGGTGGTTTTGTCGATGCAGATGAAATAAAATGTTGAAATGAATGTGTCAATCGGTGGTATTTAATTCTATGGAGGTTGAGGGATCTTGCACTGGGGAAAAGGCAGTATCTCATCGATGGGTCCTATTCTCGAGAAGTGAGGCATATCGCACGCACCTATAAATCTGAGCATCACAAATTCTTATACCACCTCCTCAGTGTTGCTTCAATGGCCGTGATAGCAACAGGGTCGATGTCAAATTGACTATTAAGTATCGTGATTTCCTTTGTTTTCATTTAAATCGGCTGCTTACCCAAAAAAGCCTATAATTCCGTTCACAGGCATAATTTGATGGTTTTGAGTACTGAGTGAGGAATAAAGAAAAGTGAGTGATATTTTGCAACTTTTTTGAGAAAAAATGAGGTATTTTCAACAAAATTGAGTATTGCACATAGACTACCCACATCATTTTATGCTGAAGTAACCGCCTGCGTGGCGTAATGGTTAGCGCATTTGACTTCTAATCAAAAGATTCCGGGTTCGAGTCCCGGCGTGGGTTCTTCTTTGCGGTTTTAGCTCAGTTGGGAGAGCGTCAGACTGAAGATCTGGAGGTCCTGTGTTCGATCCACAGAAATCGCATATATTTTTAATTTTTTGCATTTTCTTTCACTCAGTTGATATAGTCTTGGGTTAAGAGGTCAGAACTGGCTGTCCAGGCGTGGTGGACAAGGCATGTCGTGAGAGTCGTAGAGGAAAGCACGAGCTTGGCAACAGAATTACATGTTTCTCTTATATTATCTATTAATGCTACTTCAAGCGTAGTTTCTTCTCGTTCCAGTACCCAATTGCTTCGTCTGTGTGATTAAGTGCATCGTGAAGCTCGTGGATTTTATCGATGTTGCAACCGTGGTGCACGAGGAGTTCTGATATGACGAAATACTCCCGAACGGTTCCCTCCTCATCAACCTCAACTAGCTTTCTCAACGAGTATTCAAAGATGTTGATTGTGATAGGTTGGACATGAGCACTTTGAGAGCCCATTTGAAGAGGTAGGTTGGGGTTTCCGCCACAATTAAGAGCCTTGATAACATTAGCAATGTCAATCTTCCTAACAGCGTTAACAAGTAGCTCATCGTGGTTCAATGACTTGTCAACGAAAGCACGGTCGATGTATTTGTCCCTGATAAATGACAAGCGGTTGTCATTGTCAATGTCTGGTGATATTTGATACTTCTTGCTCAGTAAGTATCTGTTGACCTGTGAGTTGTTGATGTAATTAAGAAGAACTCTGTTTTCATTCTCGAAGTTATCAAGCTTCAAAGACTTCACCTTAGAAACATGCGAGCCCAAACTGCGGTGGCATGAAGAGCACTTCACACAAAGAGTAACCAAGAATGTGACTGAGATCCATTCAACAGATTGGGAAGAGCCACAATCGGCACAGTAGCTGTTGTTGCTATCTGGGATGGTGTGCACCGCTCTGAGGTAGTCGATCTCTTTTACATCTGGAGAGCCAATTTTGCTTGAAATAATCGAAACTGGGGAACCATGTTTGTCATCGTCCATATCATCTTTGGCGAATGATGGCTTCTCAAGATGAAGATTCGGTTTGTTCGATTTGCGTTTCTTTTCAGCAGCCACAAGGCGCTGGGTGATTTGGCCCGCATTGTACAACGCTTTGATCCATTTGTCCCTGTCATCATCATTAATGGCTTGGAAGACGTGCTTCTGACCCTTCGAAGTCATAATCTCAAAACAGAATTGTCTCTTATCATACGTGATAGGTTTCACGCTTGCTAAAGCAATATCAATGGGTTTGTTGATAAGAGACTTACCTTTTCTCCAATCTGAGTATTCCTTTAGCTGTCCGTCTCTAAGAACAACCCATTCCTTATGCCATCCTGGTTTGCCCTTACCTCCTAGCGCGTATAGTATACCTGAGATTTCAGAATTTTGATCATCTGTGAAAATCTGAGGGGTGCTTTGATGAAATGTTAAGGTGGGCGCTGGTCTCTGACCGGATCCAGAGGCAAACACCAAATCCACTTTGGAAGAGGACATGACTCGATTGATTGCACTCTCAGATTCAAGCATCTCTTTGGTAGGATTCAATGGATTTAACTTGACCACTTCAGAAAGCTCCTCATTGTTAGCACATGCCTCAATGGTTTGACGGTATTGTAGCTTTTCACTGTTGAAGCGTGACATGGTATTGAGGTAGACACTGGCATCATCACTTAAAAGCTTTTGATTAGTTTTGAAGTCCTTAATGTCAGACTTCTGACTCTTGAATTTGGAACTGGAAAATTTGAGTAAGTTTTCCAAGAATTGATTGAAGTACTGATTGTTGGAGGCGAGATTAAGCGAGTTTAAATAATCGAACTTTGACAACTCGAAAAGTTTTCTCTTTGCAAGGAGCTTCAGCTCAGGCCTGTCCTTCTCGTTAGAGAGGTATTTATTAAGCCATTCATAATACTCTTTCGAGTTCTTTTCAAAAGTCTTCTTCGCAGGTGACGATTCTGCGCCATCGTGAGGAGTCACGTCGGAAAGATACGTCAACATTTTGGTGAGGAGAGTCGAGTTCAATACCTCTTTAAGTATAAATGACATGCGCTTTTCAATCACATCAAAAAATATAAGGAAGTTCTTTTGGAATAGTCTTGGAAGATCAAGTCGAAGAAGCAATGGGTTGAATTGAGAATCGACCAATATATCCAAGGTGTCAATTATACTTCTCTTGGAACTGATGATCTTTCTGAATGTTGATTCCATGTAGCTTGCATCCTCACACAATGCATGAACAGCCTTTCGTAGTTTTGGGAGGTTCTTCTCATAACCCGAAAGACATCCTCTGAACTCCGGCCCATCTTCTGTACTGAACACAAAGGCTTGCTTAAAATCTGAAAGCGTAAATGTTGGTTCACGATCCTTCGGTGGACATGGAAGTGCCTTCTCTCGCAGAGGTTGCGGAGGAGCCCGAGTCTCATCGGCCCCTTCAATTGGGTCCACCCAAAACGAGAAAGTGAGAAGCAACGAAGGCTCCTTCTCCGTGTTATCCTGTTCCCAAAGAAAATAGTTGAGCTTCCCATTGGAGAATTTGGCTGGGTCATACGTATCGTTCACAATTATCTCGTAGTCAGACGAGTCCAGCTGGAACTTCGAAAACGCAATTTTCGATACCTCCCGAGACTTGCTCTCTAGGTCATCACTCATGAGAAATTGCCTTAAATGATCGTGGCTAGTATCCTCGCCCAATGTCTTCAAGATCACCAAGGAGTGTTCATCATGGAGATCTCTCTTCGCAAAGCGAAGGTGCAATTTGGATTTATGAAATTGACCTGGTACCGAGAGAAGTAACGGAAACTCGGGCAGCTCATTCGAAACATATTTCAATGGACCCGCTAGGCTTTTCTTGGATTGTGTGTTGAATTTGGTTATCGAGACGCAGCTGTTCTCGGAAATCTGCGCTTGATATCTTTCAGTATCCTCCACGTTCGTAATCTGTAGTCGCAGAAGGCTTGCTATAGATGGATCTACCGAGGCGTAGGGTAGCGCCAAGGGAAAGACCGAAACCATTATGAAATAACTGTGGTAGTAAAAGAAGCTTCACAACAAGAGTAGGCTAAGTCTGGCTGCATTTCCTGCAGCTGCGCCCGTAATTCAACGCCTCCAAAAATACACCATTACCACCTTCCATAATTAGGCTTGATATTATTGAAGGCAATGTTGAGATGAATTGAGCTTTAGAGTGGACCGTTACTTTTTGCCTTTTTCGGTACAAGCACAGAGTTACCCCGTTTAGTAGTACAAGGTGATAGGCGGCCTACTCGAGAGCAAAACAATATCTAGAGCTTGGAAGTCTGTAAATTAGTTAGATAAGGGTTAAAAACGCTCAAGGTACCAATTTCGAAGCTATTGCACGGTGAAAACTACAAGTTACACTTCTAGCAGAACTGCAAGTGCGATGAGCATATCGGGTAGAGTTTTGACTGAGCAATACCTTATGTCACACAAAACGCATTCGTAAGAATATAGCACCAATTTGTCACTCGATTTAACTCGACTTTAGTACCCTCCCCTTGACACAAAGTGTTTTGTCAGCAAAATATTTGGTGTGCATATAAGGTATATCAAGCATCGATTAGAGGGCAATCTGTTCGAGTTAGTAGCATCGAATACATCATCCCTGTCTTTCATCATGTCAGTCCTAGTCGACGATAGCAGGTCTAATGATATGTGTCCGATCTGCAAGACAGATCGGTACTTGTCGCCAAATATGACCTTCCTAATAAACCCAGAGTGCTACCATAAGATATGTGAATCATGCGTTGACCGTATATTCTCCCTTGGACCGGCCCAATGCCCGTACCCAAAATGCCACAAGATGCTCAGAAAGAATAGATTCAAGAAGCAAGTGTTTGATGATATCAAGATTGAACGAGAGGTTGATATGAGGAAAAGAATCCATTCTATATACAACAAGTCAGAGGAAGACTTTCCTGACCTAAAAGAATACAATGCATACCTCGAATACATCGAGAATCTCATTTTCAATTTGTCTAATGGAATAGACGTGGAAAAGACGGAAGAGGAGGTGAATAAATACGAGGCGGACCATAAGATTGAGATTCTAGAAAGAGCAATGAGAGAGAGTGAAAAGGATGCCGACCTCACCAAATATCAGGAAGCAACGGAAAGGCTCAAACAGGAGAAGCTCAAAATTCAAAGACAGATGGAATTGGAAGATATGGAATTCCAGCAACAGCAAAAACAAGAACTCATGGAGAGATTGTCATCCTCTGACGCCAATGCCGAAGAAATTATGAAGGAACAACGAAGCCAGCAAGCCAAAAGGACAAATCAACGTAAAAGACAATTACAACAAATCTCCAACCAATTGGACCAACAGTTTGCTTCTGCGAATGACGCCTCAAAGAAGGAACTCGCAGGAAACAAGACACCATTCACACCATTCCAAGGTGACAGAGATCTACATAAACAGTATTCATTCTTGGGTGCCTCGGCCGACGCTTCCAAGGAGTCGCAAGATGCATATTATGATCCATTTGTCAGCCAGCTTTCGAAGAACAAGGAATACTTGGGAGGTGGCTGGCGTATCGAGCAGGTTTTGGAGAGAGCATTGGACGAGGCCTTCATGGGGTTGCATTGCTTTGTGGAGAAGGAGAAGCAGCATGAGGTATCTACAGCTTAGTAGAATTGCATGATAGAATTAATGTCTATAATTGTAGGAGATCCTCATTATTGTCTTGAGGAGATGGTTTTTTGGGAACATCCCCTAGAGGGATGAACTTGTGTTTTTGTGGCGCCTTAGCTTGAGAAGGTGTCGGCAGCCCGAGTAAATCGTCTAGCGTTTCTGTTTTAGCAGGCTTCTTCGGGCTGACCGAGAAATTAGAGAAGGCATCGTCTATGCCAAATACTTCTGGCTCAGGCGCTGGTGCTGGCTTCGACAGCTTTGGTGTGCCATTGGGTTTCATAACATCTTTAAAGGTGCCTTTGTTAGGAGTAACGGGAGTACTGGTTGGACTTTGAGGAGGCAAGCTAGTCGAACTAGGATCGTGAGTAGTGTCCATGGAGCTCTTAGAGCTTCCAATGGTATTCATATCCAGGTCAGACGGATCAGTAGTACCACTGCTTTTACTTTTACCAAAGCTGAACAATGTTCCGAAGAAGTTTTGGTTTTTGCTCTCCCTCTTCAGCTTAATCGCCGCATTCAATGCTTTGTCGTACTCCTCTTCCTTTCTCTTCATACGCTCCATATATCTGTCGTGATCCCTTTGCTTTCTTTCGCTCACCCGCTTGGAAGCCTGCTCCAAACGCTGAGCTTTGATAACGTCAATGCGATCTTGAATAAACCTGTGGCTCTCGCTATCGACGACTTGATGAAGTCTAACTGGGAGTGAGGGTTTTCTAACCGCTGGAAATGCAGCTTTTGTAGGTGATGTCACAGGAACAGGGCTCTTGGACTGACTTCGTAGCTGCTCCTTCCGTGCTCGAATGTACAGATCACCCGAAGACCACGCAAATAAAGCATTCGCCGTCTTCAGAACTGAAGGTACCTGTTCTGACACCAGAGTTTCTGAGACAGCAGCATCGCTCCCTTCCCAGGAGCGAACTTTCTTCATCAGTAAGGACTTAAGGTGTGAATTGTTGAAATTAATGATGCTGCCCTCCAGCTGGTCGTCAATAAATTGTCGCTTGCATTGTTGTAGTGAATGATAAAACTTGTTTCCCTGAGGCGCTAGATGGAGTAGCTGTTCGGGGTATATATGTGGATCCACTTCAGAGGAAGATTCGGAGTCTGGACTGGAGAATAGCTTCTCTATAAGCTCTTCAATCTCCTCTTTCTTCGTGCTCATAGCATGAATGAACGCTAAGTATTGGCACTAATCGCGATTGAGTATCTACAGGCGTGGGAGGTAATGCCGAGAAGTGGTCCGGTCACGAAATCTTGACGAACATTTTAATTTTTCGTTTTTTCTGCCGAAGCTACAAATTGAATGTTTTTGATTCCAGAACAATTCTTGTAGATCTTCATTCGCCTAAATTTTGACAGCAGCTCTTGCATTTAGCCTCTGGTTGATAAAGATTCGCATCACAGGATGGAAAATAGATACACTCACAATGACCTACAAGACATTCAGCTTCCCACAATTCCCTGATTATACCGTCTTTGTTGGATACTATACTGACATTACGCCGGAAACATTAAAGGTGGTTAAAAATGAATTAGTCTCCGGAAACCAGACATATAATTACTGCTTCGTCAACACGGCTCATCTCATTTCAGTCGATCAGCTTTATTGCAGTCTACATCGTTCCATTCAGAATCATGTCTTCGGTAGAATGAAGGCTAAGACGCTCAATACGGAGATTTTGTATAATCTTTCACCCACAAACAACATCAACGAGGCATTGAAAAGGTTCGGTGTTGATGAAAGTCGTTCGGACATCATTGTCATCAAGGTAGCGCAGAACTCGGAGGACGACTTGCTGAGTTGCAATGCTGGCATTGAAGAGCTTTTAAGTGGGAAATCAACGACTGAGCTCGAAGACTCCGTTTTGGTTAACAGAGTGGATCTCAAGAAGTTCTTGAAGTTGTTCAAGATTCAACAGAGTAATGAGGACTTGCAGAAAGCCCAGCTGCACTACACGAGTGAAGCGGTTGCGGCCAGTCTATTGAGGGGTTGTTGAAATGTATCTGATGAATATATAGATAAATTATCCAGTGAATGCAAATCTCAGTAATTTGAACCCGGTGCTTCTTGGGGGTAGGACTTCTTCATTTTCCTTGTCACTTTCACTCAAGTTGTACTCCTCCTTTTGCAGAGATTTTGGCTGACTGACGCTCATAAGGAGGTCCTCGTTATCAGGAGTAGCAGGACCCAGGGAGGGATCGCTTTCGAATACCTTCAACTTCTGGGCAGCATTCTTCTGCAATTCACCTTCTGAGCCGAGCAGGAATTTTGCTCTCCAAGAAAGTCCGATCTGTTTCATCTTAACGGGCGACTCTTCAATATCATTGGAGAAACCGTCTTGATCATTATCTTCCACAATGGATTTGTTTGAAGCTACCAGCGGGGGCCTCGCCATGCTGGTCTGAAGAAGCGAATTCTCCCTAAGGTCATCCTGCTGACTGTCCTCAAAATCATCATCCACATCGGTGAGGTACTGTTCGAGTTTTTCACTCTCCTTGATCATTGGAACTACCTCAGGGATGGGCTTGCAAGGCGACAGGTTCTCTGGGACATCGGAGTCGCCTGCCAAGAAGCTGGAGTCCTCTGTAGCACGCAGTGTATCAGGTTTCAAATTCATGCTTGTTGTAAGTTTTGACTTGAAGAAGTTGCTCGTTGAGCCTATCTTCAGGCTTGAGTCCGGGCTTATACGCTTGAGCTTTTTGCTTGTGGGTGAAAGCTTTTTCTCATCGGCTCTACCGGGATCAGGACGCTTCTCTTGCGTCACGCTCTTAGCTTGTTTGTCAACTTGGAAGAAGCTCTCGATAGACTTTGTTAGGGTGCCACCAAATGATTCCGCCTTCTTCACTCCTGTGACTTGTTTCGTCAGCGAGTATACCATGGAAGAGCTCTTGGTGGCCAAGTTCTGCTCTCTGGATAATAGCGCTTTGAATGTGGAAGGATGCAACTTACCGTTGCAAATGCCATGATGAATTTGTGCGTCAAGGGTTCTTCCACAGCAAAGCTCCACGACCTCCATGTCCAAATCGTGATTTTCTGGATAGTCGTATAAAGTAGCTAGGATCTGATTGCTTGGGTCGAACACTTTTTGAAACTGAAATGCTAATGTTGCTTTTACTGCCTCGTCAAGAAAAGTGTCTGGAATGTCTTTCTTTTCAGCTTGCAATGACAAAACCACATTCTCGATCGAGCCTAGCTTTTGAATGAGGTTAAATGCTGTCTTGAGACCTATGCCTGGTAATCCCTTTGTGTAATCACAGCCTGAAAGGATGGCTACCCATCTCAACTGTTCCTGGGTAAATTGGCCCAAGTTAGGGCGCTTGATCTTGTCAAAGTCCGCACGCTCAATGGTGACACACTCTCCGTAATCGTTGAGCTTTGTTATGAGACGTTGGCAGCCAAAGATGAGCAAGTCGGAGTCTTCGGATAAGATTCCGTCAACCAAGCCGATCTTCTCAAGGTAGACCATTTGAGGATCAGCCTCGTAAGGAGCGACAACGTATTTAACATGCTTCCTATCGAGCTCCACCATCACAGATTTCGCCATCTCTGGTGTGACTCCTGCAGCTTTCATAAATTCTTTCCAGGCTTGTTTTCTATCACCCTTCTTCATACACATATTGGCAGATTCTCTAGCCTTCTCCCTGCGGGCAGCTCTCTCAGCATTAGTAGCTTCTTTCGTGGGCAACAGCGAGCCGTCAAAAACCATATAAGGCTCAACACCAAAATAACGAAGCATATCAACTTTTTTCATTACAGACGTAATATAGCTTCTGGTGGGGGTGTCAGTACATAGATCTTGAGCACAAGAAATGAGACCGCGATGGAGCCAGCCATAGGTGTCTACTGCCAAAGTTTTTCCCTTATACTCTGACAATGTTGTCTTTTGTTGGATCTCTTTGAGCTGCTGTAGCAACCCTGTGACTCCCATGGTTGTATCTTAGAAAGGACGTGATGTTGTTATTGAGACTCGTAAACAAGTTGATGCGCGTAGCTAGTAACGCGCTTGTAGCCTCATCACCATTTCCATTGAACTCAGCACTCTACTCTATTTGCGTAAGATTAGCCTTTTTTTCCGTTCATTATATTTGAGTTGATATTACTCCTATATTATATAACCATATGCTATTGTTTCTTGGGTTTGTACATGATCTGTGGGTTCAATGAGAACTTGTGGATGTTCATACCGCCCTTCTGTTTCTTGGGCTGCGGCTTGCTATCCCTCAGAGGATCATAGCCCATGATGGGGCCAAATGTGATGTTATTATTGTTTGACTTGCCGCTATTCTCAGGAGCTTTTGGAGCACCTGGCATTGGATTGGACCTGGAATCATTGCGTGGGAAGAAGTGCAATTGAGATGCAGGGGCAGAGTTGATGCAAGGTTGGTTCATGAACTGTCCTGCGACATTTTGAGGCATCTGAGCCTGCCAATTAGGTCTCGCTTGCATCATGTTACCATTACTCATATCATCCTCTGTCACATCACTTCTTCTCTGCATCATCACAACTTGATTGTTGTTGGCAATATTAGGATTAGGTGGTCCAACAGGAACGTACTTCTCAGAACTCATCTGTTCGGTGGCAATGGATGCATTACCGTTACCCATGTTTTGTGGCATGGATTGAGCTGCTGCTTGCATTGCAGCAGCTTGTGCTACCATTTGTGGATGCACATGCTGATTATACTGCGTATTTGTGTTCCATGTTGGCACGAACCCGGCATTGTAGTTCTGTGGCATCTGTCCAGCAGATGCTTGATGAAATTGGGGTGCCGTGGGTGGATCGACTGCAGTGAGTGGTGTCCTCGATTGGGCTGGTGGAGGTACGTGCATAGCGTTATGCATCATTTGTCTACTTTGCATCTCTTGGGACATTCTTGCATCGTAGTTGGGGTTGAACTGGTGAACCAAAGATGCATTATAGGTGGGAACACTTTGGGGAGCATCATTGATACCTTGGTTTGCCAATTCAGTGTTCACTCTAAGATCACTCTTCAGTGGAGAGATCTTGAATGGTGATGCCTTCAATGGGGATGAGTGCACAAGCACTGTGGCATTCTCGTCCGAGTCGTCATCGGCAGCTTTATCAACTTTCTGCACCTTCATGACACGCACATTTCCACCACTTGATCCGCTTGTGGTAACGTCAAATTCATAAGTTAAGACGCCATGAATTATTCCATTCGTCTCATTTTCGCCCTCGTAAATGACTTGAGTAATAAGAATATTCTTCACGTCGTTTGAGTTGTTCGAACCATTGCACAAGAATGTGAGATAACCCGACCAAAAGTGGTTCATGAAAGGCACTTGTAAATCGAAAGTGTTGTCCAGGGCTCTGTAGCCATTAATCTGTTCTCTTGTACTCAACAAAACCTTGTCTTCGTCTTTGTATATGGTGGTCAAGGATTTCCATGTGAGCATCTGAGCACCGCTCTGGCCAGCAGAGACCTTAAACTCGAGGAAGGACAGGAAGTCACCATTATCAATGCAAAACAGAGCTGGATCTGTCAAAGGGGACACGGGTGTCGAAGTCAGACCCTCTGCTGGCTTCAAGTTCATAGCACCCGAAATGAAATACACGGGAATGTCCCCGAGCTGTGGAATGATGCGATCTAAATCTTCCTTGTATCTCCGGTTGTTCGAAGACATTTCTCTTTCAAGGTCCTCAGCCGGAATGGTTGGGCAATTGGTAGGAGTATCCTTAAGAAGAAGGAATTCATGAACACCCTGAACGGCACGCTTGTAAGTGAAGGACAATTCCATTTTCTTGAAGGCGAAATCCAATGGTGGCGCTTGCGGACTTTGCGGTTCCAGGCTCAATGTTGTGATACTATCTTGAAGAGACCTGGCCTGCTTCGTCGTCTCCACCTTCCTGAGTCGAGACAAACGAGATGCGATTTGCTTGGAAGACCGGCGGACTCCCGTTTTATTATATAGCATTTTTGAGAGCACTTGGTTCTGCGATGTCAATTTGGTCAAAGTGGAGCCGGGAGACTGGCCCGCTTTGAAAGTCTTGTACTTTTTATGGCAGCGCACCAACACGTCGTCTAGTTCTGCAAACCAGAGCTCCTTGGTGGCCTTGTCGAGATTATCATAGGCGGTAGAGGAGTTCTCTGGAGAGTCGGACTTGCTGATCTCTGCCACAACGGCCGTGCAAGGAGAATCCTCGATCAGCCGCTTCCTCTTGAGGGAGGATGTGGATTGAGGAGAGTCGTCCTTCGTGACTGGAGAAGACTTGGGCTCCTTCATCTCGACTGGCTTCTTGAGGAAGATGTCATGAGGCGACAAGAACGGCTCACACGACTTGGGGGAAGGAATCTCGTTGACGGAGGTGAGGTTTAGCGAAAGTGATTGGTACTGTGAGTCGTTAGTCAAGGACCAGATGTCAGCCAGATCGTTCATGGTGTCGGAGTGCTCGAAGCCGTCTTTTGGAGAAGCGGCGACATCGTTCAGATCAAAAGGATTCTCCTTCTTTTCCTTAGCAAACTTGTTGAAAAAGCGCTGTGGCGACAAGGAGCTCAAGAGGTTGATGTTTCGAGGACTGCCGAAACGGAAAGATGGCAGTAGGCCCAATCCAAAGGTGAAGGACGGGGTGATGCTGACGCCAGGTTTGGCGTTGGACCGGGGAGTCTGGGGAGGCATGGCCAAAATGCACTGAATCTCGGGTCCTTTCCAGTGGTTGGTATTCATCAGAGCTTATGCTCCATAGATAAACAGACGCGAATCCTGCAACCGCGTACATAGGCACCCTAGGCGCGAGCACCGAGAGCGCAAAGGGACCAGCGCAGAATGGGTAGTCCCGTGACGGGGATAATGGGGCCGCCCTAGAGAAGAAAGCACGAGAAAAGTATGACAAGCTAGGCTGTGGAAGCATGAGAGTCTCTTGGCTAAAAAGGGCGGCTTTCATTGTGTGGTTTAGGGGGAGCATTGTCTTGGTTGCAAAATCGCGGTACTGACGGGAGCTGCGGGAAGCTTGACCGACCAGAGGTGAGGGTTCATCGGGATGGTGGAGGCGGTACTACAATTCTCCGATGATGACGATTCGAGCTAGTTTGGAAATCCATGAAATATAATTCCACTAATCCAAGAATGTGTTTATTTGGCGTGGCGTGCGGCAGTGGGGGAATTACGAGGCCTGCCTCAATCGCGCTGGACTGATGATAGGGTGGGTTCAAAAAATGCATGGTCATATTGAAAAGCTACAGGAGGATGACGCCTTCGAAGTTGTTCACCTGGCGACCTGGCAAGAAAATCCATTATTAAGCCAGATCCCCATTTTTTAGCCAGATCCATCGGGGTGCTTTGCAGGTGGGTTATGCGGTTCACGGTGGTTAAAAAAACACAATGGGTTAGCGAGGCAGGCTGCCTCGATGTGCGAGCATACCGCTGCAGATTCCAGCAAGCCGTGCTCGGAATTAGCGTTTACTTGTGCCTCTGCAAAGTTTAAATTTGGCGCTGGGTTTTTCTGTATACTTGATGAGAGTCACAGCCAAAGGTCATGGTTGTCAATGGCTGCAAATCTTGGCTGGGTCGGCAATCGCGGTTTTTTTCCCAGACTCACAGCCATTGACTGCTACACAATGGGCATGAAGATGGTCTGGAATTTAGCGAAACCCATTTTTTTATGGAAAACCGTGGAAACCTTTCAGAGCCATTTCTTCGCCATTATTTGTATTCTACTGACCGTTGGCTTATTAATCTGCCTTCTCTATTGCTCCAATGCATTCAACAGGTACCAGAGCTCTTCCACGATAGCGTGGGAAAGACCGCAGTTTTCCGTTTCCGCTTTCACGAATTCGTCTCGGAGACGACGAACACCCGTTTTCGCCTGGTCGTTGATCGCACGTACCCAAACTTTAGTCATGGCATCGTAGATCAACTCGCTGTATTTGTTGCGCCAGGCATTTCCCATGGACCCTGTGAGCACCCACTCGATGTGATGGTCCTGCTTCTTTGGTTTTCTAGGCATTCTCCGCTTGGAAGAATGGGGTTTGAAATGGCGATTCTTCTCCTTTAGGAGTGTCAAAAGCGGACCCTCGTCAGGGCACGTAGAGAAGAACCGGTGGCCGAGAAGCTGAGTGGCAGTTGGCCGAAAATTGGGGATTTTCATTAGGCAGCTTCTAACAAAGTCCTTCGTGGCAACATGGAAAGGTTCAGTGTCAAGTGATGGCGCTTGGAGTTTGGGAATATCAAAAAGCGCTTTCATCGGAGCCTTCTGGTAGTGAGGCGGGTTTCCACAAAGAAGCTCAATAGTAGTGATGCCTGTAGACCAAATATCTGCTTTGGCATTGTACCCTTCTTTCGATCTTTGAATCACTTCTGGTGCCATCCAATATGGTGTGCCCACAATCAGGTTCCTCTTTGTCCTGGTGAAGGTGAGCTCTCCACTAACACCAAAGTCTCCGAGCTTGACCTCGCCCTGATCAGTGATAAGGATGTTTCCCAGCTTGATATCTCTGTGGACCTTCTTCTCTCGGTGGAGGTACTGAAGACCCTTGAGTACGCTCCGTATAATGTAAGCTGTCACAGACTCCTCTAGACAGCCATAGAACTTGAGCAAGTCGGCACAAGACCCGCCACCACAGTACTCCAAAACAATCCAAACATCGGAATCTCTAAGAAACGTCTCGAAATGTTTCGTGAGGTAGGGTGAATCGATTCGCTTGAGGAATTGTATCTCTCTTATAATAGCGTCGAGGTTCTCTGACTCGTCCATGGGAATCACCTTGAAAGCAAACACTTGACCGGTACTTTTTCGAACTCCCCTAAACACCTCCCCAAATGAACCTCGTCCTATGAAATCGTCAACTTCATAATCTGTTTCTGTCATGGTGAAGTAGTATCTATTCGCAGCCACAAAGAGCTTTTCGCAGCCATTCCTTGGTAGGCCTTTGGTGACATATGAACCCTCCCAAGACGCAATTCCCAATTGCACGAGATTTAAAAAACCAAGCTGTTTTATTTCGGCTCTTCAACTGCTTAAACTATCAAAACCCAAATCATATGATAACCTGGACATTTCTTGTTCAAAACACAGAAGTGTCGCTTATCCACACCATGCAGATCTCATCACTCAGTCAAGACTACCATGAGTTTTCTTGGGGACATCGTGGAACACGATACGGTCGAACCGACCGTTCCTGAACTTACAGAGCATTCACAGAAACATGGTTACCCCGAATTGCAGAAACCCTCTGTACCCAAAAGACAATCAAAATTCAAGAAGAAAGAAGCTCCAAAGAGTGAACCCAAGACCGAGACGCCTCCTCAGGCTCCTCCATCTGAGCCCATAAGTGAAGCCCAGCGTATACACGAAGAGAATCTCAAGAAGATCATGCTGTTGTCCCCAGATCAATTCATCAGTGAGAGAGACGAACTCTTGCAAGGCCTTGATCCAAAACTATTGGAGGGGTTGAAAAAGAGATCAGCTAAGAAGGAGCGTGAACATGTGCACGCTGAAGGCCACGATGGTTGGATTGGTGGAGGTCGTGATGGTGTGAATCTCCCCCATCTCGATACAGATGAGGTCAATAAGGCGTTGGGTATCAAGTCCGTGAAGTTTGATGACAAACCTGTGGAACACCAAATAATGGAAAGTGTCGAGTCTGATGAAGAGCAGAAGGAGATTGAGGGTGATGACGAGATTGCCCCGGAGGGCTACCAAATTGCTCCAGAAGAGGAAGTACCAGAGGTCGAAGTGCACTTTCCAAAGCCCAAGATTGCAAACGAGGATCCTGACATGGACATCAATGATCCTGAATTTCTTGATAAGCTTCACGAGAAGTACTATCCTGATCTTCCTAAGGAAACCAGTAAGCTCGCGTGGATGAAGCCCCAAGAGCCACAGAAGCGAAAGACAACCTACGAAGCCCTCACTGACATGCGTTTCGATTTCAAAGGTAATTTGATTGAGTTGGATGCCAATGATGCCGAGGACATACCTCATTATCTTGGTCTCCATCACCATTCTGCTGATCCTCATATGGCAGGGTACACGCTACCTGAATTGGGACATTTGTCTCGCTCAACTGTGCCAACACAGAGAAGTATTGCATTTCAGACCATTGGACGTATTTTGCACAAGCTAGGGCTCCACAAATACAACATCTTGCCCCTTCAAGATGACGAAAGTAATCCTATGACAGAGGAGATCCTGACGTTGATGAAGGAGTTTGAGCTAATGATGTGGGATTTGATAGATCAACTTCGTCTTATTGAGACGCTTACAGAGGCTGCTGACGAGAAAAAGAACAGAAACCTCTCAACAAGGAATTACGCTATTGAAGCCCTTTGGCTTTGGAAGCAGGGCGGTGGAAAGCCCGAGGATACTAGAAGAACGGAAGAGGAGGTTATCGCTGAGCAATTGCTGCAGATGTGAATACCAAAGTGATGAGGATCAATGTCAAAAAAAAGCACTGAGCCCGGCTGGTGATGATAGTTGTCAACCCTAACTCTCGATTTGGGCTCAGCAGAGCCAGCCATTCGCCTTCTCAACATGTCTCCAAAACGGAAACAGCGGCCTCGAAGGGAATTGACTGGCTTGCTTTCACGAACCCAAACGAAAGAAAGGGGGAGAATGTTAGAAAAGCTAGAAGGCAGTCATATTGTCAAAACGACAGTACTTCCAACCTTTGAATGCTCGTCTTACACCCCCATTACGACATCATTAGTATTCCCTCGATTTGCGCACATAGACACATCGAAACGGCACCGAGCAGTGTGGTGTATGAAAACACCGTCCGTCCAACTTAAGTTGTGCGTGTCTACATTAATCTGATGTAAATAAGTATATTAAGGTGTAGTTAGAAAGATTTTGCTCGCAGGATATTTAGTACACAACGATGACATGCTGGTGCAGGACATACAGCTTCTGCAGAGCCCATCCCAGTCTTGCAACGGCAACAAATCAAGACTTGGGATCAAAAGAAATGAAATTTTCCCAAAAATGTAATTATCTACTGTCACAGACAGTATTGAATCCGCGGGTGAAGAGAGCCATGGATTCCTTGGCTTTTTGCTTGTTACCTCTCCAAAGATACACAGTAGCGCAGAGGAAACCGCCAACCATCGCAGCCATTGCACCAACATCGACACTCACGGCAGTGGGGGCACTCGATTCCGTCTTAGTATCATTGTGTACAATTGTTTTTGATTTCGATTCAACGCTGACGACAGATTGCACATCCATATCGGTCTCAGCAGTAGCATCTGACAAGCTTTCTTCGTCATCGTCTAAGACCTCAATGTAGCCTTCAGAATCGCTCTCGGAATCATTCGAGTACTCATCCAAAATTTCTGCAGTCTCAATGTGCCTCAACTTTGGGGGCCTGCCCGACTCGATGCGTACCTCGTTCTTCTCATTATCGGAGTTATCAGGTGTGATTTGCTGACGCTCAAAATTCTTCAAGCTAGCTGCCCTTTTCTTTGAAGCGGCATTTTTCATGGTATCAGCATAATCGTGGGTGTGCTCATGGTACTTGCCCCACGAGTCTAACAGATTCTCGTCACCACGTTTCCCACTGTCCAGACCTTCGCTTGAGTACTCAAAAATTGTTTGATTGTCGTATTTGGCACTACACTCGAAAGGCATTTGAAAGAGGCTGGGACGGACATCTAAATGATTGGGGGGCTCATCGATCTTAAATAACTATTTCATGACTAGCCGCATGTGCATTGGTGGCAAAAGATGCCTTCATAAAGAGTGCCACCGGCTATGCCGATTCCTACAGTGCATTAAAACCTCGTGTTCTTTTTTCTGATTATGCAGAGAACAGGTGTCAATGTTTTTTTCAGCCTTACATTTTTGCATGTGCTTTAGCTGTAGAAAGTCTTTGGGTAGTCATTCGCAAGTATTTCCTATGCGTAGCGATAAGAACCCAAAAACACCTCAAGTGGAATTCTGCGAACTACCACAATACAACCAAAATTGAAATGTGAATTTTTTTTTTTTTAAAAAAAAGCCGGTGACAGTGGATTTGAAACCCGCCCTTTACACCTCCTACAAATATTACCTTAGGGTTCTCTAAGGCACAAGTTCAGTGTGGTGAAGCAATGATGTTGCATAAGTAGGCACCCAATTTCCAACAACATCGAGATAAATTTCATCAGCTACCTTAATCATTTAGTAGATTTTGTGAATCCTAGTCCCACTGTGCAACTTCTACTCTTCTCTTCGGTGTCACTTGTAGGTCCGTACTGCACATTCTGATGTCCATAGTTTGCAGTTACAATCTAGCCATATACCAACTAGACCGATAATGAAGAGCGGCGTTCCATTAAATGTGGCCACTTCCTTGCTCTTCTTCGGCCTTTTTCTTCTATTTGGCAACGTCTTCAACAGTGAGTCGACAGAACAAACATGGCAGATCAATCATTACGGCTCCTTAAGCCAATTCAAAGCTCTTTCGGGAACCACTGGCATTGGCATTTCAGAGAGCTCTGAGTTAGTCACCATTGACTTGAGCAAGCAATCAGTTTTGAGCTCAATTGATTTGAAGACTACGGGTTCCGATTCTTATGCATTGCTAGACTTTGTCTTGGTGACATACTCCACAGCATCTTCCACATTTTACGTGTACGAGAAGTACTCAGGGATTTTCCTTGAAAAAGTGAAGCTTGATTCACCCCCCTTACACTTTGGTCAATTTTTCAACTATGGTGTTCTTGTTCTCGACTCTAGAGGTATTTTGACTGCCTGGAATAGTGAGTTTAAGAAGGAAATTGGGAAGTTCGATGTTTCTTCCTTCAAGACTGCCACAATTGATGGATTGGTGTATGTCTCGTTAGGCCTGAATGTGCTTTGCTTGAATAAGCTGGGCGAGGTTATCAGCACTGATGTGAAACCCAACTCCGACATTATTGACCTCGACTTTGGAGTGGCTCTCACGAAAAGTGAGGTTCTCAAGTTCGATGCACCAGAGGCTGAAACCGATTCATTAACATCTAAAACGATTAAAGCTTCCCTCGAGAACCCAAAGATTCTCTCGAGAAATGTCGTGGGAGAGTTTGAATCCGAAAGATTCACTCTATATGAGATAAGCGAGGGTAAGGAACTCAAGCGGGTAACTCAGCATGCGGCTCGTCATGCCATCAAAATAACTCCGGTGCTTGATGTTGGCAAGGTCTTTGTCGTCGCTCAAGTTCCTAATGGTTTCGAAATCCATGATTTCACCAAATTTGTCTCAACCCTTGAAGTCAATGACATTATAAGTTACGAAAGGGTGTCTGCTTCTGAGCACGATGACATCAATGTCTTTTTGTCTCCTCAATCCGATAGGTTGGCTATTGTGTCCCATTCTTCCGATGAAGTCAACGTGTTTTGGGCTCTGGCTTCGACTGATGACTTGCAGACGCACACCTATCCACTCAAAGAGAATTTGCCAAGATCTAAGTCCATTTTAATCGATAGCCCAAGGTCAATTTCCCAGATCGAAAAGTCTCATTACTTGGCGGAAGAGTCTCATAGAGATAGCCCAAGTTTGAGAATGCTTGCGAAGATGAAGCATCATTTAGCACAACTTGGCAAGGTCTTCTTCAATGTGTTGAAGGGTAACCTCGACACTGCAACAGCTAAGGAAGATACGTATGGCTTTCAAAAGCTTCTTATTACTTTTGACGACCGTACAAAGGTCCTCACAGCCAGGAACAGTCAATCAGCTCAAATCGCATGGCAGACCACCTTGAAGATAGGTGACAATTTGATTGGTTTAGAATCTATCAATGATGCAGTCTACTTGTTGTCTCCGTCGCAATTGATAAAAGTGAGTGCCAGAAGCGGAGCCGTTGAGAAATTGGAGGTCCTTCCTGCTAAAGCGGAGAAGTTAATCAAGTTGTCTGTGGATCTTTCGGAGGAGTTTTTGGAAGAGGGATTTGAACCATACACGTTTGTTATAAAGTCAGGCTCTACAATCATTCCCACTGAGCCTGGGAAGGATATTTCTCCTAACCAGTTTTATCTTGAGCAGGGTGCACGTGAATTGAATGCTTTCAAGATCGTTGATGACAAGATTGTCGCAACTTGGACGTATTCATTGCAAGATGAGACTATTTTGGCATCTTCTAAAAACCAGGATATTTTACTGCCAGCTTCAGGCATCGCAACAGCGAACAGAGCGGTGTTGTACAAATACCTCAATCCAAATCTTGTTACAGTGGTTACTCAGAACAAAGCTTCGCAAGTTACTGTGCATTTGTTAGATGGAATAACGGGTGCTGTTCTTCATCTTCAAAAGCATGAAGATCAATCCATCGATGCTTCCACCCTCAAGCTAGTGCAGAATGATAATTGGGTGATATATTCTTATGTGAAGAGAGATGGTTATCAACAACATGTTTCAGTCTTGGATTTGTTCTCGACCGCTGAAAATGCTAGAGGAGGCAGAAAGTCTGCTTTTACAGAGTTTGACACCGGAATTCACAATGTTCTGAGCAAAACTTTCCTTTTCCCCGAGAAAATCGAGATGCTTGCCTCAACAAGAACGAGGTTTGGTATCACTGTCAAATCGATTGTCATACTCACCGAGACAGGAAGCTTGGTAGAGATTCCAAAGTTCGTTTTCAACTCAAGAAGAGTGGACGACCGTGCATTGACACAAGAGGATTCAAAGGAGTTCAAGATGATGCCTTACGAACCCTTGGTCGGAAAGCCAGACTTGCAAGTGTTGAACAAGAACGGAAACTTCAAGACATCGCAGGGAATAGGATCGGTGTTGATCCAACCGACAGAGATGGAACTGACGAGCGTTGTATGCTACGTTGATACAAATACGGAGTTCTGTACTGTCGTACAACCTTCCCTGTCTTACGATATTCTCAAGTCAGGGTTCGATAAGCACAAATTGATAGCTACCATTGGTGTGTTGTACGCGGCATATATCGCGACAAAACCAATGGTGAGATCGAAGAAGCTTACTACAAAATGGCTTGACTGATTAAACGGGTATATTAGATGCAAGTATATATTAGTCAAAATGTAAATTAGAAAGGAATCATGCAAAGATAGAAGAAGAATCACAAACATAGTTTATGATTCCTTGATGCTGCGGGGATTTTGGGTTTAAGCCAAACAAGCTCCAGTCAATCTGGGCGATATCGTCACAATCATACCTCTCAGTCTGGTAGACGTGCCAGATAAGTTCGTAATGCAAGCCCGAGATAAGATAATTACTCATCTTGTTAATCAAGAAGAATGACTTCTCTTTGCTTCTCAAAGCAAGTAGTTTTCTTTTGTCACATTCTTCAAACTTGTGAATGATCTTTAGAAGTCTGTTTGTAGAAGTCATTCCATCACCATTGCACTTGGACAAGAATGAGTATGCTTGAAGAAACTTCAGCTTGACAAATGTGTAATCATCAAGCAGACGCAAAAGCGGACTGGAATGGATATCTAAGAGAACAAGGGAAGCCAACTCAATACCGAAGCGGTAGTGCATTGGGACCTGATTGAAATTCTCCACAGTGCCAAATGATCTGGTGAACAAATCAAGAATGGCAGAGCAACAGTTGACAGCACGGTAAATCACATTCTTATACTCGTCGAGGCTGATATCAACCTGCGAGAAGTAATAAATGTATAATTGCAACTTAGAGAACTCCAAAGACATGTCAATCAAGTCGTCTTTCACCAATGGCGTGGAGTTCTTCTTGCTGAAATCACTGAGGATTTGCTCGAACATATTCAAGTGAATGAGCTTGCTCATCTTGTTTGAGCTCTCGACGACGTCGTTCATGCTCTCGTTCATCTTCAGTTGAATCAAGGAGATCTTGAGAAGCGAGTTGATGAAGTTGTCAGTCGATTCAAAGGCATCTTTGTTGAAAATGTCGATATTGGCCGACTTGTTGATGATGTAGTCTTGGTGGAAACCGTTGTAATTAGAGTTGGACAAGCCAAGGAAAACTAGCCAGTAGTTGGAGTTGATGTTGACGAATTTGTAGATTCTTTCACGCATCTTGTCGTTGACATCGGGCTTCTGAGCGACTTGCAAGTCGGTCTTCTTGCTGAACTCGCTGATGAAGTCCAACTTATGAAGACCGAACTGAAGCGACAAGCTCTTCATGAGGGAGATGTACTTCACGGAGATGTTGCTTTGAACCTTGGGCGAGCGGTCGTCCGGAAGAGGCCAGGTGGTAAGGATGAGCAAAGTCACCAAGCAGTACAAGGAACGGGGTGTGTTGAACCAGCAACTCACCACAACCAAGTTTTGCACGTGGCGAGCTAGCGTTTGGTACTCACCGGGCAGGTTCTGGTTGAGAAGCGAAGTGACCATTATGGACCAGAACAAGAGGTCGCTTTGCTTGTGAATTTCATGCAAGTTGGGGTTCTCGAAGAACAGCTCTGGCAACACAGGCAAGTACGGGAGGAAGTTGTCCTTGAAGTTCTGGAGAAGGAACAAAGCCCTGTCGTATGAGATGGTCCATGGCTCTACAGCCAGGTTGGAATGGATGGCGAAGGAGTCGGCAAGACTCAAGGTTGGGATAGGGTCGATGTATGCTGGACCGGTGGGTTCGTTAGTGTCTGACTCTGAGTCCGAGGAAACGAGCACGCCCATCATGTCCAGCGGCGTGGCAGGAGTGGAGGGTGCTTTCTTCAAGATCTGGCGAACCAAGCGGTTTTTGCTCTCGACAATGTGATCGAGCTTCAGGTGCAACTCCAGCACCTCGGCCACCAACTTCTCGGTAAGGTCGTAAGACCGCTGTGAAGGTTTCGTCACGTCAAAGACGCAGACGAGGTTTTTCTTCGAGCAGTACGTGCAAGGGTGTGGTCTTGTGGCGGCGGCGTCACATTTGGTCTTGTTTTGTCGACAAACCAGACACAGCTTTAGGATCCTAGAGCCCAGAAGCGACTTGGAGGGCATGGCGAGGGAGCGTCTGCGGTGCATCACGATGGAAACCATTGCAAAAGTAGTAAGGGGAGAAAACTGCAAGATGAGCAGACGAAGACGCTTAAAAGCAAATGAGTATTGACAGCCCTGAATGCACCTTACTATGCCTCTCACCTCACTCGTGCTTCAGGGCCCACCTGCACCTGACCCGTTGGATCGGGTGCAAACCCCAGCCCGCTTATCGGCCTGTCGCGAGATGAATAATTCTAAGAAAGCCATTGGCTGCCGCGCCCGGAGTTCGGTTTAGACCACCCCACCGAGGTGGAACCAGACGGGAAATACTACAGATGGGCTAGTTTTTCGCCGGAGATGAAGAAAATAGAAATTTGTCCAAACACTTTTTTGGCATGTCTTTTGCGCTTTGGTGTTTGTTCCAGGGGGTCGGTGGTTACTCGAGGTTAGGCTGCGGTGCGTCTCCGCCGTTGCCAGTCTCCTACCTCATCACCAGGGCCCCATTGCACTTGGACCGTCTACTGTGGGCAAGAAGACGACCATTTGAAATTCTCTATCTTAGAATCTTCATTCCAACTTTTATCCTTTTTCTACTTTTTTTTTTTTCTTCTGCAAAATCTACGTCGCTTCCGCTCGCCCCGTTCTGGCGCCACTGTGGTGGCTGATGCTTGCTCTCCGTCAACCAATGCTTTCACCTCCGGGCACGGACTCAGTCAGTTCCTGGATTCTCGCGACCTTACCAACAGCGAGATCGGAGTGCGCTCGCTTACTCCCGCGCTAGTCCATTGGCTGCGAACTCGTATCAGCAGATGGCGGGGGGATGCGGGCGGAATTTGTTTTTATTTGTCGACCTGTCACCGAGCGGGAACGAGGGGGGGATTTCTCGAGAAGGATTGGTTGGTTGGTTATGAGCGGGGCCTTACCTTGGTAGTTTCTTTGTGGCAGGGTGGTTTGGTCTTAGACGAGACAAGCTAAGGGACGACAATGGGTTGTTCGTCGAAACTGGCAAACCCCTCCTATTTTTCTTTTCTTCTCGTTTGCCCTTGATTGTAGTTGTTGCAATTCCGTATCTGGCCACGCACCTTGAAGGAAATAAGCGCTTCTTTGAGTTCTCTCCTTAAGTTAAAAGTCTACTGTAGACGGAGCCGCAAGCCTCGTACATTGACGTGGAAATGTGTTGCAGCCACACGATGGAAGCCTAAAATTTTCAAATTCTACAAATTTTGAGACAGTCACCGAAACAAACAAATGCTAAATTATGTTATTCGTCACTTCTTGCAAAAATATCAAAAGGCTGTTCAAATTGTGATGGCCACCCGGAGATCCCCTCTGTTGATGCTAACACTGTGCGACGCATCCTTCATGCGCACAACTCATCGCTACTCCATCATGGACCTAGACGACGCCAAGCTAGTGCACCTCTATAATCTAGCGCACTATAAATGCCTCAATCCAATCCTGGCTTGCCACGCTGTTGATGCAGACATCGCCATAGCAAAGGCGGAAATCAACGTCCCCACTATACGATCTCATTGCGACAACTGCGGCACCTTCCTACTACCGGGTCTCACCTCTTCCACGAGGATAAAGTATACCAAGGGCAAATCTGGCAGGTCGAGAGAACTTCGTACCACATGCTTGGTGTGCTCTCATGTGAGAGTGAGCGATTGCCTCATCAACGCCAAGCGCCGTGAAGTGACCCCACAAAACCAGAGCACAGGCGTGCCCAAGAAGAAGAAAAAGAAGAAGTCCAATCTCTCTTCGCTCCTCGAACAAAAGAGACAAGAGAGTAACAGCCCTCTGTTGTTTGACTTCATGTGAACGATCACTCGTGCAGATCCTGCTGCTCGGTCTCAGCCTTCTCCTTGCCCTTCTTGTTGATAGCTTGCCTCTGGCTGTACCTATACCAGCGACGTCTTCTGTAAATGTTGCCGGCAGGTTCATCTTCCTTCACTACCGCGTCATATACCCACTTCTCCTCGTCGTCTACGCTCACAAGGTCCATGATACAGTTGTCCACGACCCACAGGTGGGGATCGAGGTCAATCGACCACCTGCTATCGACAAATTTCCAACCAAGGGGGGCCCTGATTTCCGAAAGAGTTGCAACCAGTACGACTCGAGGCTCCGCATGCTCGTTAAACGGAGCATCGAACAGATCATTCTCACTTCCATCGTTTTCTTCACTCTTGAGTATTCTATCTGGATGGTTGAGCGAGTAAAAGTCTTTTGTATAGCCAACAGGTTTCCAAGCTTTTGCAGTCAAATTGTACTGTTGTAATTCGAATATCTCTAGTTCACATTTGAGTTCGTCTTCTGGAGCATCGCTGATATAAGTCATCAAATACTTTTCCGCTTTATCAGTGCGGTCTAATCTTGCGAGTCTGGCCTCCTCGGTCTCGAGTAGATCTAGAATCTTATTGTTGACCACAGGATGAGAACTTATGAAGACTGCCCATGTCAATGCTATGAGGATTGCTTGAATAGACACCACTCGTAGTATCAATGGAGTGACTATTGGCAAGATGTAGAGGTTGAAGCCAATCAAGAAAAGCAAGATTAAAAACACAATTGTGCTCAACTTTTGGTCCTCAAACAAAAAGTAATGCTGACCCCATTCTATTAATGAATCGTGGAGACGAATGTAAGGGACAATATGATTCTGCATATCTGTAAAGTTCATCAAGTACTCTTTGGAATACATGGGGGCGGGCTTAGGGGACTTAAATTTGCCAAGAGCCTTGCCAGTGTGTGGGAATGGATTCCTCTTTAGATACCTACCATCCACGAATGTATTGTCGCTTGGGTACAACCTGAGATAACTGGGAAACATGTATCTGACCAAGATGAAGGCAGGAAGAAACAGTGCAAACAATTGCGGCCTAAGAATGGCATGAGTTATCAATAAGAGTATCCCCACAGTATAGTACGGATTGTGCCAGGAGAAGCACATAAAGATAGCATCAAACCCCTCGAACATTGGGGACGCCTTTTGCGCCAATTGAGTGCTATTCGTGTTCATGACACTCATCGAGAAAGGCGGACGTTCCTTCTGCATCGCTGTTCTCATTGGCAGTAGCTTCTGCTGACCATCGACTTCATCGACTATCATGACAGAGAGCAACTTTTCCATTATACGATCCGAGAATTGCTGGTTAGCTCTTGTAGTATCGTCATCCAAATACCAGTAGCTAGAAATTGGGGATTCGACTGCTTTGGAATGCTCTTCGGCTACCTTTTTAGCAGCACCTTCGGCCTTCTCAGGCTCCTTCTGTAAGGCTGTCTCAGTATCTAGTAGACCCGATTGAGCCACCATATCGTCTGCTGCTTTTGTTTGCTCCGCAACAAGCATGTTCTCAAGAACGTTAGAATACAGATCCATGCGAATGAGCGGTTTATATGTCTATTATTTGTGGGGAATTCTTTTATCAATACCAGGCCAGCACACTTGAATGATGCAAAACGGTTGCATTGCAGATAAGGTGTACGGGTTCAGTATAGCCAGAAAGTCCGAAATTCCTAAGCGAAAAGTGGGGCTCAACAAATGAGTGACTGGGCCCAACTCTGCATTATGTCTCAAATGGGGCTAGGTTATAAACACAGCATACCAAAAGACTTGAGCTGTCAATAAACGGCTTGGTGTGGCTTAGACTGCATTACTAACGGCTACACTGTTTTAAGTGGAGACAACCAAAATGCTTGGTCATTCTCAATTCTATTATTATCGTTAGATCATTGACTAGGCTTTTAAACGCTTAGCACTTCCCTCGCTCTCTTGTTTGATTATCCTCTTGACCCCGCAGTTGAGCTTCGACTCGCTGATATCTTGGAGCGGAGTGTCGTCTTCTGTCTCTACCTCACTGTCAGATTCGACTTTGATGGGCTCACAAAAACTTGAGGCAGGTGTGGGCAATCTTTTGACAGAACCTGAATTCTTTCTTTTGAGCGATGGACGAGTCTTCGGTAGAACTATTGTCCTTTGCTTGCTTGGCGTCGTGGGAGGAGTGAGAAGCTCGGCGTCATCGTTTTTGACCTCAGGTTCCGAACTCTCCTGTTTGAGCTCTTGCTTGATGTTTTGCATCGTGGCAATAGCTTCCTTCTTGATATCGAGAAGAACCTCCTTCTTGATAGATTTTGGTGTCATTGTGGAATACTTGAGCTTCTTGGAGTCGAGCTGCTCTTGTGTCAAGAACAAATCTGGGATTTCTCTCTTGAGCTGTCTGACGAAATCGTCGCAGTCACTGAGCACCTCGTAGTCAACCAAACTAGTCCATTGCTTTGGTAAAGGCAGCTTATTAATGAAGATAACCTTTCCACCTCTATCGTGAATTGATTTGGCCAAACTTCTGACCAATTTTTTGACTCCATCTACTTTAAGTGATGTGCCCATGATAAGGAGGCAGTCACTCTTGAATCCGAGGTCGATGTTGAGACCTCTCGTAAGCATCTCCGATTGAGGATGGTTTTCACCGTACAAGACAATATCTGGTCTCAACACTCCTATACTTCCAGTAAGACGTTTGCCCGAGTAGAGTCTCTCCTGGTACTTGAGGTAGCAGTTCTCGCATTCTGGGTTCTCGCCTTGCTCAAGTTTCTGTTGGGCATCGGGAGTCCAGTCGTAGTGCTTGAAGCACTGGGTACACAGAAGCTTATGAAGGTTGCCGTGGAGTTGTACGACGTCAAGAGACTTCCAGTTTTCCCGAAACAGCTTGCCAGCGCCGTTATCGATTTCATTGAATTCCTGAGGGTCGATACCACAGTTGAGGTCGATTCTCTTTTCGAGGCTGTCTATGTTTTGTGTGTAACAACGCAAGAGCTTGTTCTTGTCCTTCAACGTTTTGATGAAGCGATGGGTCTCGGTTGCTTTAGCTGCCAAAGAGTGCTTATAAAGGCCCTCCATGAATGTGCAAAATATCAGAAGAGTCTCTTGGTTTCTGAAGAGAGAGATGTCAAACAAATCCTGGCCCTTGATGAAGCTCTGGGGATACTTTGCTTTGACGATATTGTACAACCCATCGTCTGATCTGAAATCCGGAATGCCTGCATTGCACGAGATTCCAGCACCCGTTAATATCACGGATTTTCTTGCCTTGTAGATGGTTTTAGCCACCTCGTGAAGCCTGACTGTGTCGTCGGCCGAGGTCCCCTCTAATAGGTTGACCGACTTCATGATGCGGATTTAACTGGTGAAAACGATTGTAAGGGGTGTTCAGGGGTGGCCGATAATGGGGATGGTGGTATTAAATTAGCCCGGTTATTCTTCTTATTTGTGTCAGGAAGAAGAAGTGGTGGGTTGTTGTGAGGTGGTCACTGACAAAAAAAAAAAAGTTGTCCCTGCCCTGACCTACATTGCGAGTTTTTAGGAATAGTAATGAACCGTCGAAGGTCGCAGTTGTTTACATAAGGGCCGAAAACGTTAAACTACTTACGTCTTATTGCGAACATGAGCGAAAAACAAAAAAGACGGTGAATGTTTGTTTTGAAGTGAAAATATTTGAGTGACTCAAGTAAGTAATATTGAAGGCAACCACATTGAGACTCTGGATGCCAAATTTATGTTTGTGACCTAGTCAATGCCCGGTGCCTGTACTGTCTGTACAGGTATACACGAATCTCAAAATTCGTGCTTGACAGGAAAAATGTAGGCAGAAAGCGTGCCTCGTGTCTTACCGGTTTCTACTGGTCTTAGGTCAATTATTACAAGAAAGTTATAGTTTACTCTAACATCGTCGAATCAAGCCTCTTACTGTGCCTGAGTCGAGTTCACCGCCAACTCCATGATTAATCTCGTAGCCAAATGCAAGAATGGGTAGGCAGAGAAGGAGCTCATTTCGTCAACATCTTGCTTACCCGCTGGTTTGCCATCCTGGGTAGTGGTGCTCTCCCAACCATCGAACTTAAAGTCGACGAGATAGTTATTAGGCTCCAATTGGAACAATTGAATCTGCATCTTCATTAAAGCAGGTGGGACTGACTCGCCTTCTTTGACGGTCTCATCGACCAAGCAAGGCCCGTACTTCCAGCGCACTCTAATAGTCCATAACTCTTCTTCAGTTGGCTTTGCCCACTCGGCTCCCAAGTTCTTCAATGCTCTATAAATCTCACCCATGACGTCCAAAGGATACGACCTGGACCGTATACCGAAATGCCATTTTGTCTTCAGTTTCTTTGAAGAAACGGGGTTGATTTTGCTCGAACCTTGCTCCGAAACGTTCATCATCGAGGCGCGATGGATCGAGGGCAATGAAGAAGGAAGAATGGCAATCGTAGAGTTTGGCAAAGTCGATAAGTCTGGAACTGTTGCCAAGGTTTGATATGTGAGGGATTGCAGAACACCAGGGGCTCTATGCGTGGCGGTTGCTTCTTCACCTTGTGGTGAAGACCATGAGGGAGGAGGGCTTGAAGACAAAAAGTTGTCCATGTGTTCAGTCTTGTTCTTCTTCAAGTCCTTAACAAGAGAGTGGTTCTCTTTCATTAACAAGTAAGCGTCAAGTATCTCATTCTGTTGCTGTTGTGGGTATTGTTGTTTGTTGCATGAGTTGATTGTGTTCAAAATCTCATCTCTATCATAACCCATCGTCACGCTCAAGGCATTAATAACATCCTCATCGATATCAATCTTGTTATGGATGGTCTTGGACAAGTCTGGAGGTAACAAGTAATCCTCTATGCCTTCCTTGAACCATGGGTCTTCCATGATCTCGTGGATGGTGACACGATTAAGTGGGTTGACGACCAACATCTTTGTCAAGATTTTCTTTGCGCCCTCTGACAAGTAGTTGGGCAAGGTGTACACACCATTGCTGATCTTCTTGAATAATGCTGGAATGAACTCATCATCGAATGGCAACCTACCACACAACATGACGTACAAAATAACACCGGACGACCAGACATCGACCTCTGGACCGGCGTACAACTTACCAGAGATAACCTCAGGAGCTGCATAGTTGGGAGAACCACAGCTTGTCTTCAAAAAGTTACCATCAGTCATGATGTTCGACAAACCAAAGTCTGCAATTTTCACGTTAAGGTGATCGTCCAACAACAAATTTTCGGGCTTCAAATCACGGTGAACGATTTTGTGTCTATGGCAGTACTCCACTGCTGCAATAATCTGTTGGAAGAATCTTCTTGCTTCGTCTTCAGGCATTCTACCCCTCTGAACAATGTAGTCGAACAACTCCTTACCCGCATATTCGATAACCATGATGATTTCGTCCTTTGACTTGATCACATCGTAAAGCTTGATGATATGAGGGTGTCTTAACAAGCGCAAGTATGAAATCTCTCTTTCAACACGACCTTGCATATCCGACTTGGCCAAAGTCTTTCTATTGATGATTTTAAGAGCCACTCTTTGGCCTGTGGTGGAGTGCTCTGCCAACTTGACCTTACCGAACGAACCTTCACCCAAAGTCTTGATGATTTGGTATTTTCCGATTCTGTTTGCCGAGCTAGGGGCCGTGCCCTGGGGCGGAAATTGCTGTTGTTGTTGCTGCTTCAGATCGTGGCCATGGTGCCCATGATGACTGTGATGATGGTGGTGGCGATGATGCCCGGACAGTTTACCTTCTTCGGACATGTCGTTGTGATTTGACCAGCGATACAGCAGTTGTAGTTGAATGTGGGTGAGGGGTCTGGTATATTGTAGAGGACACGCCCAACAGCTTGGGTTAGAAGGAAAGCAGAGTACTAAAGGGAAGGCGGAAAAATAGGAAAGTGATGTTGAATCGTTTGACCAATTTAAAAAATTTTCACCACTATGAAATTGATAATTATGTGGACATACGCCAAGCACGATTCGCACCGGTTGCGGGGGAGGGTTGGTACTACGACAATAGCGTTAGCGCCAGTGGTGATGCAGAATCTGCTTCAGTCTTACTTATCAACTCGGAACATTCGGAATTCGTAAATGGTGGCAATGTCTCGTCATGCTCATAAAACCTCATAGAAGAGTTCTTTCTCTCGGCCCACGTTCTCTGGCATCATGATGGTCCTCTTCGTATTGCTCTCTCTTGGACAGCTTTCCTTCACTGCCTCTATTGTAATTGGTTTTCTTCGAATCTTTTCGACTATAGTTCGACCTTCTATCATCGGTATCATTTCTTTGGTCTCCTTGTCTACCTCGGCTTTGGAAGCGGTCTCTTCTATCTCGCTGATACCACCCTCTGTTTCTTTCAGATTTGTTGTATTTTGCTGACTCCTGTGCAGCCTTTTTCTTCTCCTCGAGCAACTTTCGGCGCTGCTCAATTAGCTCTTCCGGAATGCCATCCTTATCTTCTTGGGCACTAAGAAGGTGCTTCCAAAGTGCTTTGCAGAAGGTCCTGCTTTCCTGTTTCCCGAGAAAATCGTCCATCTGATTCTCAATGGCATGTATATCAGGATGTTCTTCTCCTGCCACGAGCTCGTATATGAACCCTGCTGCAATATCGTCTTCCGGTAGTTGTTCACTAAGCTTCTCCTCAATCCAATGTTTGATCACCTCCAAGTTGACCTTTGAAGAGTCCACCTCTTTGTTATAGATCAGCGGCTTTTTGCCTCGGGGGGCTTCTTCAGCCATTGTGGTTATCTTTTCAGTATCAATTGATGTAGTAGGAATGATAGGCGTACAGTGTTTGTCCTCAAGATCCGATCAATTTCAGTCCTCTATTCTATTACTCCTTCCGTTGATCCCACTAGTAAGCTGAAACTGCTATAGCAAACAATGTGATCAGGATTAGTTAATGGTTTGACAAGTGCTTCAATTTCGCATCTGGAGCTGAGTTTACAACTTTTCACCTAGTGCGACAATCTTCTATATATTTCTGAAACGTTTCAGACTCTGAAACTGAGAGAATGCCTTTTCATACCCAAACATGTCAATTAGTTTACAGATCCGAGACATTAAACAGAGCTATCTTCGGGCAAGGCGAGTTCTGGTGTACGACATTGAAAAGACAAGATTTGGGTACCCCGTCTTTGGCGCCTCCTGCGACTTTTGGCTGCAAAAAAGTGACGATCATCATATATAACCACGGAATCCCACACATCCCCCGTTTCATCAACTTCCAGCTTTCAAAACCAAAAACTCATATCCTATTTACTCAATATTCTTCCCCTTGCTCCCACCATGGTTTGCCCACTTTTTGACTCTACCATCATTGGCTTCAAGGCACCCAACCATGGCACTAATAGTTTACGTGGAATCTACCACTGTACAAGGCAGACACTAAATCTCCTTGACACAGTCACGTACCTAGCAGCCACTACCACCCATTTGCAAATCTCTTGTGATCCAAACATATGGTCTCCTTGTTTCACGGGTGTGCCTTTATCCGCTAAAGTCCGTGAACCCAGGAAGTTGAGTTTCGGGAGAAGACTCAGCAGCATTTCCGAGGAAAGCCTTGTACAGACGAGTACAAACGAGCTGCCTCCCACTTCTCCAGAATCACTGGAACCATCAACCAGCTGCGGCGACATCTTCCATAGAACGCGTGGTGTCTTCAGTGTGCCATCTGGCTCACGATTCTTTGTCATCAAATCATTCAGTGCTGAGGACATTGATGCATCCCTTAATAATAATATTTGGACATCTACGGACCTTGGAAACAAGAGATTGGATAGGGCATACAAGGAGACTAAGGACGGCTCGATCTTCCTCTTCTACAGCGTAAACGGCTCAATGAAGTTCTGTGGGGTGGCACGGATGGAGGATAAGGTCAACTTCACGAAGAGTAGCGACGTCTGGGCCGAGAATTCCCGTTGGAAAAGTGTGTTCCCTGTGTCCTGGTTGGTTGTCAAGGACATCTCCAACCGCAGATTGAAGCACTTGACGGTCCCAAAAAACGAAAACAAACCAGTCACGAACTCCAGAGATACTCAAGAGTTACCATTCGATGTGGGCCTCTCCATGCTCGAGATCTTTGTAGAGAAATAATTAGAGAGTGGTTTTGAGTACGTAGCTAAATGCGAAAGCGAGCTCGGTTCTCGTAAAGTGAGAAATCAGCTCATACATCCTAGGTAAAGCCTGCTAGCAACACAACCGCAAAAACTTTATACGTTTAGACGATGTTTTCAAAGAGAGTCACCGTCAACGTCCTGCGCCTGTTTTGCACTAGCAGAGTCGCTCTGGAAGCCAGCAAGAAGAAGGCAAAGGCTAAAGCCCAAGACTACATTCCAGAGAATGTCAAGTACGGTGCCTTATCGAAGGCTCAGAAGGCATTCTTGGACCGTGTGATTCGTGTTGACCAGGCTGGTGAACTAGGCGCCAATTACATTTACATGGGCCAATACGCTGTGCTCTCCACGAAATACCCACATTTGAAGCCGGTCTTGCAGCACATGTGGGACCAGGAGATCTACCACCACGACACATTTAACAAGCTTCAGCATCAACGTCGTGTGAGACCTTCCCTCTTAACCCCCCTTTGGAAAGTGGGAGCTATTGGCATTGGTGTTGGTACTGCTCTCATCAGCAAGGAAGCAGCCATGGCTTGTACTGTCGCCGTCGAAACTGTCATTGGAGGACACTACAACCAGCAGCTACGGGTCCTCATGAATCAATTCAACATTCCTGTTTATGATAAAGAGACCGGCAGAGGCCTCACACCAGAGGAGATCAATAAGGAGATCGAGACATCCCCAGAGCTCGCCAGCTTGAAGAGCACCATTAGCACGTTCCGTGATGACGAATTAGAGCATTTAGATACCGCCGTGGAGCATGATGCTGACAAGGCTGTTCCATACATCTTGCTCACTGAGACCATCAAGTTGGTTTGCAGAGGTGCTATTTGGACCGCGGAGAGAGTTTAAAACAACTCTAGACCATGAAATCCCTAAAACGACATCACAAATTATACGACCACTAAATCAAAACAGATTATTCCAAAGAGCTTCATATGCGAAATCTGAAGAATTAACTAACTGGTGTAGTAGTAGCACTCTGACATGCCTGCAGATGCGCGGCCGCATTCGATATGGATGTAAACAAAGTTCTCTTCAGCACTCTTCTTACATCTACAGCGTGCTGGCCCAAATCTTTATGAGTTCCGGATGTCCAGAATAAGTATGATAAACCGTGCTGACGGTTCGACTTTCAATGGGCCCCGCATATTCAACAGAAACAAGGATGCATTTCCCCTACTAGATTTCAAAGAGTTATCGATATGCCTTCAAACAATGGAGTTCACTGCCAGTGAAGAGTTGATTTCACGACCCACGAGCCAGTACATAAGGACCCTATTTGAAGAGCTAGTTGATATCTTTATGGGTCTCTCGGTGCAATCGACCGAACAACTATCGCATGATTTGATAAAACGCAATAATGAATTTAACCTGAACGACATGCAACAGGATGATGACAACAACAACAACAACAATAATAATAATAATGACTTTGATGCCAAAAAGGACGATACTTCCCAACTGATTCCACTCCTTATTCTATTTCGTTGCTCTTTGGCATTTCTTGAAAAGTGTGGAGTGCATGACTTCAATATAATGGATCTCAAAAAACCAGAATCCCAAAGGATACGACGCATCCTCAGTGCTGTCATAAACTTCGCCAGATTCCGTGAAGAGAGGATGAAAGACTGTGAGCCAATTGCTCAAGTATGTGAAGATTACTCGGAAGAGGTGAGAAAGTCAGAGGCCGAGATTGTTCAGGTCCAAAACGACATTGACCAGCTTGCATCTCAAGTGAATGAGGATCAACTGGGTCAAAGGAAGTCTACTCTAGCTCAGCTTAATAATTACAACTCCAGGCTTGAAAGTGAGCTTAAGAAGCTTCAATGGTCGCAAGAACAGCTTCAGCTCGAACATGCGAGGTATAGAGAACAGAAGTACGGCTTAGCTGAGCAAATTGAAGATCGTCTCTATCTCCTTCAGGAAGAGGCATTACGGGTTGAGAAATTCAAGAAGTTTACCATGGTCAATCCTAGCGAATTGCAGGCGATCCTTGACGACCTCAAAGGTAACCTTGAAGATGCCGAGCTGCAACTTCGAACGGGAGACAACACTTTGCAAAATCGTTCAAAGACAATCAGAGCTATAAAACTGGCAGAGGACGAGCTCAAGAATATCCTTACCATCGTTCAAAACATTGTCGACGACTTGGGTCATCTTGAAGAGGAAGGTAGCGAGCTTGATAGGCAGGCTGAGCAGAGAGACAGAGAGAAGGCTGCGATTGAAGAGATTGAAAACCTGATTCGTCTTACGGAGAGACAGCTAAGTAATCTCGACGAAAAGATCCTCAACACTAATAAGCAGGCCTCGGAAAAACGAGCAGAAGCAGAGCACAGGCTTCAGAAGCTTGAAGACGAATACGCTAGGCTTACTGACGAGAGAGGTGTACGCGAGAGAAGAATGGACCAGAATAGAGTGACCATTCAGGAATTGGAAGAGGACATTAACAAGATGACCGGAGTGTTTGATCGAGAGAAGCGCAACATCGAAGCTGCAGTTGCAAAGCTTAATGCCCATATTAGGACATACTTGTCTGACATGAACAGTCTCCAATGATAGATTCTACGGCCGCTGCTGATGAGCGCATTTCCTTTCATCCTATGTATTATTTGTAATATTAATTATCGCATCGATCTATAAGTTATTTTTTTGTTTCTCCTGTCTGAGTTTCTTCTAAGCGTTCATCGGAGGATGTGCCGTGTGTTAGCTCCTTGGAAGTGTCCGTGGCGGCATCCTCTTTGGATTCCTCATCGTCATCATTGTGTCCAATTTGACTCTTACTTGGAATCTTCTTGTTTGTGGTAAAAAGGGAACTGATGAATGCAAGACTTGCGTATGCTAAGTTAAGATAAAACACATCTTTGAGGGCTTTCATGAATGCAGCGAGTGCATCGTCTCTTGCTGAAACAGGGAAGTCCCATATCATGGCGGGCGCCTGAATGATAGTCCTTGGTGAAAGATGCGAAAGGCTAGGGTTGGACGCAACAACATCGACAAGGTACATTTGTCCACGAGAGGTGAGCATCAATTGGGATGTGACGACACCTATGACACCACCGACGGTTTTCATAGCGTTGAGAAAGATGGTCACCAAAATCATGGAACCTGGAACATGACCTGGGGCTTCTAGTTGAGCACTCATCATGGAGCTCTGGAACATAAGTCCAACTGAAACACCAGCTGGAATCAACAAACCAATACGCTGGCTTGAAGGGGTGTCTGTGTCAAGAATCAAGAAGAGTCCAACACCCACAGGTCCTAGGATACCCGATATGAGCATGGTGATCTTCACGTAACGTGTGAAACGCATAAAGACACCATTGAACACTGATGCTAAAGAAACGGTAATGATAAACGGAAGCATATCGATACCAGATCTCCATGGAGACGCTTGCCAGATGACTTGGAAGTAGATTGCCAAGTACGTGACGATACCCATGAAGAAGCAGAAGTTAAACACGGCCGTCAGAGTAGCCATTAAGATCTTTGGCACGACGACCACTTCTTTGGGGATAAGTGGGTTCCTCGAGAGTTTGAAGTTATAGTAAATGAAGATAATAGTGATGATGCCGCCTAGAACAAAGCAGCAGATGACAGCGGCAGACTTCCATGGGAACTCATTGCCACCAAATGTAAGAGCAAGAAGCAATAAGACGAGACCAGCGGCAAAAAGGAATGTTCCGAGGTAGTCAATCTTTTTAAGCTTTTCTTTCAAATCACCTTTAGGTCTGGGTGGATGAAACGCCAATATGAGCATTCCAAGGGCGAATCCACCAACGGGCAAGTTGATCCAGAAGCACCATCTCCAAGTGACATGAGAGGCAAAGGCGCCGCCAATGAAAGGGCCTGCCACTGAAGCAACGGAGAATGTTATACCAATCAATGCCATTGAAAGTGGTCTTTTGTTGATGGGCACAGACTCTGAAAGCACCACAACAACCATGGATTGGATGGCACCTCCACCGACACCTTGGATGACTCTGCCGCCAATGAGCATGTCCATGCTGTTTGCCAAAGCTGCAATCAAGGAGCCAATCTCAAAAATGATGATACCAGCTATAAGTGTGTATTTTCTTCCAAAGGCGATGGAGATCTTACCGTACAGCGGCATGAAACAGGCTGTAGGTAGAAGGAATCCCGAGGTTAGCCAGCCAACCTTGTCGAAACCACCGAACTCCTCACTGATTTCTGTTAAAATTGTGGCTACAATGGTCTGGTCAAGCGCTGCAATGAAAAGACTCGCCACAATACTCATCAACGTAAAGGCTAGCTTATAGCCATGGATGTATTGCTCCTGGGCTCTTGTTCCGTCACCAGCATCACTCTGAATGAACTTCTTTTTGATCTTTTTGGCCGTTTCGAGATCGACAGGTATTTCAGCTTTTGCCATGCTGTAACGTAAGCTATGTCTGTTAGCTGGGTAATTATGCTAATGGAGGGATGCAGATTATGTGAAGCAGGAAATAGCTTACAAGGCAGATCGTAGATGCGGAATATATATTGCAATCAGAATAACGTAACAGGCATCGAGATGTTTTTCTGGGTTATCACCTGCTGTGCTCTGAGTGGGTGATTTTTTGAGAGTGCTGTGCGTAGGTCTGTACTCCTGGGCTTAGGAGCCGCTGCACAATTGCGCCGACACCTACGGTGCATTAGCGGAATGCCAACCGAGCGTCGGTTATCTGATGAAAAGGAAGGGATTCTCAGCCGTTGCAGTTTGCAAAAAACCGGAAGAAGTTGAGCACCAGGAACCGAAAGCCGAGAGCCGTCTCGAGAGATGAGCATCTCGTAGCGAGCGGCTGACCGGTGAGGCTGCGATTTCTCCTTTAGTATGACCGCAGCAAGTAAGTGCGCCTGCGCAAGAAGCGTCGTAAGATTCGGCTTCCGACTTAGTGAGTAACGGAGAACCGTTTCTCAGAAATTCGCCAGCAGTGAGTCGATTAGGGCCCGTCACGTAAGAATTGCAAGAAATCGAGCTCGACGTCTTCGCCCACACTGCTTGAACGCTCACTTCTTTGCGAAGGACGCTTACTATTCGCATACGAGGCGGTTCCTTTCCTGTGGCCAGCACTAGTTTCTTGAGGAACGTACTCTTTAGATTCAGGAATGGGCTCGTGCGGATCCATCATGGAGAGCCTTCTGGACCTAGACGACTTATTGGAGGGAGAAGTCATGCTTGTTCTGGGTTCTTGCTTGCCCTGTGAATAACTCGATCTCCTTTCTTTAGAGAAATTGAGGGAGTAGTTTTCAAGAGTCAGCCTAAAGTCTCCCTCGGTGATATCGCCATTCAAGAGATTGGAGAAATCATGCTTGGTCAATAACGTGGTGAAATCTGGGTTTCCATTTGCATCAACCGGTTGAGCGCTTCCCAGATTTTGACCGGCGGAGGATCTTTGCTCTTCAAGACGAGAAGAGAGGTAGTTGTTTTGAAACTTTGCAATGTTCTCTTCTGTGGGGAGACCCATGAGTGGGAGACGTAATTTCGCAAGGATTCTTCTCCACAAAGAATACTGTTGCATGTCAATGGACATGGCAGCACTGTAAGAGCTCAATCTTCTTCTTCTCGGCAGAGAGTTCAGATCACCGCTATGGTGGCGCATGTAATTGTCGAGACGGAACGCATTATCCTTTTCATAGTTTTTCATAATGGTGTACTTCCATGGCTCTTCACGGTAAAAGAAGACTAGAGCATCGACGAAACCATTGAACGGTTGCATGAATGCTCCCAAGTAATTAAGCCAGTAAACTGGTCCATGTTCCCGCTCATGATTGAACTGAGTACACTGTAGGAGGAAAGGGAAGAGCCAGACCGATACGTAGGCAATAGGGTAGATGAAAATTGATTTCATCTGTCTCTCGATGAGTTTTTGACGCTTTCTGAAGCTAGCTAAATTAGCAGCCTCTAGCTCAGAGTCGTGCATGATATTATGGGTGTGATTGACCTCGTCTTCTTGATTAGGAGTTTCGTCCAGACTCTGGACGGTTTTGGCTCGCGAGCCAACCGCTTCGACTGCGGAGGCGTCGGAGCTTGAGGAGCTTCCGTTCCGCTCTGCTCTGGGAACGAAAAAGCTCTCTTGAATGGTGTCTCTAACCTTCATGTAGAAAAATTGTAAGGCTGAAAAGAAGGAGGGCTTGCTGTTGGAGTCCCGGGTGTGTTGATGCTGCATGGTGGTGAATACGCCGCCCAAGGCTCTGAATTCCTTGAGGACGTAGTAATAAATGAGTCCGTAGACGAGGATGATGATGACAATGATAAGGTAGCGGGGAACCCAGCTAAGCACCAACCGGTACCAGACCGGCTGCTGCGGGAGGTAGCACCAGCACACGAAGGAGATGTAGCCGACGCCGATATATGCTAATGACGCCATGACCAAAGGTATGACGAAGGAAAGGCCGTAAACGTAGTAACGATACTTGTACAAACCGCCTTCAACACGGCCCGTTTCGGGCAACTTGACGGAAAGCTGGGGCCGGAAGATAAGCAACAAGGTATGTAAAGCGAAGGACAAGATGGCCAAGTCGGCGCCTTCGATAGCTGTGGCGGTGAAGATGCCCACAACCTGGCAAAACCGTTTGTTGACGTACGCCGTTGGGTGGGTAAGCACACGGGCTGGATATAGTAACAAAATACAAGCTTTTAGTAGGTCGAATAGTAGGAGGAATGCAATGAGTTGGTGGCGGAACACCAAGCGCTTTGGGTCGATGGCCAAAAAGCAATACATGGCTAGCAAGCAGGCAAATATGGCCACCAGGGAGGACAGAATGGCCAACGCTCGTTGGACCAAGTTCTGGTAGTCAGAAAATAGCTCCAGCTGGTTCTGACCATAGTCAGTTTGCCGTTTTAAAAGCTCGCCAGCCCACGATAGCCAGGGAGGAGGCATGGAGGACGGATATGTGGAGCAAGGCTCTGGAGCATCAAGGAGACCCTTGGGGAAAGGCTGGGAAAACTGACGACACTAGGTGGGTGGTTTGGAGAAGAGTGTATTGGTAAACTGAGTGGGTGTGAATGGCTCTTTTTTCTGCTGGTATGGGCCTAGATGTACGCGGCGCGGCGCTATGAACTGAGCTGACAAAGACAGATTACACAGGGAATGGGGGAAAAGGGTAAAAAAAGTGAAGGGAGCGCTCGAGATATTTGGACTCGTTCCGGGGTGTGGAATGCCGAAAATGAGTAAATTGAAAAGTAAAAAGGTTGCTTAGGCCGGGTGTTATATGTAGTGTCACGGGGCTCATCGATTTCGCAGCCATGCCCGCCCTAGAGACCTCAGTAGATAATGGGGGGCTAGGGGCCAGAGAAAGTGGAAATAATCCACGCATTGCGTTGTTGACTTGAGTAGCTGATGAATTCGGAATATTTCTGTTTTTGACCAAATGCTGCCAAAACAATGCACACAAGGGAATGGTCTCTCGTGGATCGTGCTGATCACCGCCTTTTTACTAAGCCTCCCGGGGTGGCAGGCCGTTCGCCGAAAATCAGGCCTGAAACAATACATTCCACACGGCAGACGAGTAGGTGTAAATTGCTATATGTATTTTTTGAACTGAAAGATATCTAAGTAACACTGCAACGAGTGTACTCTAGCACCGTCTAAAGCTCACTGCCAAATATCACGGTACAGAATTTTTGCCATAAGCTCTGCTTAACCTCACCGTTGGCCTTCAACCTGTTCTTTTCTTCGAGCTGCTGGTAGTACCATGCCTCGTGGTCTTCAACCTCCTTGAGACCGGTCACCAAATCAACCTCCTCTGGCTTCTTCCACTTGGTACGCCTAACAAGCTTGAACACAATGTAAATGGCAATGTCAATGAAAATCATCAAGTAGGAAAACAAAAAGTTCTTAATGTCCCATCCACCAGGCATGAACGTCTCGTAGGTACCGACAAATATCATGATGAAAGCCATACCACCACCGAATATCGCCAACCAGGGCTGGAACCATCCTCTGAAGGGCAACGAGCGGCGATCAATGCCTTGTGCCTTCATCGCACGGTAGAAACAACAGTAGGTCAAGCACAAGATGGAGAAGTTGATCAACTGGCATGAGGTAATCAAGTTGACAATCCAGTCCAACACTTTAGAAGCACCTTCACCTAACTGCAAGAAAGAAATAAAAGCCCACGCCAACGAAATAAGCATACAATACATGGGAATACCAGATTTCGTGGTGGCAGTGAGAAATTTGGGAGCGTAGCCATCCAAGGCAAATCCGTACAACGTTCTAGACGAGCAGTAAGTGTACGAGTTACCAGCAGAAAAAGCGGACGTAACCAACAAAGCATTAACAATATCAGGGAACACCTTGATTCCCAAGTTTTGCATGGCAATAACGTATGGCGATCCTCCAGCACCTGGCTTAGTGGTACCACGAGTCTCAATCAAGATTGGGTCATTGGAAGGCACGAGAATACCGCAGCAAAGGGCACCTCCAATGAAGAAAATAGTCAACCTGATGAAAACCTGCTTGTAAGCGGAGGGCAAGGTCTTTCTGGGGTTGATGGTCTCACTAGCGACAAGAGAAACGTACTCAGGTCCAGCAAATGTGAAGGTTGCTCTAATCAAACAAGACAAGAAACCTCTAAAGTAGCCAACTTTGCCTGGATACTGAAATGCGCTCAAGGGTCCTGGATCACGCCAGTAGCGGAAACCGAATGCATCATTCTGCGGGTTGCCGCCTACCATAGTGATGAAGGTGAAAAAAATAAGAGCAACAGCCAAGATAACTTTACCCAAACTCAACCAAAACTCAACCTCACCGTAGATCGCAACACCAAAGATGTTGATTAAGAAATACAACACTACCTGAAGTGCCAACGGGATGCCCGCGGAAAAATCGTCTCTCCAGTAATGAAGAATCGAATTGACTGTCACCACCTCGAAAGGAATTTGGGCGCAGCACAAGAACCAGAAATTCCAAGCCGTCATCACCTCCAATGCATTGTCACAGCACCGGCCGGCCATTCTGACGAAAGGAGAGGTAATGGGCAAGTACGTCACCATCTCGGCGGTACTGATAGTAATACACAAGATGGGAATAGACCACACCGTGAATCCAAGAAACAAGTTGAGCGGACCATACACCACCTCTCTGCCGATAGCGACGAATAAAGCAGAGCCGATGGTAGCACCGATACCGAGCAACTGAACATGTCTCGATCTCAAGGATCTGTGGAGATGGTTGGAACTGTCTCGAGAATTGTAAGTAAGAGTCGAGTGGACGGAGCTTACTTCACCAGCTTTTTCACCCTTGTCCAGCAGCAGAGGAGCGACATCAGCAGACGTTTGAGTTCTGGTGAGGTGCTCCAGGGAGCTCGGAACATGAGGGACGAAGTTGTCGTGTAAAAAAGAAGAGAAACCCATGGCGATTATCTGAACCAAATGCTCATGGGATGTTGTGTTAAAAGAGTGTGGTAGTGGGAGTGGCTTTATAAAATAATTTTCCTTTCAATTTTCAGCCTTTTTTTCTCGTCTCAGTCACCTAATCGGGCTTTTCCTGCTTTAGCTGCAGGTAAACCTGGGGTGATACGACCTTCGTCCTTCGCGATGACCACATCCGCGGCCTGGTTCTTAGGCAGGCGGGCAAATGTGGCTGGGTGCCAAGTCGATGGGCATCGATTTTGTGACTGGCTTTTAGGCGTTTCTACCGCTGTTTGCGAGTCTCTCGCTCGGCCTTGCACATATTGCTTCCTCGGCAGTGCATTATCTCGCGCTCAAAAATGCACATAATAGCGATTGCAATGCACGAAGTTCCTCAAGGTGGGGAGCTGCTTTGGCCGATACAAAGCAAAGCCTGGAAGGGTCACGTCAAAGTGAGACAATGGCAACACGTCTTTGACGCTTTGAGGACGTTATGGTGCCACAAAAGTGCAATCGTCGGCCGTGCTATGTATTGATGGGCAAAAGTTGGCCGACTCGGCCCACCTGGTCAGAGTCTAACACTAATTGTGACTCTCCCCGTAGAAGCATGCAGCAAGCTGAAATTCGTGTTTATCCGTTTAAGTTACCAGAGCAAGCCCCATTAGACCGCATCCCACGAGTACAGGATTGTGTGGGCATCACCTTGTCTTGATATTATTTTCTTACTGCTGTAGTGGAGCATACAACACCTGGGTCACATACTTCCTTTTGTACCTGATAACCGAAGCCACCGCCAAAGTGTTATGCTTGACGCTGGTAGTGGCCAAGTGGTTGAGCACAACGTGGTTGGGGATAGGCAAGGCGCCGGAGTTGTTGTCCTTGTCCTGCGAGTTATAGCTGTTGAGAATAACGTTTTCAAGATGTGGGGGTAATTGTGGAGCACACAACCAAGCTTGGTCTTGCTGGTTTCTGTTTCTAGAGCGCTGCTCCAATGCTAGGTAATACTGTTCCATGACCTTTGGGTCTTCGAAAATGGGGGGAATGTCGCTTACATAATTGTAAGTTTTGGCTGGAGCGTCTTCGGCTTCCTCGTGGTATCTGGAATAGCCATCACCCATATCGTCCTCGTCGTTGGTGAAACCAAACACCGAGTTGGAGCGGCCTCTGGAGCTGACAGACGACCTTCTGCTGGTACGCAGCTTGCTTTCCTCCTCCTCACGCGCCATCTCCTCCTGTTCTTCTTCTAACTGTTTAAGGTGCAATTGCACATGCTCGGGGGTCACTTCGATGTAGTTGACAAAGTTGCCCATCAGGTCTGTTGCTGTGGGCAAGAAGTCGGAAAAACGCAACTCGTTGTCAACGACGAAACGGAAGCGGTGGGTGCCCACAGGCAACCCTAACGTAACAAGGTACGTTTTTTCCTCCTCTTGCTTCTGCAAACCAATCATCTTTCTCCATCCGGTGAAGGAACCGGTCACGTACACCTTTTCACCGCCCTGGACCCATTTAATGTCCACAGGAACAGTAGCATTTGGGTCGGGAACGGGAGCAGACCCGCTGGGCTCAGTCTTCTTTTTGGAAGACTCCTCAGCCAGAGGCTGTTGCTCTTCCACATGCATGTTTTCGTTGTCTTCGCTGTCGTCCAAGATTAGCTTGGATTTTCTTCTTTGGGGCGGTGCTTGCCCAGAGTCGGAGGCGATGCTGTCCACGGCGTTGGACACGTCCACCATGGAGAAGTCGTTGCTTTCAGACATCTCCGCTATTGTTTCGTGTTGTTGTCTATAGTGTGGTTGATGTTATGGATGACAGGGCGGAAAAGTAGGAATCTGCTACCGCGAAACTCTTGGTGGGGCGGGACGGTGAGAATGGCAAAGCTGTCCCGGTGGGGTTTTTTTTAATTAGAGTGCTAGGAAGTTTATAAGGATAAACAAGAAGGTATTTTTTCTACGTTTTGCCTGAGGGGGCAACTCCAGCACTGATAACTCGTGGGTGGGGTCACAGCCCTACAGGTTTCAACGGTCACTTCACGTGAGACATGAACCTCCACCAAGGCGACGAGGCGGTGAATCCAACGAATCAACGTATTTTAGGAAGCAGTACGTCGGCGTAGTCTATTTCACCGAATTAAGGAGGAACGAATGTAGGAGATGTTGTTTCCAGAGGAACATTGCAATGGTCTACTTTGATTGGTTCCAAGGTCCCCCCTGAACGCTAGGCGCTAATCGTTGACAGCTCTCCGGATGTTCGGTTGAGCCGGAATGCTTTATAAATTGCAAGAAGAATTCGGTTTCTATTCATGAGAGTATATTTGTGAGTGTGGAGACACTTTTGATGCCCCGCTGTTCCCCGCCACTATTGGGATATAGTACGGGCAGACATTTATGATCACCAATAAAGTTAAAAAATGGGCGAAAGGACACTGTGGATTAAAGTTGAGAAGTTAAGCTCAACAATTAAGGTAGGTGTGTATCGGTGGAAGACAATCGGGTGATGTACAACAGTTGCAAAGCGCAATAGTTTACGAGCCATGTCTCAGTTCAATAAGATTTAGGTTAGTTTACAAACCTAAAATTCTGTGAGCTTAAGCACATTGAGGCGGCTATAATGCGGTCAAGTGAAGTAGATGCTGACGGAAAGATCAAGGACATATGATGAAGCTTTCGTCCATTGAGGACTTACACTGAGGTGATTTGCTCTTGGCTCGAAGCGAGTTACATTGCGATTTACCCACTTCAATTTCTCTTTCAGGGTTGAGGTAATTGACGGTTTCACCTATTAGAAAATTTTGGCTTTTGAAAGATATTAATGTGAAGAAGATTAATAGTCGGGGCGGTCCACGGTATAAACGTAGACTTCCGTATAGACTACTTTGCTACAGCCGCTTTCGGATCTTCCCTAGATGTTTCAGCCATACACCAGTAGCGTCACAGATGTCAGTTCGTGTAGCGACCAGAATGGCTCAATCATAAACGCTGAAATCTTTAATCTTTGCTACAGACCTGCCATACTTACCATGTTAATGGCTAAACAGAGGGCCATCTACAGCGACATCGCATCTACACTTTCTCGTAAAGCTCTTAATGACTTGCATCCACCAAGTACCAAACGTTTCACTCATACATATAAGCCGCAAGAAGAATAATTTTTCTCGCCGACCCACATACTGGATTCTCATGGCTACTGAGATGTTCATTGTCGCAGCCCAAACAGGTATGCGCGTGAAACGAATGGCACCGAGTATTTTGCAGCCATTCAGTATAAAGCCTCTGCCATTTCCTGGCATTCGAAAGTAAGACAGATGGATTTTTCAAATGACATTGTGCTCAACTATACTGTGGCAGCAGAGGAATACCAACTCACGTTTGGTATTTTGGACTCCACAGTGGACCGCACCCTCCAGCTCTGTGTGGTTCACGGAATGGCCATTGGATGCGGTGCCCTTTTGATGCTTCTCTCGTGGGTGGTGATCATCAAAAAGACCACGCCCATGTTCATTTTAAACCAGCTTACTTTGATGCTCATGATTATCAAGTCGGCGTTGTTTCTTTGCTTTTTGTTCGGACCCTTGAGCTCGCTCACATACAAGTTCACAGGACTTTTCCCAGAAGAAAGATGGCATGCGTTCCACATCTATATTGCTACAAACACCATTCACACCTTGTTGATTGCAACTGTGGAAGCTACTTTGGTCTTTCAGATCTACGTTGTATTTAAATCGCCTGAAGTGAGAAACTTAGGCTACATCATGACATGTGCAGCCGGGGCATTGGCCACAACCATTGTGTCGTTATATATCCACAGTACAGTGATATCGGCCAGACAGTTGAGACAACAGCTTATGGAGCAGGATGTTACCCCTACAAACTCTTGGGTCAACAATGTGCCTGTCATTCTTTTTTCTGCCTCCCTCAATGTTGTCTGTATCATATTGATCTCCAAGCTTGCCTTGGCCATCAAGACCAGACGATACCTCGGATTGAAGCAATTTGATGGGTTGCATATTTTGATTATCACATCAACCCAGACTTTTATCGTGCCTTCTGTTTTGATGATTGTGAACTACAGACAGTCAACTTCTTACTCGACATTGTTGGCGAACATCAGTGTGATTTTGGCAGTTTGCAACCTCCCCTTTAGTTCTTTGTGGGCTACTTCGGCTAACAATTCTCCTACCCCTACATCCTCCCCCAATACCGTCTTCTCCAGATGGGACTCAAAAATCTCTGACACCGAAACGTTGAATCAGGATATGCCCTTGATTCCTGGAAAGGCTGAAAAAATCCAGTTGGTGAGTCCAACCACAGAAAAAGGCGACGTTCAGACAGTCTGTGGCTCGGACGGTGACCAGGATCTGATTGATCGGATTCTTGACGATATGGATGGAGCAGTAATGACGACCGAGCTTAATCTTAGAGATAGAATGTGCTAAATTACTTAATTGTTCGTTTTTGTGCCATGTAGCCCACGCCAGTATTACCGTAGTGCACTTTTCGTATCGCGAAATCAGTCTTCCACCCATACTCAAACTACACTCTATTCACACTCTTTCAGCTAAAACAGATGGCCGACTATGACAGCCCCTTTCAGATGGACGAAGACCTTGGTCTGCCGAACCGTGCGCTAGATCCAGATCTATCGGGGACCAATATCAGTCCATCGGGGGGTCAAGAACTGAACCGTCCAAGAACATTACAGACTATGCCCGCTCAGAGCTCACAGAAAATGGGAACTGAGGCGCTCCGATCCCGTCTTCAGAAGATCAAGCTTGAAGAGGGAGTTGGTACAACCACCGAAGAAGAGTGGACATACGATGAAGATGCCGACGATAAGTTTGACAAGGAGGCTGCCGAAAAGACCCGATTAGAGTACATCAAGGCCGCTGAACTTGCCACGCAGCCTTTAACGCCACCAGAAAACTTTGCTCCGGTCATCAACAACATATATCGGTCTTCTTTCCCACAGCAGCCGAACTTCTCGTTCTTGAAGACACTCAAGCTCAAGTCGGTGTTGTGTCTCATCCCGGAGGAGTACCCAAAGTCCCACGAGGACTTTTTTGAAGAGGAGGGTATCCAATTATTTCATCTAGGCATGGCTGGTAACAAGGAGCCGTTCGTTATCATCAGCAGTGAGCTCATCACTGAAGCGATAAAGATTGTGATAAACCCAGCAAATCAGCCCATCCTCATTCACTGCAATAGAGGAAAACACAGAACCGGCTGCTTGGTGGGCGTTTTGCGGAGACTCCAAAAGTGGTCTCTCACAATCATTTTCGACGAATATCGAAAGTTCGCTGCACCAAAGGAACGTCCTATGGATCAGCAATTCATTGAGCTCTACGACGAGAATAGGATATTACTGTACGCTCAAGACAATGGGTTGCTACCGTTGAAATGGGATTAATGACTATTGACAAACTACTCAGATGGCCAGATAAACTCCTTACCATAGATTCCAGCGTTTCCTAGCGCAAGACCCGCAAGGGCCAAGGGAGAAACGTGGCCTCTGATTAGACTTTTGAGGGCCGGGCGCCCGTTGACAAGCAAGTACAATGTGGACCAAGCAAATGTGAAACCGGCACCATTCGGGACGTCTCCGTCGTACATGATGTAGCCGCCCAAGGCGCTGGCGCCGCCAAAGAGGAAGCACGATATTCTGTTTGGTTTGGAGGCGGCCACCGACTTACTGAAGTCAAATGACCCACCCGATCCTAGCTTTGGGTCCACAGGTTTCTGGATTGATAAGCCACGGTAGACTAGGGCCGCTGAAAGAGCCCAGGCAGGCACAGGCGAGGATGAAGCAGTATTGGCATATTTGAGGGCGGTTTTAGTAAAGTCGTTGGATTCAGCCATTGCGTCGTGGCAACCTTGAATAGAATGTGTAATGAAAGTTCACTATGTATATGGGGCACCTTTGCTGAGTATAGAAGCCGCGGCCTGCAGGAAGCAACAATTTGACATAAGGTAGAATAAATTGGGTGCGAAATTTAAAAAAAAGGCGCACACTACAGAGCAAATATTCTTCAAAAACGGTGTATTCGATACTTTACACTATTTTACAAACCAGACCAACGAAGTGAAAGATACTATTCCAGCACCGCTTACGATCTCTCGCCTCTCAATCTTCTGGCCAACTGGATGTCCTTCTTCTGGATAGTGACTCTCTTGGCGTGGATGGCACACAAGTTGGTGTCCTCAAACAAGGAGACCAAGTAGGCTTCGACGGATTCCTGCAAAGCACCAATGGCAGAGGACTGGAATCTCAAGTCGGTCTTGAAGTCCTGAGCAATTTCTCTGACCAATCTCTGGAAAGGCAACTTTCTGATCAAGAGATCAGTAGACTTCTGGAATCTTCTGATTTCTCTCAAGGCAACGGTACCTGGCTTATATCTGTGAGGCTTCTTGACACCGCCGGTAGATGGGGCGGACTTTCTGGCGGCCTTAGAAGCCAATTGCTTTCTTGGGGCCTTACCACCAGTGGATTTTCTAGCTGTCTGCTTAGTTCTAGCCATATTGAAATGTGATGATAAAAAAAATCTTAACCGAGTGATTCCTGCCAGGTTATATATCTTGTGCGGGTTTGTTTGGGCAGATTGTTTATTTTTCCTCTGCGCGGTGGAAAGCTACATTTTTGCTAGACGCTGCCAGTGACACGAAATGCGCACCCAAGAAGCGAGCGAAAGGGCCACTTGTGGCGGTTTTTCGGTGCGGGAGAGGCACCGAAAGGGCTCTTTTGCGGGCCTGAAAAGATCAATTTGGGGCAAACGGTCGCGCGCTGGAAGGAAAAAAGTTGCGGTGCGAGCGAAAAGTGGATAATTGGAGTGCTGCAATTTACGCACCGCGGGGCGTACATCGTGTCCTTCACTTTTTGAACGTACCTAGGCACAAAAGAAGCGTTCCTCAGGTCTTGCTTGTGTTGGTACTGCACAGCGTGGCGTCACCGCAGGGCCTCATTCTCGTGGTTGCAAAACACTCACGCTTGGTATAAAGCATCACCAAATCCCCCAGAGTGAGAATCTTTTTTTTAATTACCAACTATATTATATTACAATGTCCGGTAGAGGAAAAGGTGGAAAAGGTCTCGGAAAGGGTGGCGCTAAGCGTCACAGAAAGATCTTGAGAGACAACATTCAAGGTATTACCAAGCCAGCTATCAGAAGATTGGCCAGAAGAGGTGGTGTCAAGCGTATCTCTGCTTTGATCTACGAGGAAGTCAGAGGTGTCTTGAAGTCCTTCTTGGAGAACGTTATCAGAGACGCTGTCACTTACACTGAGCACGCCAAGAGAAAGACCGTTACTTCTCTTGATGTTGTCTACGCTTTGAAGAGACAGGGTAGAACCTTGTACGGTTTCGGTGGTTAAACTGCTGTGTATTGCTAGCTTCCATTCTTCAGTGTATATTAGAATATTATTGACTCGAAACTTCTATTTTGTATTTCAATTCATGTTTTGAACAGAGTTTTTGGCAAATTCCCCACCTAGTTTAAGGTAGCGGTCGATTTTGTCATCAATCCTTTGCTCTATTGCGTCCAAGTCGAATGGCGTCGTCTCCTCAAACTGGTCTGACATGACCCAGGAGTAATGCTTAATACACATGCTAGAATAATCCTCCACATCCTTGTGACCTGGAGGACACTCGCAACGACAACCCACGCCATTTCGAGCAGTTGGGTCGGGCGAGTTGTTGCTCATAAAACTAAGCCATGGGTTGCTTTCTGTGTGAGCGTATTTTTGTTGTGCTGCCTCATATGGGAGCTGTTTACCCGGTGCATTGTTGGGACAGTGACCCATGGTCGTATGCTTGTACCCAATGTCACGGAAATAATGCAATTCTTCTCTTTCGAGGAGCATGGCCACCGCGATTGAATGAACGGGGGCATCTCCCCACCGCTCTCTATAAAACCCACCATCCTTTTCCAAATAATCATAGTAGGATTGATATTGCTCTGAAAGGAAGAGATCAGTGCGTGCAATCTCAAAGTTTGACCAGAAATGGCAAAGATTGTATTCCTCGTCATCAAATTTGTCCAAGGGAATGCTTGGTTTGTCGTATGACTCGTCAAAGATATTCCTAATATTATCAGAATCTTTGACTGCTGCAAAATCCTTATCAGTCTTGCCACTTTTGGCGAGCAAGCGTCGCAAGTTAAGGTCTTTTTCCACCTTCGTTTCAAATTGACGGTCAGTCATCCGGTCATTTCCCTTGTAGTTAGCTGCATTCTTACCCTTCACCGCTCTGTACCTGTCGGCGACGAATTCCCAAGCAGACTTCACCTTGATTTCATGCTCTTTGATAAATGCCTTGGTCGTGGAAAAGAGGGTGGGGACACTGTAATAAATCTCTCCAATGGCGACCGTGAAGCCATACTTCTTCTTATGCTTTTCCATCTCAAGAAAGGGATCGTAAGTCAAATCGCAGAAGAATTGTACATCGGGCTCGACCCTCCAATACCATTCATTTCTCAGAACAAGTGGGTGCTTGAAGAATTCGCCAGAATAGAACCTGCACATCTTGTGGTATGATTCCATGTTACCATAGAAAATCTTGCGATCTCCCTGGCTCTCGATGCTCTCCTTAAGCACATCCGGATCGATGTCCGGACTAAAGTTCCACTTCTCCGGTGCAACAGTGCCAAACTCACATTTAGCCGTGGTATGGCTCTGAACAGTAGTTTTAAACTCATCTGTGAATTCCACATCGTTGAGGAAGACCCATGGGTAGTTGTACCACTGATTAAAATGCCTTTCCAAAGACTCCATGGATTTCACAACGTCATCCAACTCGGAGTTTCTAGCTAGCATAACAAATGAGGCATTTGCCCGAGGAGCGTTTGTGTCTGGAACTCTGCACCCTACCTCGAAAGGAAAATCGATCTTTGAACTGAGGTTTTTCATGCCCATACGGCGATCCTTTGGGTTCGTATAGTCAGGTAGATCCACGCCATCATCAAAGTTCTTTCTCTTCCTGATGCGCTTGATATTGAGTGAAATCAAGAGTGTAGCAGTGAGTATAATAAATAAAAGGAGGATGAATTTTCGTAGCATCGTCAAACGGGGAAGACCAGGCCGACGTAACCGGTGTTTGAACATGCTGAATAATCGCAGCTTCCGTGAAGGTCCATGCTTGGCTTCTTCCGAATAAGCTGCGCTGTCTGAATAATCGTCAGACATCGAATGTAGAGGTTGCTCTTCAGCCATCGAACTTTATGGTGCGCTTAATGAGTGAGACAGGCCTTGGATCTATAGATAACGCGGTGCCTATCTGCAAGACATTTAAGGTACAACAGCATTGCTTGCTTTTTGGGGCACTTTTATGGTACAATGTCTATGCTACACTACTTATTTTCTCTTTTCACGCTGATGGCGTTCCGAAGAAGCGTCAAGTCCTCGTTGAGTTCTTCGACCTTCAACCCTTGCACACCCACAAACTGCTTGGTCAGACCTCTGGTGTTGGCCCTACCAGTCTGCTTACTCGTGCTTCGAGCCAAAATATTAGTGGCTCCGCCCTCTTCGTTGTTCATGATTAAGCTGTTGAGCTCGTCGTAGTCCTTGTCACTGAGATTACTGTCGTTGCCGCTGCTGGCGCCATTATTGCTGACATGCTTCAAGGAGTGGCCCTGGCCGTTTCCTGTGCTGGTGATTCCTGATGACATCTCGTCGTTGGAGGAGTATCGCGTGGCATAGTGTCTTCTGCGCTTGTTGGAAGACGAGGAGTAGCCCGCGGAGCCTGCTCCAGAGCCCGAGTTTCGAAGGAAACCATTGCCGTTCGAGGTGCCAAATCCTGAGTCTGAAAGGTCATCTGCTTCTCCAGAAGTGAAGCGGGACAGAAACTCACGCTTTCGAAGGGACCGGCGGTCGTTGATGCTGAGTGACGAAGAAGCAGCTGCAGCGCTAAGAGCCGATATGTTCTGATCATTTCCGCCTTGTGTGCTCCACAGACTAGCATTCACAAGATTGAGAAGAAGCTTGTCTTCTTTTAGCTGCTTCACCTGTTTCTGAAGCTTGTCGAAGAACTTCTCCTTCAAAAGCTTGATCATCGTATCGTAATTCTCCTTGGCCTTGGCGATGTCTTTCTTGTACTCTGTGTCTACTCGCTTGACCTGGTACTCCTCCCAGAGGCGTAACCTGGTGAGCTCATAGTCTCGCCTCTGCTCTAGCACCTTACGCTTTCCAAGGTATTCCTCATTGGTACCCTGTTGGAGGCCGGTGAGATTGTTTTGAATATCGTGAACCATGATACGGTAGTATTCATTTCTCTCCTCGCTGAATGTGGCTTCTAGTTTGCTGAGCCGGGTACCAATCTGATGCCGCTTTCTGTCTCTTTTACTCACTGGGGTTAGTGGCTGATCGTGATAAGGCGATGCCGAAGTTAACATACCATCATTAATGATGCCGTTTCGTGTGTAGTCGTCCATTACAAGTAATGTGGAGGTTTTCGTGGGTATTTGTCGCTGTTGATGAGAATGGAGCTAATAAACCCAGCGATATGCCAGGCATTATTCAAAGGCTGTGTGCACTACCCTGGCTTGTCTACCCATCCGCAATGCCGATTCGATTATTTGGCAACTGGAACCTCTTTCCTCTGTGAAAAATAAATCAAATCGAAATTTGGCTCAAAATTATTCCAGTAGATGTCCTAATCATGTACTGAAATTAGGAACTCACAAACCAAACGGAAATGTGATACGCCATCTTATCAAGAACCATATCCATGAGAGTTGAACAGAAGTGGGAAAAAGAAAAGTCCAATTCCCTTCAACTCAGACGTTTCCTTTGCTGAATTCTCAATGTGGTGCTTCCATTAGTTCAGGCGTTTGGGGCGGGATCCCAAAGGAAAAAAACGGAATTGCGAATGGAATCTTTCGGATATCGAAACATACTGCTCAGACTGTCAACATGAGTTCCAATTTTGAGTTCTTGAAGACCCTTCCTTTTGCCGACAGGAAATACGAGACGACTCCAAAGATAACGGACAGCTGCACCTTCAATTTGGCCAAGGATGGAAGGACAGTGACTCTTTTCCCAGCATACTCATCCCAAGAGATCCCAGCGGCACTTTTCGAGATTCTTCACGAGGAATTCAATTATGTCATAGAAGAAGGCCAGACGTATCCTCACTACTTGCCTATGAGCCCTGAGGAGTTTGAGGCTTATCTTTTCGAGGGAATGGCAGCCATTTTGGTCAATGGTGAGTTCAACAAGGACGACTTTGACCAACCGAAGTCATTCTGGGAGGAGAAGTATCTTGGTCACTTCTACATAAAGCCAAATTACATTGGAAGGTGCTCCCATGTTTGCAATGCAGGCTTCATCGTGAACCATTTCGTGAGAGGTCTTGGTTTGGGCAAGGAGATGGGAAGGAAGTTTTTGGACTGGGCGCCTCGTCTCGGCTACGTCTACTCCGTCTTCAATCTTGTTTTCGAGACCAACATTGCAAGCAAAAAGATTTGGGACTCCTTGGGCTTCGAACAGATAGGCTACATCAAGAATGTTGCTGTTCTCAAGGGCCACGACAGGTTGATTGGTGCATACATGTATGGCAGAGACCTCATATGACTGGATCTCTGACATACTGTGACCTTTTCTGTGTGAAATGGGTGCAATGCAACCTCAAGGTCGGAATCATCTTATGTAAGGTGAGAGACTTCAACCGTCACAATGAACCCAATGCACACTTTTGCACTCCAGCATTCACAGTTTTAGATAAAGAAATAGAACTTTTATAGAAATTGAAAAAATCGGTGAAACCTTGCAAATACCCAGATTATCACGTGCCCGGAGTTGATGTCTCATCGAAAACATACCGGTCCTAGCCCACGATATACACAACAGGACAAAATCTACGGAGGCACGATCGGTTGCAAAATAAACCCGTGTTTTGTCTCTCTGTCCACAAACATGCCTGAAATAGACGATGTCATCAATCCGCCGCATTACAGGCCTCAGCTAGACTACAATCCAATGTCTAGCATTGAGCGATACACTGTTTTGCTTAAAGACGGTGAAACAACAGCGACGATATATCCAATACAGAATGCCGACGAACTACCGCCGGGCTTGCTAGCGTTCTTGTGCGATGAACTTAATATGGAAATAGAGCGTGGTGACACGATATCCTTCTTTGATACACTTCATATTCTGAATTTTCAGAACTACTGGTTCGGCGCATTCGCCGGTGTTATGGTACTTGGGGACTCAGCTCAGCTAGAAGGCCCCAAGCAATGGGAAAAGGAATGTTTGGGAACATTTTTTGTGAAACCAAATTACCCTGGACGTGCCTCTCATATCTGTACCGCTGGTTTCTTGGTCAATGCTGGTATCAGAGGTAAAGGCATTGGCCGTACTTTGGCTGACTGTTTTCTACAATGGGCCCCTAGACTCGGATACACCTACTGCGTCTTTAATTTGGTTTTTGAAACAAACGTGTCCGCTAGAAGAATCTGGGAGTCTCTCAATTTCAAAAGAATCGGTAGGGTGAAATCAGCCGGTATTCTCAAGGGCCATGACACGGCGGTGGACGCTATCATATACGGTCGAGAGCTAGTGACAGTGTCTGACTCGACTGTTGGTGCTTATCGGTTTGACAAGATTAAGTTTTATCTCGAAACTGGTAAGTATCCTGCCATGGCAGACAGACAAGAAAAGTCCAGGCTACGGTCTTCTGCCTCACACTATAGACTAGAAAATGGAAAACTCATGCTTCGAGACAAGGAAGTTGTCAGTGATCCCGTGAGGCAACTCCAAATTTGTACTGAGGTCCACTTGTCCAATCACGGTGGAATCAACAAAACCACATCTGCTGTTACTGAAAAATATCATTGGACGAGGATCAAAGATACGGTAGCTGCAGCAATCAAGAACTGTATGGCTTGCAGAGAATCAGCAAGGGAAGAAATTGCTATCAAGCGTGCTGTTGTGCCTAAGAGAGTTCTTCAAAGTCCACCAGAAGGACGTCGTGATTTGAATCATGTTACGAACCAGAAAAGCTCACAGAACAGAATACGACGTGATAATGGCCACGATGAGGTGGATTCTATCTCTGCAATTCATGGGCTCCAGCATCGCGAATCAGACAATTTGTTAACCCACGATCTCTCAGGACTTGATGATGGACTAATAGCTGTTGTAGAGGCTGCACAACGACGCCAGCAGTCTCCACAACAGAGATCAGACAATGACCATCGCAATCACCATGCACCATCCTATGCTGCTGTTGCAGCAGCTGCTGTCGAGCCAGAATCTCACAGGGGATACCAAAACGATTATTCTTTCCACTACAATGAGAAGTACAATTCTTCCAAGGACCGCGATAGAAATGACGATGTGCCAGTTGATCCAGACGTGTCTGAGTACGACCATAATGTGAATCCAGAGGGTGATGAGATTGAAATAGCAAGGGCATTAATGCAATCAAATGACGACGTTGACGAAAACTCCCCAGAAAGAGGGCAGCGCCTGCAAAAATCCAGCGAACAAGACAGAGCAAACGAAGCAAACATGTTCTTCAAAAATCATTAAATAATTCATTAATATTGTATCTTATAATTTATGTACTTTGTATGATTGTGTAACATAACTATTTTTAAATGCATTTTATAGAATCTAGTGCCGTTTACAAGATTATTATTCCCCCAAACAATATCTCAGGCACGAAAATCTAATGTCGACTTAAAAGTCAACACCAATGACCATAGCCAACAAGGCCATTCTGACATACAAACCGTATCTCATTTGTCTGAAGTAGGCAGCTCTCTGGTCGAAGTCAACCTCCTCCTTGATCTCACTGGTTCTAGGCAATGGGTGCATCACGCACATGTGCAGCTTGGCGTGAGACAAGATCTTGTTGTCGACAATGTAAGTGTCCTTCAATCTCAAGTACTGCTCTCTGTCCTTGAATCTCTCTTCCTGGACTCTGGTACAGTACAAGACATCAGACTTAGCAATGAGCTCAGGAGTCAACTGTTCGGTCTCAACAGACAACATGTTGTGCTCCTTCAACATAGTCTTGATGCTCTCAGGCAAGGACAACTCCTTAGGAGCCACCAATTGCACTCTGACCTGGTAGTGACGCAACAAGTACAAGAGCGAGTGAACTGGTCTGCCGTACTTCAAGTCACCCATGAAAGTGACAGTGATACCGTTGACAGTACCCAATTCCTCTCTGATGGAGAACAAGTCCAACAAAGCCTGGGTTGGGTGTTCCTTGCTTCCGTTACCACCGTTGATGATTGGCACTGGAGAGTACTTGGCAGCAATGTCAGCAGACTCCTCGGTTGGGTGTCTCAACACAATAGCGTCGGAGTAACAAGCCAAGGAGCGAATAGTGTCTTGCAAAGTCTCGCCCTTCTTCACGGAAGAAGAGTCAGCAGCGACAGCCACAACTCTACCACCCAATCTCTGCATAGCGGCATCGAAAGAGGAAGAGGTTCTGGTAGATGGCTCGTAGAACATGGTGCACAACAATCTGCCCTTCAACAAGTCCAAGACACCCTGTCTCTCAACAGCCAATCTCATTTCCTGAGCGACAGTGAACAAGGAGTGCAAGTCAGAACGGGTGAAGTCCTTGACAGACAAAACGGAGTTTCTGAGGAAAGTGTTGTTTCTTCTGATGTAGTTGGTCAAGGCATCAGAGTCGGACAAGTTGCCAGATGGTGGCTGAGAGACCAATTCAGATCCCAACTTCTCCAAAGTGCCCTGAGAAGGCTGCTGCTCTCTCTCCTTCATCAAAGATGGACGACGACCCTCACCGAAAGAGGCTCTGACCTTCTTCAAGTTAGGAGACTGAGGAAGGCTGGTGATCGATCCAAATCTGTCTCTGGTGGCAAACTCATTCTTACCAGAAGCGTCAGATGGCAAGATAGAGCTGTCCAAGCAAACAGTCTCACCGTGAAGGGAGACTCTCTCGATGTAGCCCTGGAACTTACGGCTACCGAAGATGGAGCTGATAGCCACAGAGACGGGAACAGCTCTCTCAATGTCGATCTCGACAGAAGCATCCTGCTTTGGAAGGTTCAAGATCTGGACAGGGTTGTCGTGCAAACGCTTAACAATGTCCTTGACAGTGAGCTTGCCCTCCTTGACGGCAGAAAGCAACAATGGCAAGGCCTCCTTGATGCCAAAAGCTGGAGTGACATCATGACCAAGACCTCTGGCAACCATGTATGGCAAGACACCAATAGAGAAGCAGTCAATGTGCTCCAAGTTCTCCCACAAAGCGGCCTGGTCCTCGGCAGTAGGCAAGAAAGCAAACTTGGAGTAGTCATCCTGAGACAAGAACAAAGCGTAGACGGAGACATCGCAAGTAACGCTCAAGTCCTTGGCCTTGGCCATCTTGATCAACTCCAAGTCCTCCTTGGAAGACACAGAGGTGATGTGGATGGATCTGTTGTACAACGAAGCCAACAACAAAACAGAAGCCAAGTCAGTAGAGCAAGCGTCGGTGACAATTGGCTTAGATTGAGGCCAAGAAGCAAAGTGAGCAGTGATGGAAGACACCTTGGAGTTGGCGAAGTCGTTGAATGGCAAGAACAAAGCACCAGCATTCTCGGCGGCCTCAGCACAGTCCTCGGAGTTGGTAGCAGAACCAGCAAGACTCATGGAAAAGTTGGTGAAGGCAGAGTCCGAAGCGGTGGAGATGGCGTCAGCCAAAGTGTCAGCGTCGTAGACAACGGAGCCAGCAACGGTTTGAGGCAAGAAAGCGTTGAAAGTGAAACCAGAAGACAAGGACTCCTTGGTGGTGACCTCGAAATCATCGAAAGATGGAACGAAGCTGGTCATGTTGACCAAACCTGGCAATTCGGTGGTGGTGTGCGAGGTCTGAGCATCGTTGTTGGAAACGTTCAAGTCAATGTTTCTGGCAATAGCTTCAACCAAGAGCTTGGCACACTTCACGTTAGTGACCAATGGCACAGAGTAGTCAACAGCCATACGACGAGATTCGTAACCCTTGGACATGTAAGAAGCAGGACGACGGAATCTGTTGGAGGATGGCAAGTTGATGTAGACATCGATCATGTTGTTAGCCAAGTGCTGAGTCAAAGAGAACTCGGACTTCTGGTCCTCACCCTTGCCCATGACCTCCAAGTAGTGAACTGGGATACCATGCTCCTTGATGAAGTCAGCAGTACCGGCAGTGGCAAACAACTTGTAGTCCAACTCATGCAACTTTCTGATGGATGGCAACAACTCCTGCTTCTCCTTGTAGGAACCAATGGAGAACAAGAAGTTCTTCTTTGGCAACTTGAAACCAGTAGAAATCAAAGACTTCAAGTAGGCCTCGTACTTGTTTCTACCGAAAGTAGCAACCTCACCAGTGGAAGCCATCTCAACACCCAAAACAGGGTCGGCACCAGCCAATCTGGAGAAAGAGAACTGAGGAACCTTAACGGCACAGTAGTCCTCTGGCAACTTCTCGCCTGGGTATGGGGTGACTGGCAAGTCCATGATGGCCTTGGTAGCCATCTCAATCAAGTCAGTGCCAACAACCTTGGAGATAAATGGGAAGGAACGGGAGGCACGAACGTTACACTCGATAACCTTGATGTCCTTGTCCTTAGCAATGAACTGAATGTTGTAAGGACCAGTGATGTCCAAAGCCTTACCAATCTTAGCAGTAGCTTCGACAATTCTAGAGACAGTCTCTGGGTCCAAGTCCTGAGGTGGAACAACAAGGGTAGCGTCACCAGAGTGAACACCAGCGTTCTCGACGTGCTCAGAGACGACGTGCATGATCATCTTACCGTCCTTGGCAACAGCGTCCATCTCAATCTCCTTAGCGTTCTCAATGTACTTGGTGATCACAACTGGGTAGTCTGGGGAGACATCAACAGCCTGAGACAAGTAAGAAGCCAAGTCAGCCTTGGAGTAAACAGTGTTCATGGCAGCACCAGACAAGACGTAAGAAGGACGAACCAAGACTGGGTAGGAAACCTTCTCGGCGAACTCCTCGGCCTCGTCAATAGAGGTCAACTCCTTCCAGGCAGGCTGGTCAACGCCAATCTTGTCCAACATTCTGGAGAACTTGTATCTGTTCTCAGCAGAGTCAATCATCTCAGGAGAAGTACCCAAAATCTTGACGTTTTGACGGTGCAATGGCAAAGCAATGTTGTTAGAAGTCTGACCACCCATAGAGATGATGACACCAGATGACTGCTCCAAGTCGTAAATATCCATGACTCTCTCCAAGTTGATGGTCTCGAAGTACAATCTGTCGGCCTCATCGTAATCGGTAGAAACAGTCTCAGGGTTGTAGTTGATCATAATGGTCTTCAACTTGTTCTCTCTCAAAGTTCTAATAGCTCTGACAGCACACCAGTCGAACTCGACAGAAGAACCAATTCTGTAAACACCTGAACCCAAGACAATAACACCATGGTCATCGAATGTGACATCGGAGGAGTCAGCATTGTAGGTGATGTACAAGTAGTTGGTGAAGGCAGGGAACTCGGCAGCAACGGTATCAATCTGCTTAACAAATGGAACAATGCCGGCTTCCTTTCTCAATCTTCTGATGGCAACTTCGTTGGAGTCCAAGAACTTGGCAACCTGTCTGTCCTCAAAGCCCAACTGCTTGGCCTGTCTCAAGATACCAATAGGCAAGTTCTCCTTGGTACCAAAAGAAGCGATCTTGTTACCAAACTTGATCAAACCGTCCAACTTGTTCAAAAACCACTTGTCGATGTTGGTCAATTGCCAGACCTTGTCGACGGAGTAGCCATCGGAAAGAGCATTGGCAACAGCGAACAAACGCTGGTCAGATGGGGTCTGCAATTCGGTGTCAATGTCGATAGACATCAAAGCAGCGGTCTTGTTGAAACCCAAGTTGTGGTAGTCAGTAGATCTGATGGCCTTCTGGATGGCTTCCTCGAAGGTTCTACCGATGGACATGACCTCACCAACGGATTTCATGGAGGAAGACAACAAAGAAGAAACTCTGGTAAACTTCTTCAAATCCCATCTTGGAATCTTGACGACAACGTAATCAAGAGATGGCTCGAAACAAGCACAGGTAGACTTGGTGACGGAGTTCTTGATCTCGTTCAATGGGATGTTCAAACCCAACTTAGCAGCGGTGTAAGCCAATGGGTAACCAGTAGCCTTAGAGGCCAAAGCAGAAGAACGAGACAATCTGGCGTTCACCTCAATGATACAGTACTCCTTGGAGAATGGGTTAAGAGCGTATTGAATGTTACACTCACCCACAACACCCAAATGTCTGATAACGTTGACAGCAGTTGTTCTCAACATGTTGTAGTCTTCGTCAGACAAGGTCTGGGAAGGAGCGACAACGATAGAGTCACCAGTGTGAATACCCAATGGATCGAAGTTCTCCATGTTACAGACGGTAATACAGTTGTCGAAGGCATCACGAACAACCTCATACTCGACTTCCTTCCAACCCTTCATGGATCTCTCAACAAGAACCTGAGGAGAAGTGGCGAAAGCCTTGGCACACAAGTCTCTCAATTCAGTCTCGTTGTCAGCGAAACCAGAACCCAAACCACCCAAAGCATAGGCAGCTCTGATAATCAATGGGTAGCCAATGGCATTGGCAGCCTCAACAGCCTCTTCGGTGGTGGAACAAGCCTCGGATCTGGCACACTTCTCGTTGATCTCCTCCATAGCAGAAGCGAACAACTCTCTGTCCTCAGTGGTGATAACAGTGTCAATCGGGGTACCCAAGACCTTGACGCCCAAACCCTCGAATTCGTCCTTCAAAGCGATACCAACACTCAAAGCGGTCTGACCACCGAAAGTACAGTAGATACCGTCTGGACGCTCGTGCTTGATAACCTTTCTAACGAAGTCTGGGTTGACTGGCAAGAAGTAGACCTTGTCGGCCAAACCCTTGGAGGTCTGGATAGTAGCGATGTTAGGGTTAATCAAGATGGTGTAAATACCCTCCTCTCTCAAAGCCTTGATAGCCTGAGAACCAGAGTAGTCGAACTCACCGGCCTGACCAATGGACAAACCACCAGATCCCAAAACAAGGACCTTCTTGACGTTCTCTCTTGGGTGAGCGGCTCTGTTCTCCTCGATGTGGCCACCAGGGAAGGACACCTGCTTGAAAACACCGGTGTTCTTGAAGTCAATCACGGAGTTGATGAAGACATCGAACAAGAACTCAGTGTCTCTTGGACCAGGAGTGGACTCAGGGTGGAACTGGACGGAGAAGAATGGCTTCTCGACATGGTAGATACCCTCGTTGGAGTTGTCGTTGGCGTTGACGAACAATTCCTTCCAGCCGTCGGTCAAAGTGGAAGCATCAACAGCGAAACCGTGGTTCTGGGAAGTGATGTAACATCTGCCAGAAATGGTGGAGGTACATGGGATGTTGTGGCCACGGTTACCGAACTTCAACTTGATGGTGTCAGCACCGCTAGCACGAGCCATCAACTGGTGACCCAAACAAATACCGAAGACAGGGGTCTTGCCCTCCTTCATGACCTTCTGCAATCTCTCGACAGTCTCGGTCATGACTTGAGGGTCACCAGGACCGTTAGAGATAAACAAACCGTCGTACTCCTCCTTGGTGTAGTCGTAGTCCCATGGCACAACCATCAATTCGACACCTCTGGAAACGAAACAACGGATCTGGTTGTACTTCATACCCACATCAACGGTGACAATACGGATAGGCTTACCGTTCTTGTCAGTCTTGACATTGTCCTTGGGCTTGTACAACTTTGGCTCCTTGGTAGAGACCTTGGCAACCAAGTTTTTGACGTTAGGGTCATCCCACTCAGGAACGTCGAAGAATGGCTCCCACTCGTCCTTACCAACCACCTCATCGTGCTTGGTGGTGGTCTTCTGGATGGCGATTCTACCCAAAGTGGAACCTTCGTTTCTCAACTTCTTGGTCAAGGCTCTGGTGTCCACACCGTACATGGCTGGGATACCCTCCTTCTGCAACCACTGGCCCAATGAGGACTTGGCCAAGAAGTGAGAGTACTCCTCAGTGTAGTGAGCCACCACCAAACCAGCAATGTGGATGCGGTTAGACTCAAAGTATTTTGGCAAAGCGTCGACAATGTCACACTTCAATTCGGTGTCTGGAACACCGTAGTTACCCACGAGTGGGTAGGTGATGACCAAAATCTGGCCCTCGTAGGAAGGGTCTGTAACAGATTCTGGGTAACCAACCATACCGGTCTGGAAAACAACCTCACCGGCGGCGGCAACGGGGGCACCGAAAGAGTAACCTTGCAAGGCAACACCGTCCTTGGTTTGCAAGGTCATCAAACGGTCGCCAGTCGACTCCATTGGGGGAGAAATGGGAGCAGACAATTTAGCCATCTTGACTCTGGATTTAACAAATGAATAAAGAATTTAAAAAGGTGAACAGCGATGATGGGGGGATCTGCTGCGATGAAACGTTAAAAGCCAAAGAGCCGTAACTGGAGAGGTTAGTAACTGCGCGATGCGATGAGGATGTGGCCCAGATTCGGTCTTGATATGAAGGAATTGCATAAACAGGGCCGGAGGGCATAAAACACACGATGAGGGCGGTAAAGAGGTGACATTGAGCTACGAGACAAACAACTAATAATTAGTGTAAAAGTCTCCTCTCAAAGGTCAGCCCGGTCGCAAGAACATACTTCAATAGTTACTGGGGGATTGTAACAATCAAATTTAAGAACAGCGATCTGTCTGGAACTGAGCTCGTTGAGAGGAGGAGAGGAGAGGAGAAGAAGGAGAAGGAAGAAAGAAGTAAAGTGCGATGGAGGGTAGTATTTATAACGCGAGGGCCGGGAAAATTTTTCAGGCTATCCGGGGGCTCATTCCCTCGGCCAGCGCGTCTTCACTACTATTGTAGTCACGTGCTCCCCTCTTCCGAGGGCAAGCGTAATGGTAGTTGCAGCCTCTGTGCCGTAGTTACTACATATGGCCCGTAACCCAAGGCCGCCTTGAATCTTGATCGGGTGATATTTGGCAGAAAAAGCTTAGGCAATTCGAGTTTTGGAGTTATTCAGGGACGATTTACAGCTTCTAATGATAAGAAATCATCTGTTTTGTTTCAAGAGACGGCTGATTAAACGCTGTGCGATCTCTGTCCGACTCTTACATACAGAATGCGATGGCGGCAGAGTCAGCGGTAGTCCGCCACTAACGGTTTTGCCGATGAGCTGGTGTAGAGTAATGTACCCTAGCTTAGGTCATACGAAGCAGCCAAACGCCCTTGTACTATTGGAGCTCGGATTTCAGGCTTTGTGGTGCTGAAGAACGTAAGTTTCAGCCTCTGATTCCAATCGTAGTTACGATATTGGTATACCAATGAGTGACAAATTTAAGTTATTAGAAGGATTACAGTTTCTTTCAGGCTATGTGATTCACAGAAGAAGAATTGGGTTTCGTAGCGGTGCACAATTCTCATTTTGTTGTAGGTTTGTCATTTTATGTGTACTACGCGAACATGGGTCTTTGACTTAAAGTGCCTTCGACTTGAATTTGGAAATCGTGGCTCCAGTTCAACTAGAATCCGGATTTTGATCAATATCTAGTTGACCTAGTATCTAGAAAAAGTACTTTTTTGATCGACACATGAGCGAGATTGTCAGAAAGCATCAGCTGTGTGACTCATGAGTTGTTCCAGCTCATGATGGTGAAGGTCACAACACAGTAAATTTTTAAATACGCCCCAGAAAGCTCGATTAAGAAGCAAGGTATACACATGTTGCCGGCAGAAAGGGGAATTAATGAAGAGAAAGAAGAATTGTCTTCTTACGGGTACAACGCAAATCGTTGTGTATGACATGTCCTCCGTGGTCGCAAATTTCGTGGCTGACAAAGGCTGATCACAGGGGCTCTTGCCCAAAGAGGAGCACATAAGGAACTGTCGGTAATTAAGGAAGCAGCCTCCGAAAGCTGAGAGGTCAAAATGGCAATCAAGAACAATGACAGCTCGCGAGCCTGGAACTCAACCCAGCTGAACATTCACCTGACATGATTTGGTATATGAGAGCTAGGCGATTTGTACATTAAGTCTGAAACAAGTTTAACAACATCCGCCTGCCCTTATTGCCTGGAATGCCGCGCTGACCTGTTAATCTTCTTTTCCGCAAATCTGATCCAGTAATTTATGCCAGGAAGTTCTTGAACGATCTAGATGATTTGAGCCCACCTTCTATGCATAATTGCTGATCATTAGCCAGTGGTGGATCTCATCTCAGCCGCTCCGAATTCGGACGTTGATCCCTCTTCGAGATTTTCCGCGCATAGACGAGAATGACGGCTGCAAAAGAACCCATCACATGTCCTCAACTCCCCTGTCGGACAATTGAGCGCATGTACAAGTTAGGCCGTCCACAGCCAATGCCCAAAACTGCCAGGCGACTGACGGCGCGAGTCAAACTTAAAGTATGTCTGGCACACATTTACGAAAGTCCCTCGAAGTGGTAATTGGCTATTACCATAATCCGAACCATGGTTTTCAGCAATGATTGGGAATTTGACTGATGCTAAGCCCAATTTTGGGGGAAAAAACCGGACAAAATAGTGCTTGCCCAATTGAAGAATTGCAATTAACACCACATCGCTGATCCTCGATGACTTCGTGTCACACGAGATAGCAACCATTGGTGATGGTGCCTCTAAAGGAAACGGCACCGATAACGGGTCAGGGGTTTGATCCTGAAGACTTTTAGCAGCTATGCATTGAGAGCCCTGGGTAACGTTTTGAAAAATAAAATTAGTAAATTCCGTAACGGAGTCCATACCATCAAAGTGAGATGCTTCCGGCTGTCAACAAATCGCCTGTTTTCGGCTCCGTTGGCTTTGAAATATCAAACGAGCCAGTAGAAGGCTGCAGCTTGACAGCTCATGTGCAATTGGAATGCGCAGGCCCTTATCGCTATCTTCAACTTTCCCAAATTTGATTTTACCCAGGCAACATCACAAGTTCCTGGAAATCTTGATCAACTTGTGTCACATAGGTGGTTGTGGATACACACTTTTTTCCTCAGGCTGGTGTTTTTTTGCTAAACGTTTTGGAGGTAATACTTTATCCGATAACGTCCGAAAGAAAGTGCATGGTGACGTGCGTTACGCGCAAATCACTTGCATAACCAGTGCAGACCGTTGTGGCTCACGTAAGGCTACTTTAAACGAGTATCCCTTGGGATGCTGAAGAGTTTCACAACAATAACCACAATATCTTGGACATCTGTACATGAGCAAATTGTTCCGACCTTTTGACAACATTTGCCGAGTCGAAGCCTGAAATTGGTACGGTCAAGAGGTCTAGCCGCGGATTAATTTTTCTGCAGTAGCGATAAGCGCAACTTCATCTTGGTCTGGAACCACATGAAAGCTCTCGAGAGCCCGTATCGAAGCAGTTCCAGGGGTAACGAGAGGAATCTATATGATGCATAACTATAAAATATTTCAGCTAATGTTTGTCTCGCGAATTCTTTATGTCTGTCTCTCCAACCCACGTTTCTACGATCCATTCATACTATGTAGTTATTCCGGGAACAAGACCAACGTGGTTGGTAAAGATTAGCTATTGTGGCCAAATGCGCAGTAGTGGTTATAAAGGACATCCCACAATCATTTCTCGAACATTAGTTGCGGTCCAAGAATCATCATCAAGCATAACAATCACTTGCTTCGCATAAAATCGTAAGAGTAGACAAGGTCTTTCTTGCAATCGCTTCCCGGAGTTTACGGAAAAGTTGTCCTCATTTCCAGCGAACCGGGTGTCGACAAAAAGCTGTTTTGTAGGCTGAGGTGTTGAAGCCACACTCAACCTGAGAGGTACCTCAAGCGCATGTTAGCCAAGCCTTAAGAAAAGCGCTGAGGGTTTGAGCCTGGCGGAGTCGAGGCAGTGTGAGAGCAATTTTAGATCGTGGCAGTAATTGGCGAGGAGTGATTCAGTCCAAGAATTTTTGCAATCCAACCCGTCTTTGAGTATCTAGGGATTCCGTTGGCATTGTTCGAAAGTGTCCAAAAAGCGTATTATCAGTAACTTTGGGCGACGCCAAAAAAACACAAAACCTCAAAGAGGACGGTAAAGTGAACCTTGCAGTATCAAAAGCCCAGCCCGAGTTAATCCGAAAGTTGTGGTTGATCAAGGCCAGGCATTCCATCATGGCCCTTGCAGCTGCAAGCTGTCGGGGTTATTTGTGAATTGCGCCCTTACAAGGTAGGTGAGAGGCTGTATATCAGGTTTACATTTTTCTTAACGAGCAAGTCTCCGGTTTTGTTTCACATTCTTTAGAAGTAGCTTTAATTTTGCGATCGATCTAGAGTACGACGCCGGGAACGGCAATAACCACCATTATATGTAAATAGCACAAAGGCATTTTTCTTTGATGCAGTTTCCTGGACAAAGGGTATAGTTGCCATAACCTCCCACCCCCTTTAAGCTTCACCACTGGAGTTTAGTAAAATCAAGGAAAGTCTAGGATGCTAGCGCTTAACTTTACATGGGCGGCCTGTCAACCACATGGGGAAGTGAGGGGGGCCGTTGGCGGAAAAATAGCCGCATGACAATGCGCCGCGGATAGGTAGGTCTAACCGCAGGAGAGTTATCTGCCAAAATCTTCTCTCTAACGGTGGGTAATTTCTTGGCCCTGCTAGATTATGCTTCCAGCGAGGTCGCATACAAGATGAGAACGCAGGACAGCATTGCCTTCTAGGCGCAACGTGCCGGTTTGACATATCTGGTGAAATTGATTATCACATTCGCCGAGAAATTGTTCCGGGACCCACGATGTCTGCAAGGGGACGGAGCTAAGAAGTCGACTTAGCACCCACAAAGTCAGGGGAAACAGCATCAGGGGCAAGGCGCAAGGTACCAGGCACTGTGTGGCTGTTGTGTAGCGAAATTACCGCAAAAGTGGACAGCCGTTTCATCGGATTCGCCAGTCCCTGCGGTTTGCCAGGAGGGACCGCTGGTGCATGAGGCAGGTGCGCAATATTGTACGTCTGATCAGACGCACGGGCTTCGAACCTGGTTGCAAACTGTGTTATCAAAGGTGCGATGTTCGGGGCCGCCATGGCGTAATCACGAATATATAAAGGCGGCATTGTATCTCCCAATTTGCTTTTAGAAAGCTCTAACCTTAAACCTCGATTCGTTTTCCATCATAATGAGCGCTCCGAACCACAACCATTCCCATAGTGTTGATAAGGACCACAAGGACTCCAAAGAAATCTCGGTCCACCAAGTGAGTCTGTCGTCGTCGCTGTCGAGTGGTGCCCACTCCGGAACTGAATCTTTCCCCGAGGTTGTTGCTTACAATGAGCAAGTGCCTATCTCACACGTCGCTGATGACGCAATTTCCAAAGAGTTATCGAGAATCAAATCGTATGCCTCGGCAGCTACCCAGGGTAGTCCTAACGAAGAAGATGTTGGTACTGGTGCTGAAAAAGAGTCTGACGCTCAGTCGGTTTACAGTATCTCGAAAGACCCTAAGTTCGATCGTTTCTCGCTGAAAAAGAAAGGCTTCCTTGTATTTATCGTTTCTGCCGCATGCTTCTTGTCTCCATTGTCCGGTCTCGCTTTCTTGCCAGCCGTGCCTGAGATTGCCGAGCGTTTCAACACCACAGGTGAGGTGATTAACATCTCCGCTGCTGTTTACTGTATTTTTATGTCCTTGTCACCATGTATCTTCTCGCCAATCTCAGACATTTACGGAAGAAGATTTTGCTTTATCAGCTGTTGCATTGCCTACTGTGTGTGCACTGTATTGGTTGCAGTGTCAGTCAACTTGGCTATGTTCTATATTTTCAGAGCTTTAACTGCCCTTTTCGCCACCGCCTTTTTTAGTGTTGGTGCCCACATTATCGCAGACTGCTATATTCCAAGTGAACGTGGTCGTCAAATGTCTTGGATTGTCACTGGCGCTCAAACCGGTACTTCTATTGGTGGTGTCATTGGTGGTATCATTGTGAACTGGACTTCATGGAGAGTGATTTTCTGGGTCATGGCCGGCTTGGGCGGTGTCATCCTTGCTCTTGGTATTTTCTTCCTTCCGGAGACATCCTACAGAACCAAACACTCCATTCTTCTCGAGGAGGCCCGCAAGGTGGAGCCTAACAGAAAATTCGTTTTTGTCTGGTTCAACCCTCTTCGTATCGTGGGAGCCTTGAAGTACCCTACTTTGTCGCTCGATGGTTTCATTGTTATTGCCATGGTGTACAACATGTACTCGTTGCTCACACCCATCCGTTATGTGTTGAACCCAAGATTTGACTTGGAGCTGCCTTTGTACTCTGGTTTGTTCTACTTGGCACCTGGTGTGGGTTACTTGATTGGCTCTTTCTTCGGTGGGCGTCTTGCTGACAGCACTGTTAAGAAGTGGATCAAGAAGAGAGGCAGAAGAGTGCCTGAGGACAGACTCAGACAGATGGTGATGTCCTTGACGTTCTATTACCCAGGCTGCATTCTCATCTACGGCTGGACCGTTGATAAGGCCGTTGGAGGTATGGCTGTGCCAATTATCTTTATGTTCCTCAGTGGTCTTGCTCAGACGATTGCTTTCCCTGCCAGTAACACATACTGTGTGGACTCTGTTCCAGAACTCCACGGTGATGGTGTCGCGTCTTCCTACTTTTCCAGATACTTGGCCGCTGCTGTTGCTTCCGGTACCTGTTTGAGAAGTATCGAGAACATTGGTGTCGGCTGGACCTGTACTATCAGTGCTTTTGTATTGTTTGCTGCTCTGGGATGCAACTTCATTCTTATTTTCTACGGAGAGACCATGAGAATGAAGTCTTTGGTGAAGTATGGTCACCGTACTCAAGAAGAGCTCGATAAGGTTATCGAATTACAGAAGGACGAGCCAAAGTGGTAAAGCCCTTCATAAGTAAATCTCATATATGAATAGACTATAGATTGCATGAATTAGGAAGTTCGAGGAGTGCGCCGCTTCAGCTCCGACTATATACAAGTAATTGACAGCATCCTGCCTGCGCCTTGTGTCACTGCGAATGAGACAAGGGAAAAATTAATACAATAAAAGCCGCTACATCATCTGAGAACTTCATCTTGCTCCAAACCCTTCCACCGGAAATCCACTGTTATAGCGTGCTATTAGCGCCTTTCTTTCCACAACTTCAGTCTAGCTGTCGCTGGTGCTGTCGCTGTCCCCCTCAGCATTTCTTGCCCGACTTTCAATACCCACGATGGCCTCAATGAGTCGAGCCTATCAAGGGCTCCGAAACACTTTTAAAGACAAACATGGCAAGTCCGCAGGCCACATGCTTCGAGACACCATTCAGGCTGTGGCGCTGGCCGTTCATCCTTACTTGAAGGTGGTTATTCCCAACTTCAGAGCGGCACACTATTTCTACATCATCTTCATGACCTTCTTGGGGTCGGTAATTGTATATCCAATTGCCAATTTTGCATACATTGACATCTTGTTTCTCATGTCGGGTGCCGCCACTCAGGCCGGTTTGAACACTGTCAACTTGAACGAACTACGGCTTCTGCAGCAGATATTCGTTTACATATTCACCACGTTGTGCACACCAATTTTCATCCATAGCTCCTTGCTTTGCATCCGTCTCTTCTGGTTTGAACGCCAGTTTGACAACATCAAAGAATCCTCGAAGCTAGATCACAAAATGAGAAAGAGCGCTACTTTAGCAGCTCGTTCAAATACAAAGGACTCCACAAGAATGAATACAGCCACAAATCAAGAGCTTGGCTTAGAACATCAAAGCCTGCCACAAAAAGAGGTGTCCTCAAGCTCCTCACCAGCATCATCACGCATCAATGAGAAGACGAACGCAACAAACGTTGCTTCCAGTCCGAAGCCTGCCGACCATGCCATTCGTTTTGACAACCTACCACATCCGTCAAAAAGAAGAGAAGAGGTCGAGCCATCTGATATGTATAAGTCGATCGCCATGTTGCAAAACAAACACACCAGAAAACTAAGTTTTGCTGACGAAGACGTCTTGGTCATCAAGTCTCCGAAGGAAATTGAGAGAGATAAAAACACACCCATTTTTACGCGAAAGCATCTGATATCATTTTCTCCTCGAGGCAAAAAAAAATGGAGGCTTAGAAGAGGCAGAAGAAGGGGCAACTGGGAGAAACTCAAACGGACCATTCTGAATAGCTCCTCTGGAAGGAGATCGAAGAAAGGTTCGAAAAAGCCTGTTGATGAAGACGCTGATAATGTTTCTATTGACAGCGAGACTCATGACCGGTGCAAAGAGATGAAGGATACTCTCAAGTTTGTCGATGCCGTTGAAAATAGTGACGACCAGGCTCAATTGGATAATATGGATTTGAGTGATGACGATGCTGACTTGCATGTTCGCTACGACAACGCATATTTGAGCGGCCATCTCGATCACGATGAGTCATTTGATGACGAAGATGACGATGACCATGACGAAGAGGATGACGATGACGATGTCCTCTGCGATGACGATGAAGATGATGACGATGATGATGACGATGCAATTGATAATGATGAAGATGAAGATGAAGATGAAGATGAAGACATTGACGATGATATTGAATACAGAGCCAATCTCACGGACAACAGTCAAGCAATCATCGATTCGGATGACGAGGATGATGAAGCTCTAGATCCAAGGCAAGCAGCCCCAAAACCCGGCCCTGGTGAGCATATCGAGACTGCAGTTCCTTCTAATCGTGTGACCAAATTTTCTGAGCCTGAAAAGGTTCCTCGCGAAAGAAAAGCACACAGAAGGAAAGCAATCAGAAGGTGGAGAACCCCTCTTTTGATCTCAAGCTCCAACACTTTGAGAAACACTCCAAGTGCTGATGGCGCAATCAGAGACGACTCAGATGAAGAGCTGGATGAACTGGAGGACGATAATCGTTTAACTCGGCAGATGAGCACAAACTATCTTTCGTGGACACCCACAGTGGGAAGAAATTCTACTTTCGTGCATCTTACAGAAGAACAAAAGAATGAGCTTGGCGGGGTTGAGTACAGAGCTGTCAAGCTATTGTTCAAAATCTTGGCCGTGTACTATATCGGTTTTCATGCCATGGCTTTCTGCATGCTTATTGGTTTCATCAAAGTTGATGAGAGCAAGGCTGCTGAGATGAGAACATTTGGCTTTTCTCCCATTTGGTGGGCGTTTTTCACCGCCCAATCAACATTCAATGATTTGGGACTCACAATCACACCAAACTCAATGTCTAGCTTCAATGAGTCGCCATACGTTTTGATTGTTTGCTCGTTTTTTATTGTCATCGGCAATACCGGCTTTCCTGTCTTACTTCGTTTTTTGATTTGGTTACTCTTCAAGATTGCCAGACCGATGTCATTGTTCAAAGAGTCTTTGGGTTTCCTTTTAGATCATCCAAGAAGATGCTTCACCCTTCTCTTTCCTTCTATCCCCACCTGGTGGCTTTTCCTTATTTTGGTTGTTTTGAACGCTGTGGATTTGGTTCTTTTCGTCATTTTGGATTTGAATAACGATTCGTTGAGTTCAACTCCCAAAGGACTCAGGGTACTTGATGGATTATTCCAGGCTTTCAGTACGCGAACAGCTGGATTTAGTTGCATTGATTTGTCACAATTGCATCCTGCTGTTCAAGTCAGTTATATGATCATGATGTACATTTCCGTGCTTCCTTTGGCTATTTCCATCATAAGAACCAACGTTTACGAGGAGCAGTCATTGGGCATATATTTGAAGGCGGCAGAAGAAGGAGAAGATCCGGAGGCCACGCCCAAGAACTTCATTGGCACACATTTAAGAAATCAATTGTCTTTTGACTTGTGGTTTGTGTTCTTGGGCTTGTTCATCATCTGCATTGCAGAAGGTGGGAAGTTACAAGCTAATGATCTTCGGTTTAGTGTCTTCGCAGTCATGTTCGAGGTGGTGAGTGCCTATGGTACCGTCGGGTTATCCTTGGGTTACCCAAATGTGAACCAGTCGCTTACGTATAAGTTCACGACTGTTTCCAAATTGGTTATTATTGCCATGATGATAAGAGGTCGTCACAGAGGTTTACCCTACTCGCTTGACAGAGCCATCATGTTGCCTGACAAGCATATGCGTCGCAGAGACAGAGTGCAAGAACACCATGCAATTCAGCGTGCTACAACATTGGAATCAGTTCCTACAAGGGACACTTTCCGCGAGGAAGGTGTATCTGGAGCAGTTCGGGGGCTTACTAAGGCCATCACTCGAACCGCGGCATCATACCGTAGAAACTCTCTTTTCCCCGCTCCAACAAGATTGGAGTCGGAAGAGTTTGAAATGGAGGGTCCTTCTAACCGAAGAGGGGCCTAGGTTGAATAATCTATAGTTTTGTATTATAAACATTTACAGGGATAGAGTCCAAGCTACCTTTTGTATACAGTGCGCATCACCTAGAGATGAGATGCATGAAAAAGACATCCTCACTTTTACAACATCTACATCATGATCAGGAGACAGGCCAGAGAAAGAAGAGAATACCTTTACAAAAAGTCCTTGGAGCTTCAGGAAACTGCTCAGCTTGAGAAGAGACAAAAACTCAAGGCAGCACTTGCATCGGGAAAGCCCCTCTCTAAAGAGCTTAGCGAAGACACTGAGCTTCACAAGAATTTCAGATACGATGAAAGTGAACAAGTCGATATCGACGACGAATACTCCGCCATGAGCGGTATCAACGACCCCAAGATTATTGTGACTACTTCAAGGAATCCATCTGCCAAGTTACTACAATTCTCCAAGGAGATCAAGTTAATGTTTCCCAACTCCATGAAGTTAAACAGAGGTACCTATGTCATTCCAGATCTCGTGAAGCTGTGTTCAAGAGCTAACATAAACGATCTTATCGTTCTTCATGAGCACAGAGGTGTCCCCACTTCCCTCACTGTATCGCATTTCCCACATGGTCCATCAGCCGTTTTCACATTGCATAACGTCAAATTGAGACACGATTTACCAAATATCGGTAACATTTCTGAGGTATACCCACATCTCATTTTCGAGAACTTTTCTACTGTATTAGGCCAGCGTGTGGTGAAGATCCTCAAGCATTTGTTTCCCCCAGGAGCGAAGAAGGACAGCTCAAGAGTGATTACTTTTATCAATAACGACGACTTCATCAGCGTCAGGCATCATGTTTTTGTTAAGACGAAAGATGGTGTAGAGCTTAGTGAAGTGGGCCCAAGATTTGAAATGAGACTTCATGAGCTCAGGCTCGGTCTTCTTGATAATAAGGATGCCGATGTTGAGTGGAAGACGAGACGCTTTGTCAGAACTGCCAACAGGAAAAACTACTTGGCTGATTAAGCGGGTCTTTCAGTGGAGTTTTGTTGAAGGAGGTAACTCACGAGAGTGTACCAGCTCGATCAGTAAGGTGGGCTACAATCATTCAAATAACAATATAACTAGAATACACACCAATAGTGATCTATGGCACAAGCAACTGGCATATGTTACAGTCTAATAAGCACCATGACCACTGTAATCCACTTTGAAAAGGATCTCTGAAGAAATAAAGTTTGCATAGCACACCTCCACAACTTGCAAAGGCAAGAATCTCTATGCAACCACCGTAGTAACTTCTTGTCAATTTCTTTTTCCGTTTATACTATTCTCCTAGGTAACGGATTACCTCAAAGTCGAAGCTAACCTTATCCTTGGGCAACCTTAGTTGATCCCCACAATGTCAGTAGTACATTGCCTAATGCATTCGCCAACTGACGAAGACACCAAACTCTCGTTATCCCCATTAGCGTTTGAGCCATTAGACACCACAGATGTTCTTCTCTGAGTGGTAGCAGGAGAGTTAGAGGCAGCAGGATAGTATACATCCTGATCCTCCGACTCACTGGATTCTGGGCTGATCATGAAGTTGTTCAACTTGCTCTGGCCCTTCTTCGAAGCTTGTCTAGAAGGAACGCCAGATGATGGCAGACGAGAATCTCTCTGCGCGAGTTGCTTTGTCAATTGAGACTGAGGCAAAGCGCTCGTGGATGCCAACTTTCTTGATCCTTTGTTCAACGAGAACGTGGACATGTTGCTAGCGCTACCAACATTAGAAGCATTCATGCCGCACGCAGCACCGGTGTTGCAGGACAAAGGGTTGGATGTGATAGAATGATTAGAAGCAACACTCATTTTACGGTTGACTGTAGGGGCCATGCCGTGACTCATTGAGTGCTTCATCGAGGGTCTGCGAGCAAACTCGTCGCTATTAATCATGTCAGCGTACGAGTAGAAGGAGACCGACGACCTAGAACTCTTCAATTTTGGAGGAGATACTGGGGATTGTGGGGGGCCGTTCGTCAATGAAGACTGAGAGCCGCCGATGCTTGGGTTGTAAGAGTCCTTCAAGCTTGCAGCTGGGTTCGCTGAGGTGTTTGAAGGGTTACAGTGGGACATGGAAATGACACTGTTCTTGCGGGAAGGAGTGTAAGGTCTGCCCAAGGCCATGTTCAATCCAATGACCGATGAGTTTCTGCGATTAGAGTAAACCATCTCGACCTCGTCCAAGTTTGTTTGCTTGTCCGTCAAGATGTGAGCTGACGCATCCAAGGCAGGAGGAATACAATCCTCGTTTTTAACCTGCCCGCTCAAGTCTTGAACTGATCTCTCAAAGATATTACAGCTTGGGGCCTCCAGTAAAGAGTCTGTCTCGAACAAGGGTGAGCAAACAGGGGAGCCCAACTGAGTGTTTTTCGATCCCGACATAGTGGGCGAATTGGGGCCAGGAGACCTGGACAACACTTTTTGGGGAAGATTAGTAGTGCTGCTGTTGGTAGAAACCACTGGCTTTGTTGGCTTCAGATTAACAGACTCGGCCTCGGCTTCGGAAGAAGCCGGAGGAGCCTTAGACTGAGACGAATTTGGTGACGTCGACAAGTTCACATCCTTTGCTTGAGGAGTGGCAGTCAGACTACCAAAGGAGAACATCGACAATCTCCTTTTGCCGCCGTTTGGCGGCTGATTGTTTTCGGCAGATGTGTGGAAAAGAGCCATGAACCGGGCTGGTTTTGTTGTAGATGCAACAAAGCAGAAGAATATGCGTAGCCGAGGTCAGAAAACCGGGCTAGTACTTGTTTCAGTTGGAAAACAAGAAGGGAGAATCAGCGACGGTGTCGGTGAGTCTGTGGTTGAATGGGAATTCTCTATTCTGGATGGAAACGGGACTTCAGGCTTGTTCCAGCGAAACGGCAATCGGGAAGAAGCTGAGGAAATATGGAAAAGAACTGAACAAAGTAGGACGATCGGCGATGGTGGGAGCCGGCGTTCGAAAAATGGAAGCAGAAGTGATAAGAAGGTGGACTTGGGGGTGGTAAAGAGAAGGAGATGAAACACCAATTTTGGGGAAAAAGCGAGGAATAGAGAGCGGCCTGGTGAATGCGGGGCTTACATAAGCACCCATCCGTCGCAGGTAACAAACGAAAATTAGGGGTAATTTACAGAGGCTATAAGGTATTACGATTGATGACCATGAATTTTCTTTTACAAATTGCCGAATATTCCTATTCAATCCTGTTGCTTTCGGGATAGATGGAGTGGTCACAGACAACAATGTCGCTGACCAAGGGTCGAGGAAGGTCGCTACAATGTCGCGCAAGTATGCCCTTTCGGTGACTGGCGGTTGCAATGTCGCAAACGCCGCCCCAACGCCAGATTGCAGGTTGCAGTCTCCACCCGATCACGCCAATGCCTCTCAAACGGCAACTTTGTTTTCGCAGCTATCCACAATTAAACTTTCCGTGACCGTTGTATTTCACCCTCCCTTATTGGCCAGCCCTAACCCCTTGTGCTTTCATGCCTTATTGATTCAATTGATTGATCTTGGTTTCAACATTGGTATTGTACGTTATTATTATTATTTTTTTTTTTTTTAGTCCGCCTGCCCATGATGTCATGGGGTCACTGCGCTGTGTCGTTTTGCTATCGAGCTCGCGCCGATAATTGGTCCTTGAGCATGGTCCAGCAACAAGGGCAAAATGGCGTTTCTGATTGGTGCCGTTGTGCTAGCGACACGGTAACGAAAAAGTTTAACTCTGCTGTAGTGGGGCATGCACCCTTCCATGACCCCTCACGGCCAAGGCCGAAAGTATCGAAATGAGGGTCTGGAAAGAGGAATATCCTAGATGCCGCAAATGTCTACATGGGGGCCTTTCTGCTATTCTTTAGGTTGTCAAGTGTGCCTGTAGAAATTCCAGCCCGTCAAATCCTGCCCCAATATCCGCCTTCCGCTTAGTCCTTTGTGGCTGAAGTTACTCTTTGTTTGTAGATCTCGGGAATTTCCCGATCTTAGTGTATTGTGTTTTGCAGTGTGGCACTGTAGGAGTCGCATCCCTTACCGATGAGTTGAGAGAAGCCGCAATTGACTCAGCCTTACGTGAGAAAGAAGTAATTGATTCCTTGGAGTTTGGTGGACTTGAACGCAATCGTCTTGGCTCTCCTGCCCTATTAGTCCATGGGGTGCCAATAGTGCAGGTGCCACTGGTTGTATGGTAGGGAGCGGGAAGCTGAACATGGAATTAACCTTCTAGGTTCCAAAAAGTTGATTCCTGGATTTAAAAAAATACACGGTAGGGTGAGGCTTACCTGGGGTGCCTGTCATTTATGATCGAAGCCTCAACAGGTGCATTTTCGGCTGTTGCGTGGGCATACTTCGTCCGATGATCTTCAGAGTAGTTTTTCACTTTACTTTTGATCTTTTCCTCAAACAATTTCGAGGGAGCTGTTTTTACCAAGTCACGTCTTCAACTTCACTACTACTTCTTATCCCTATGCATCCATGCCTCAATTCACGTCTAACGCACAAGGTAAAAAAGAAAACGTATTTCGCAGCCAGCTGTCACTATTGACTACCACTTACGATTATCATCACCAGTATATTTTCAACGCCAAAAAAAAAAAAATAAAAAATATCAGACTCAAAAACAGCTCCTTCCTAAAATTTGATGTCCCACCCCAATTGTCCATTTGAATCCACGGAGTCTCTCGCCAAGCCAGAACCGTCTATCGAAATGGTCCCCGAGACGCATACTTCGTCACGTGCGCTTCCTACCATTACAACCGGGTCTTTCTCCATAAACAGCATCCCAAATGCCATCTGAAGACCAGCCGCCAGGCCGGTCACCATTAGCATCCTTCTCGCCTGACCCACTAGATAAGGCATCTTTTTCCCCATCCAACGAATCCAGAATACGTTCCTATACCCTCGACAGCCTCAACATAAGCTCCATAGAGAGCTCCAAAGGTCCCCACCAAAGATCAGAAAACTCTCGCCAGAAGAATTTACCCGAGCAAAACGTGGAAGCTGCGTCTTGGACTTTCACTGAAATTCTCCAAAACTTGTCCGTTCGCGAGAAAGACGATGTTTACCTGGTAATAACCAAGTGTAACCAGCTAGTGGAGCTTCTCCAAGACACTCCTTCATTGAAACATGATATGGCCATAGATATGGTTGTGAACCGAATTCAGTTCATGTTCTATCACCCGGCCCCACAACTACGGTGTGCCGCCTACAGAGTGCTCCGCTACTCCATAGCCTCTCTGGACTCAATCTTGTTAATGGTCCAGCTGAAAATCCTTATATCCATCATTGTGTCCCTTTCAGTCCCTTGCCCACTATTAGAAAAGCAGGAGGCCCTCAAATTGATCCGTGAGTTTCTCAATGTGTCTGATGGCGCCAACTTTATCTCGGTAGGTGTAATCAAGGCATTGGTAGCGATAATCGAGCACGACAGCGAGGACGACGGCAACACCAACGCAGGAGCCCCAGCACCACAAAATGATCAGTTTGCTATACCCACTTCATTCACTAAACTATGCATCGAGACAATCTGCGAAATCGCAGTGCTCAAACCTCACATCGTCTTCCATGGTGGTGGCCTCCGTTTGATGATGTCTCTCATTATCAATGGTGCTTCGGATATTGCGACTTCATGTCTCGTGGTATTTATGTCAATACTAGACAAACCTGAGGCCAGGCTATTCCTTCGAAACGGCCTAGATCTAACATCGCTCACCTCAGTGTATTCTCTAGTGGATGAGGATGACGAGAGTAAGCTGTCCAACAGCCGAAAGTTTCATAATAGAGCACTCAAAGTCACATTCCTTATATCGGTCTTTCTCAAGTGTTGGACAGGCATCATATGCTTTTCTCATAACAATTTCGAGGCCATTCGAATCATCATATCCAAGCTCAAGGGAAAGAGTAACAAAGTTCGCAACATCATTATGGATTTGTTGCTTGATGTGCTTCGAATCCAAGCCCTTCCATGGCTTGAGGACTCCTCCATTTTTGATCTCATCACTAGCATGCATGTATTCTTGAGCCCTGGCGGCGAATTGGTCGACGAACTTGACCATCAATATTTGGACATACCGCCAAATAGCTTCGAGAAAACAGTCATTTCACATTATCAAGGCTTAATTCTTCAGGTTCTCCTCAGTTGCGGTGTCGTTCCCTTGATTTTTGACATCATTGATAAAAGCAACGATGAAAGTGTATCATCAAAAGCTACGTTTCTCTTGACAAACATTCTCAGATTATCAATGGAGCTATTGCCGAGGGAGTTTGTTCAGGAACAACTCTCGGAGGCGTACAAAAAATCACTTTCTTTAACGTCAATCTACAAAATTGAAAGTGCAGCGAAAGAACAGATGAAAACCGTTATGACAGAGAAGAAGCGAGGTGAAGTCAAATCTCACGTTAAAGATATGATCATCGAAAATCGGGTGAAAATGGACGACGCTGCACTCAAAACTCTTATCTCAAGAACAAGGATACTAAATCTGAAAGATTTTGAGGACTGGGATTGGGCACAAATGTCTCATCTTTGTCAGGGACCGCTCAGAGACCAGAAGAGATTTTTCGATATTCAGGAAAAGTATCCCAAGGTTTTGAGATATCTCATGTCTTTCTTTAGACCTTTCAAATATCGTTTCAGTCGAGCGCCCCTTCGTCCTGACGATAGCTACAAACTTAAGCACCCAAAACGCGTAATTCTCGTTGGCTGTCAACTCATCGAGGCATTGCTCCACCATGAAGCTGGATTTGAGTATCTAGCGTCCAACAAGCTTATGCCTCAGTTAGCGGAAATTTTTGCTCAAGTGAGTCCCAATAGCGGTATCAGGGCCGACGAGCCAATTTTGTCTACCAAAAAGCTCGAGACAACACTTAGTATCGGCTACGTCAAGTTCGTTGGCGTGCTTTCTGCGAGTAATAAGGGTCTAATGATCCTAGAAGAATGGCAGTTTTTCCAGCTCATAAGCGACATTATTGATGGTAATGCCGATAGTAACTCGAACGTGCATCTACTATTCAATTTGTTAAACAACCTTAATTTTGTTTTAGACAGCCCCTTGAGAATTCTTCTTTCAAAGGTCCTAACAATATCCAACGAAGGAACAAAGTTATTCACTCTTGAAAATGTGATTCCAAAGCTTCTCAAGGTGGAAGGTTGCCAAGACTATGTTATTAGGAGTCTTGCAAATCTCTTGTATGATGAAAGTAAGGCTGTTGTCGCACTTGTGGTGTCGTATCTTCATGACTATTATGTGGTGAAGGGAAACATATCTCGCATCAACTTGTTCATCGATATGAGACCTTCCACGTTAGTATTGTCAAAACATTCAAAGGGCAAAGAGCTTCTTTTGTTATTTTGCACAACTACCACAGGATTTAGGTTGCTCCATGAAAATGGTCTCATCCAACGTCACCTCGTTTTGACGACTAGAAGCTTACAGAGCTTCGAATACTTGGAAAGTATCGAGGGAACCTTGAAAATGTACCTTTATCCATTTTCAAGCATACTTCAGCGTGTCAGGAACACGCGGGACATCAACTGCCATCATTTCTTCTATTACTTGCTCAGTACTGAAGAGGGCTTCATTTATTTCAACAGCCAAAGAGCTATTCTCGATGACATAATCAACAAAACGTTCTTCATTGTTCAAAAACTTCGTTTGATTGAAGAACAACCCGCGACTACCAAGGCGCCCGACTTCCTTTATTCTCGAACCAGACCCGCAGCTCTTGAGTCAAGTAGCAGCAAGACGAACAGTATCGGGAGCGACGAAAGCGACGATCTGTATAAGTTAGAGTCACCGAACAGATTACATGCTCGAAGCGACTTGTCCTTTTCTCATACGAGAGAGACTTTGTCTGAAACACTAAACATCAAGACTGCGGAGGATGAGGAAGAGTACATGTTGATGAGACTCAAGCAATACCTTTGGATACTTGGAGAGATTGCATCATCCAAGTATGGTATTCAAATTCTAGATCCGCTTTACAATCCCGATATGAGAGGTGACCATGTCATCGAATTGATGCATCTGTTATATCAAAACTCGAGAGAATGGCAAATTCGGGGCATTGCCTTCCATCAACTTGGAAAAATGGCAGCTACGAATGAGGGCATAGAAATGCTTGATGATATGAATTGGATTTCGATAGATAATCGGAGCCCCCTGGACCCGCTTTACTTAGCCTACCCAGAGTCTATGCGAGGTGAGGATTTGTTCAACCTTGAAGTCCTCAATCCGTACGAGGATTCCACCTATATTTCCCTCTTCGGTAATCATGGCGATGAAATATGGGCAAACCAACAATTAGATCTCGATGCCGATGATGGTTTAGGGTTGCAGACAAACCAAAAGTTGGATGACAAGGCTTTGAGCTTGATCAATCACTTAAGCTCAGTCTTAGGAAAGATTGAAAGAAAAGCCACGAAGGAGCTAAACTCTATCAAGCTGAATAACGGGGAGATTTTTGAAAGCCCTATCTTCTTCCTTAAGACTATTCGTTTGGTGGACAAAGGCAAGTTCAAATACAAGACGAGAAACTTCATCTTCGGCCTTTTTGATACAGTGAAGATTATGGAGACACTCGTGAAACGAAGCAAGCGCGGCACTAGTGGCCGTAAGTAAATATTTGCATATTATAGACCTAGCATCACTGATCTCTGCTGTTCGTCCTTCTCTTCTTTTTGGGTGCCAGCAGGTTTGGGTCATTGTATTCCCTGACATCCTTTCCTCTAATTTCAATAGGTTTGAACTTGGAGACGACCAAGTGAGGGTAATTGCGGCGAACCCACATTTCGGTTTCTTGGGGGTTGACCTCAACTGTACCTAGTTCGTCCTGACGAATGTCAGGTATCAGTTCGTCCACAGCCAAATTAGCGTTATATGACTTTTTAAACTTGATGTTAGCTGGTTGTTCATTATGAGCGATTTGAAGTAGAGGACCAAGTGTCAGTTGCAATTCGGGCTTCTTCTGAAGAATCTCCTCGATTCGTCTAGAATCTAGATCCAATGGTTGTTCGATTGGCTCTTCATCACGGCCCTCAAGCTCAGCCATGTAGTCAAGCAAAGCATCGATTTTACGTCGATAGCTATATAGCGTTTGACGTTGTGCCTTTTCAGTAACCGCCAATCTCTGTGAAACGGTGTATACCTCATGAAAATGCTGTTGGAGTTCTTCGTACACCTTACCGTAATCCGTATCGTCTAATTCTTGCGGTATCAAACTAATGTCTTTGTTGGAACTGTCATTACTTCCAGAAGAAGCCGAGGTGGCCTCTGTGTTCGTAGATGCCATGCCTGTCTTGAGAGAATCAATCCAATCTCTCGACTCATGGCGTCTATTACCGATTGGTGTACGGGTGTATAAGAATATCAAAGATACCGATTTAGCAGTTGTATCCCAAAAAACGTCTTTTTTCATATGCTTCAAGAACTTATTGGTATTAAGTAGGGAAATGCCTTCAAAGAATTGCAACTTGTGATCTATAACAAGGATCTAATGCAAGGAGGCCTCTATCCAACCATCCAAAAGAAGACAAGGTCGTTTGACAGACATTTCTGGAAAATAGAACCAAAACAATCTATAAGAGCTCACAGATTACCTTGACATGCTCCTTATCGGTGCTTTCAATGAAAGGTGGGTTTTGAAGAATTATCATATTCCTGCACGTTTGAGTACGCGTCAGAAGGATAATATGGAGCTTCAGAAAAACGAATAGAAATCGCAACACTCACAGCCCATTTCTAAACATGTCGATTGTTTCCTTGCTTGGAATTGAGGTGTTGAACAATCCAGCTAAATTTTCAGATCCATATGAATTTGAAATAACTTTCGAGTGTTTGGAACCTTTAAAGGAAGACTTGGAGTGGAAACTTACGTATGTGGGTAGTTCACGCTCGCTAGATCACGATCAAGAACTTGATTCCATCCTTGTGGGCCCGGTACCAGTTGGAATCAACAAGTTTTTGTTTCAAGCAGACCCTCCTTCCCCAGAATTGATTCCTGCAAGTGAGTTGGTCAGTGTGACGGTGATATTGTTAAGTTGTTCATACGCGGGTAGAGAGTTCGTCCGTGTTGGTTACTACGTCAATAATGAGTATGACTCTGAGGAGCTAAGAGAGAATCCACCAGCTAAGGTTCAAGTTGAGCATGTTGTCAGGAACATTTTGGCAGAAAAGCCTCGTGTGACGAGGTTCAACATTGTCTGGGACAGTGAGGATGGAAATGCCGATGAATACCCCCCTGAACAACAGGTCGACGAGGACGAGGAAGAGGAAGAAGAAGAAGAGGAGGAAGAGGAGGAAGAAGAAGTTGAGGAAGAGGAGGCTGAGGCCGGTGATGCCGAAGAAGACCTAGAGGAAGACATTGAGATGGACGAAGAATCTCAGAAGGCAGACCAGGACAAAAATGAAGAAGCTGACAGCACAATGGGCAGCAGTGCAGCCACGCCCAACGACAAAGCCGACAGCTGATGCTGCTGTAATTATGTAATAGAAAAGGAATATTTACATTAAGTGTAGGGCCAATATATTTAATCATGACAAGGACATTAATCTATGAGGTTTCTATGAGAGCATTGATGACTTGACTTAAACTCCGGATTACTTCCTCATCAAACTGAGAGGATTCGTAACGGGAAACCCATTTATCAGGGTGCCAGCGGAGACGCTCTTTCTTGAGTAACGTCATCAATGTGTTGGGCTCCGAAATATAGTCGTAAAATGCAGAAACGGATTTCGAATCCTGAATGAGGTCAAGCATTTCTTGTTTAGAAAGCTCAGACTCAAAATGCAAAAGTAAGGGTAGTTTGTCGTTGCTGGAGAGGTAAGCCTCTCGAGTGCTAACTTTGTCATCATCCTCAAGTTCAGAGGTCTCCACTGGGGCTTGAAGGTAAGGGTCATTGATACGTTTGTCCCCAACATGAAGATCTTCATCTCCTTCATCCATCAATCCAGCAGCAGACATGGGAAATTTTCCGACAACCTCGTACTTCCCGCCTGTGGCTTCTGCAAAATCATTATTGTTATAGGCATTCTTGAGCTGTTGCGAAGGGTTGAAGGATGGATAAGTAGAAGTTGGACGGGCTTGGGGAGTCTCGTACTTGAATGGGATGGCTGGGACAGGTTTGACGAAGGAGAATCCATTGATACTGCCAGAGGTATCCTCTGTAAACGGCGAAGGGGCACGCGAATTGGCGGGAGTTGACTGACTTATTGGTGTAGATTGAGCCGGGTTACGTTCAGGCTCTTCCTCGACTGAGTTATCCCCAAAGGAATCCTCTTCGCCTGCGTTGTTGAGTTTGTCTATGAGAGGCTCTGAACCAGCAGAAACCTTCGTTGAGCAGGAGAGGTTGAGTAAAGGCTTCTTGAGACGCAGGGGATGCGAGGGCGTTGAGTCATCCTTCAACTTGAGCTTCTTTCTAGGCTGTATCGGGCATGGAGTTGAGTATGACGTAGAGAAGCTGATCTTCAGGAGCGATTCGCATGAGTTTTGATCCACGAACGAGTCTCTAGAAGCAGGTAGGTCTGAGGACTTGATTTTCACATAATTGAAAGCAGGTGTTATGATCATGTCCAGTGAGGAATCGTGCTTTCTTTTGCGAACAAACATAGGAGGGGGTCTTTCTTCAAGGTCCAGATCACTGCTGTAGTCAGTCAATATAGTCTGATTACCGGCACAAGCCAGGCTATTTTCTTCATCATCAGAAGCCTCGATTGGCCCCAACTCCCCTTGAGTCAAATGTAGCTTATCGAGCTTTTTCATAGGTGAGATCATCATCACCAGTTTAGATGGATTCACGTGTAGTGGAGTAGAGGCGCCAGCAAGAAATTCATGGCTTGTGGAGGAGTCGGGATGATCGTCATTGTCTGAATCTGGAAGCCGCTGCTTGTACCATGGCGGAGGCAGCGATTCCAGCGGTAGCGGGCCCGAAAAAGGCATATTATAGGCTGAGTTTTGTTAAATGTTAGTGGCAGATGACGTTAAGATGTGGGTTTGTTTTGATATGGATGTACTGTACATAACACGCAACAGAAGGGATCAAAGCGCGAAACCGCTTGCTCCGAAGGATGGAAAATAGGTGTGGAATGATTTGTGCCTTATCTGGCCAAATTAGGCTAAATTCGTTATTTTACAATTTTTATTTATTCATATCGTACGGACCTTAGTACAGATTTGAAGTATGAGAAAAGCTTCAAAAAGCGCTTCGTTGAGCGAAAACAGCTATACTGCTACATAGTAACCTCTCATTGTTAACAACATGAGCAGATGGGCTTTATGGGCTGCTAGTTTCTCGCCACTAACTGGTCAGCCATAAGTATGACTCATTTACATTTGATTGCTCACAAGTACGAAGTCAAATAAAAATGTGTTTATAGATAAAAGCAAGTCGTGATGCAACCAACTGAGCGTGGAGTACCAAAGATGTCTTTGTAAACACGGCCCTGTTCGAATAATAATGACAATTTATTTTGAATCCAAAAAACTTGAAAGAGATACAGTAGCTAGTATGGATTCTTTTCCGACATGAATAACCACGAATTATGGTTGCGCAGCCAATGTGAAGTCGTGATATCCAAATACTCAATCCGATGTTTTCTTCCCCAACAAATACAGTTCTCATAACGTGATTTCTAAATTGGCGTATACCTATACTAATCTAACTCACACAACTCGCCGCAGCTGTCATCCCTATCGCTTACGCTAAGCCCATCTTCGGGGAGTCGAGTGCTTTGGGAATGTCGTCTTGCCATCTGGGACAACATTCATGAAAGTCAATAGGAAATACGAGAGAAGACAGAAACGTTAAAGGTACATCCGTAAACCACACAGCACTGTTCTTGTACAGAAAAGTCGGGAGTCGTTGCTCTTAGAGGCTATTCATGAGGCTACCAATGACGGGGCTTAAAACATGGGGCCCGGAATTGTCACCGAGCCATTCGTAGCACGTCGGCTAAAACCCTGCATCGGTGACAGCGTACGGCGTGGTATTGAAACCAGTCGAGAGGAGGAGAATAGGAGGTTTTTCCCGCTACACCTCTGCGAAATTTTCCAATTTTCAAAATTCAGCCATTCACAGACGCTCCATGGCCGGAACGAATTATAATGCCTGTCAAGTCGGGTAGTCCTGCAGACACATAGCCGAGCCGAAATAAGGCTGCACCCACGTTTTTCAACCGAGAAGGCATCCCCTCTAATGGCATGAACTCGCACGCTTTTAAAATCCCCAATTCTTCGGAGCTCTCCTTTCCACGAGGCTGTGCTGCTGACAGGGCGAACCAGATGCAGCGACACAATGCATGCACAAGAGTTATTACCGCTAGGTCAGTGGTCCCAATCCACTGCAGCCGGTTTTCCCATGCACGCCTTATCATAGAAACCCGCAGCGCCACACAGCAATTTTTGCGGAATCATATAACCCTTTTATAAAAACCCGTATACAGCCCGTCCATAGATCTTGTGCATTAATGGGGCTATCTTCCGACTACGGCCTTGTTCGTCGTATTGTCTCATCTCCTCAAGAGCTATCTTTTGCTGGCATTTCCTTCTTGACTCTCCAGGCTGTCCTAGAAGTTGTCATCGTATGTCTAGCAGGTTTCTTTGTCGCTAAGTCCCAGCTTTTGGGCACCACTGGGCAGAGAATGCTCTCCCAGTTGAACGTGGAGTTGTTTACTCCTTGTTTGGTTTTCACCAAGCTTGCTCCATCCTTGTCTGTTGACAAGGTGCTTGACATTTTCATCATCCCTGTGTTCTACGCCGTGTCCACAGCAACGTCATATTTCTTCTCCAGGGTCATGTCTCGTTTGATGGTACTCAATGTTGCTGAGTCCGACTTTGTTACCGCCATGGCTGTCTTTGGCAATTCGAACTCCTTGCCTGTCTCCTTGACCATGACTTTGGCCTACTCATTGCCAGACCTTTTGTGGGACAGAATGGAGGACGACACACCCGATAAGGTCGCCTCCAGAGGTATGTTGTACCTTCTTATCTTCCAGCAATTGGGCCAGATTTTGCGTTGGTCTTGGGGTTACAACAAGCTTCTAAGGAAGCGTACTCCGCAAGAACTTGATGACGCCATCACCAGTGGCGAAGTTAGACCCTTGGGAGTCGACATGGAACGTCAGCATTCAGGCACTGATAGAGATGAGGGCTCCATCGAAAACGTATCGCCCGCATCGACGCTTGCTGCCGATTTCCCAACCATGGCTCCTCCATCAGACTCAGACGATTCCAGTCTAGTGCAAAAGCCCGGGCACGAGGTGCACGGCAACATCATCAAAAGAAAATGGCACACTTTCATCAACTGGAAGCCAGTGGCCAGCTTCTTTGCATTCATGAACCCTCCTCTTTACTCCATGCTTGTCTCCGTACTTATTGCATCTGTTGGCTCCCTTCAGAAGTTATTCTTCCAGGAAGATAGCTTTGTGAGGAACACCTTGACCAAATCGATTTCGAACCTTGGCTCTGTGTCGATTCCGCTCATCTTGATTGTGTTGGGTTCTAATCTTTATCCATCGGCCGACATTCCTCCGGCCTCGCTTCATTACAAGCGTATTGTGGTTGCTTCATTGATGGCAAGAATGATTCTTCCGTCGTTGGTAATGCTTCCATTGATTGCCCTCTGCGTGAAGTTCATCAACACTTCGATTCTCGACGACCCTATCTTCTTGATTGTCGCATTCATTCTCACGGTGTCACCACCAGCGATCCAGTTATCGCAGATCACCCAGCTCAACGACATTTACCAGAAGGAAATGGCCGGTGTGCTTTTCTGGGGTTACGTGATCTTGACACTCCCAACCACCATTTTCATTGTCGCCACCAGTTTGGAGGTTCTCAAATGGTCGTTGTGATTTATTTACGAACTAATAAATTTTAAAAAGAAAAAAAAAAGGACACTTCAAAAGTGAAGAGTACAGTAAGGTAAAAAGGTTCTAGGGCGCATATAAGGTTCAAGGCAAGCGCGGAGAGCTTTATCTATCACACCAGTCACCAATCCTCTCAAAATGCTGTGCAGGCTTCTGGCAGACTTCTCACCTTCTACTACAAGTTTTTGCTCAAGTAGAGTCCTGTTTGCATAGTCATGGTCAAGGCAAGGAAGATTGCAGTGGTTGGGTCACGTTCGGTCGGCAAGCTGTCGATGACGGTGCGCTTTGTCGAAGACCACTTTGTCGAGTCTTACTATCCAACCATCGAAAACCAGTTCTCCAAGGTCATCAGCTACAAGAACCAGGACTACGCCATCGAGATCTTGGATACAGCAGGTCAAGATGAATTTCTGATCATGAACGAGAAGCACTTGGTTGGTATCCATGGTTACTTGCTAGTGTACCTGGTTACCTCCAGACAATCGTTCGAGTTGGTGGACGTGATAAGGGATAAGATCCTAAATTCCATAGGGGCTGACTCCATGCCCATGGTTTTAATTGGCAACAAATGTGATCTAAACTTTCAAAGGCAAGTGGAGACGAATGAAGGCGAGGCGCTTGCGCGGAAGTACAACTGTGCTTTCTTGGAGACTTCGGTGCGTGACAATATCAACATAAGCAAGTCGTTTGAGGCATTGGTTGATCTGATTGAAAAGATCCAGAATCCAGAAGTGCCCAAGCAAGACAAGTGTGTCATTGTGTGATGAACAGAAGATGCCACTCTTCTTACGATTACGATTTATTGGGCCCAGGTCCTTTTTCATGTCCCCCTTTCATGTCTTATTTATAGTTTTATACACGGTAATCGGCCAATTTCAAAGCTTCAGGTGGCCAAGGGCTAGCAGAACTGCCTTATCTGCCATTCCGAGCCCTGCCTGATACCCGTATCCGGCTGCACCGTAGTTATGAACTAGCACCTTATCAGCATCCACAAATTCCTTCTCAATGCGGACCCCTCCTTCTCTTCCGGGACGCAAGCCAGCTACGACTCTGAGGATCTCTAGATCTTCGATTCGGTCGCCCTTGCGATTGTCCTCAAGGATTTTGGGGTATAATTTGGTGGTTCTCTGTAAGATATCGAGCGTCTGCTCGCGGAAGGTGTCTGGGGTCCAGTCATTTTTTTGCAAGTAGCCGCCTAGAATCAATTGGTCGTTGGAATCTGGCCTTTTTATAATGTAGGTTGGTTTGTCATCACACCATCTCATGACATTTTCTTGGATGTGTGGGGCCTTAATCACCACCACTTGACCTCTGTAAGGAATGCTCTTCGTATCATTAACACCTCCGAGATGTCTGGAGCCGAGACCAGTGCAATTGAAAACAACTTTGGCACCGTCAACGAAAGCGTCACGAATATTCTCGAGTCTTTTGCGTTCAAATGTCACTCCCTGGCTCACCAAAAAGTTCTGAAAATTGACAAGAAACTTTGGACAGTTGAAATTCCAGGTAATGAATTCGATTCCGTACTCCACACCATCTGGCAAATCATTACTTGGAATGAATGACAAATCGTAAAGGTAGGACTCCAACGAGTTCAATTTTTCATCCGAGGGGCGTTTGTCCCAGTACTCAGTAGACTTCACTCTGTCCAATCCGCATTTATAGCCACCCAAGAAGTGCTGTAATCTACCCAATTCCTTGTATGTCATCTTGTCAAAAGCCAAAGTCTGAGGATCATCCCCGGTTATACATGAAAAGTTACCACCAGCATATGGGGAGGTGTACTTTATGGACTCGTCGCCTGGAAGAAACTCTCCAATGATCAAGATGTCCTTGGGGTGCACATTCTGCTCGAGGAGCTTGTAAGCTGTGTAGTGGCCGATGATACCGGCGCTGCTGTTAGATTCTATTCTGTGATTTTGAAAGTTCGAACATACCCCACGATAACGTAGTGTGGCATTGTTGAGAATTTGTGGAGAAATCGAGCGCTTTATAAGTGGTGGTGTACAGTGCCGTGAATCATAGACAAATTCCGTTCTTCAATAGGTCGAATGATCCGGAGATAAGGTGGTCTGATGAAGCTTGTTTGGCTTCTGGATCTTGCTGCCGAGGTCGTTTTGCAGATCTTGTGTGGAGACCGATCATGCCACTATGTATGCCGCTAGAGTTCCATGAGTGAGCTCAAGAAAATAATAAGAGCGGCTTAGCACAGCTCGGAGATTGAACCATGCTTGTGGTATCCAAGCAATTCTCTGCAAAAAAATCTGGCATTAGATACAGTTTTAAGTTTACCGTTATATTGTGCAATTTTCCTTGACAATGAACAAATGGTGACGTTATTCCATAGTTTATTCTCGACAAATGCGGAGGACCTTGAATTTCGCAGCCATCTTTAAGTAATGTCGGTAACACGAAAACTCTTAGACCATTATATTAGATTAGCTTCGCTTCAACCCACAATCAATGAAGATATGTGTTCAGACAAAACTCCGGCAAAGTTTCAACTGACGTAAGATTCAAAGTCCTCCTACCACCAAAAGCAGTCTTGGTCTACACATTTTAGTTAGGATGGCTTATTTGGGTTTTGCTCATTCGTAGTAGGTTTATTCCAAACCCTCGCTAGTATCCCCTATAATCTGCATTGAATATCTTGACGAGAAATGTTTGGACATTGTTGCATTTGTGGCTCGCGACATTAGCCATCTAATCACTACTCTATCATCCAACGCGCCTAACTTCGCCGATAGCCATGGGTCTAGATAAGCGGAAGAAAAAGTTTACATTAAAGCCCGGGCCCTTGGTTTCCAAGGATAACATACCCTATGACTATTTGGTCATGATAGACGCTGGGTCCAAGGGCTCCAGAGTATATGTCTACAACTGGCTAAACCCCAAGCATGCCCTAGAAGCCGGGCTAGATTTGCAAAATAGCCCGAAGGTGAACTTGGTTCATGAACTGATGTTGGGCGCTGATCCAGATGACTCCGATGACGAGGTCAGCCTGGAGGAGAAGCCCAAACCGGTGAACTTCCCCTCCATATATCTGGACAAGCTTTGGCACAAGAAAATCCAGCCAGGGCTTTCATCATTCAATCAGAGCCCACAAAAGGTAGGAAATCGTCACCTTCGATACCTTCTTTCTTACGCCAGTGCTATTGTTCCGAAATCAGAGCATTATAGAACACCCATCTTTTTGCATGCCACGGCAGGAATGAGGCTCCTTCCACCGAAGGAACAACAACCCATCCTAGAAAATGTCTGTGAATACCTTCAGACTAACTCTGACTTCTATGTTCCACACTGCAAGTCTCACGTCAATATCATTGATGGAGCTATCGAAGGCTTGTACGGATGGCTCTCAATAAACTATCTAATCGGAGCATTCGACTGGCCAGAAGAACATGCTCACGGCAAGGAACACAACACGTATGGCCTACTAGATATGGGTGGCGCGTCGACTCAGGTAGTCTTCCAACCTAACAGTACTGAATCCAAGGAGCACGAAAACAACTTATACAAATTATCGCTTGGCAAGCTACCACTTCTAAGCAAAACAGAGAAGGATAAGAATCAGGAAGGTCAAAAGATCGGGGCATTCCAGCCGCCCGAGATCAAAGAGTTTGATGTCTTCTCGGACTCCTTCTTAGGTTTCGGCATGTTTCAGGCCCAAAGCAGATATCGTTCCATCCTAGTAGAGAACTACAAGAAAGCTAATGAGATTCCCGAGCTGACGAACTACTTTAGAACTCCTTTGCCAGACCCATGTTTACCAAAGGGCTATACAACCAAAGAGCTCGTGAATCATAATTACGTTGATTTTACTGGTGATTCCAACTTTGAAGAATGCTTAACTTCCATCTTCCCTGTTATAGATTCTTCCACTCACCATACGGGTAAGTCACCAAGCTGCCTCAAGCTAGGCCTGACAGATAAGGTGAGCTCTTGCTTGCTCGACGAGTTGATTCCTGCTTTTGACTTCGATGTAAATCATTTCATCGGTGTAAGTGGGTATTGGGACGCCATCAATGCATTATCCTCTTACGGAAACTTTGAAAGGGATAAATCCGAGAAGTACGACTATTTGAAGATGTATAAAGCAACGTCGCAGTGGTGTTCCCGTTCGTTTAAAGAGATGATCGAGAGAAATAACCTCCGCGATAAAGATGAAAGAATCAAGGAAGAGGAGCTTGCTCAACTTTGCTTCAAATCATCGTGGATTCTTAACTTCTTGCATGTTGGGCTCGGTTTTCCTCGTATTGGAATTGATGAAGGTCCGCAAAAGGATGACAAATTTAAATCCCTACAACTCGTGGAGAAAATGGGTGGACTGTCGTTTTCTTGGACTCTTGGAAGAGCTTTGCTTTATTCTAATGATGAATATGTTCAAGCATTCAATAACTACACTATTGAGAAAACGGGCAATTCAGAAAATCTCTTAAAAAGACCTGGTTACTATTATACTGCGAGAGAAGACGCCTACCGATTTGGTGCTGAATCACTTGAATCATTTCCAAGACCGTTGTATTCTCCTGAAAAGCCCGGGACGAAGTATACCGTTTTTGACTACGAGTATGACTATGCCTCACATCCTTACGAGCTGAAGTGGTACTTAAAAACTCACAGATTTTATGGAGGCCTTATTTTCGTGTTGATGGTGTTGGTAATCATCGTACTCATGTTAGGCAGAAAGGGACGTCATAATATCGTGAGCGCTGGTAAAATGGCAGTGAACAAAGTCTTGCTACTAGTGGGACTTCGAAAATTCGCATATACTATTGTACCTGACTATGAAGTCTCCGATTCATACGAGCTCCGAGATGCTAATGATGATTTTAGGCATGAGGGTACAAGTGCATTTACTGTTGAGGATGAGGAAGAAGTCTGATGTGGAGAATTCGCAGCCACTGAGGATACCGAGCAGAACTAGTTGCGATTGTTACTTCCCTATATATTTAAGCATCAAACTATTTGAGGAAAGATCAACTATTGTTTACGTAAAACCTTTTTTTAACAATCCGTATCCCTTTTCTCTTACTTTATGCTCCTTCATTGATACCATCACGCCATGCTGTGCTGATAACGAAGTGGCGGCACTGTATGTAAGTGGCAGGGAGCGGTCGTAGAAACCACCACTTTACCACTCGATCCAAGGAAATCCACAATTATTAATAGGCTACTAAATGAGTGAGCCGACCGTGAACTTCAGCGTTCAGACGCGCCAGGTTCAATTCGCTGTTCCGTCTGAGCTTATCAAAAAGAACTTCAAAACGATCCAGAAACTTGTGGAGAAGCTGAAGAAACTGGTCTCGGAGGAAATCAGCAATATAAAGAAGAATCCTAATCTTACCAAGGATGAGAAACTTCTGATAATACGAAAGCTTATTAAAACTTTCGAAGCATATCAAAAGAAACTCGCAATGGCAATTCACAATGACGAGGACTACAGAATGAGATTGACAACCCGAGCCAAGCACATAAGTGCCTTGAAAAACTTCACACTAGATCATACCTCCTCAAATGAAGACAAGCATACCGATGAAGACGATAAGCTACTAGATCTTCACAACGAGAAACTCATCAGTTGGTATAGAGGCGAGACAAACCTTTTGATTATCGATTACTTGTTGAAGTCAAACACAAGGAAGGACAAGAACCTTGGAAGTGAACTCATGAAGGGCCTTGCCCCAACTTTTGAGTATGACATCACGAAGTTGGTGGATCATGACGTCTACGAAAGTTTCAACAAGGTCTTCTTGTCTATCAATATGGACCACGATTTAGAGTTAATTGCTGCGTGGTACAACGACAACAAGAACGCTTTGAAGAAATTGAGCTCGAATTTGCAATTTGAGATACATTATTGTAAATATTTGTCCATGATTGAGACCGGGCAAGCACTGGAGGCGATTTCATACTGCAAAACCTATCTCGCACCATACGGTAACGTCAAGAATTACCTGGGCGATGACCTCATAAACTTCGAGAAAAATCATAAGAGACTCACAAAAGTTGGAGCACCACTTGTATATGTGTCAATGTGTCTAGACGCTTATTCCAGTGAAAACGGAGGTCCTAGCAAAGAACTCTCATCGAGATACTCGAAGTATAATGCATTGATGTCCGAGGAACGCTGGAGAGGACTTTCTAAATGCTTCACCGAAGACTTTACAAAAATTTACGTCATCCCAAAGACCTATCCATTGTTGGTCCTATTGTCAGCAGGTCTTTCTAGTCTTAAAACGAAGTCATGTTATTGCAACGACGAGAATACGATTTTCAAAACCCATAAGAATGAAAAGCTTGAAGTCAGCAGTTGGCGTGACTTATCGCTTCGCGGGCCAAATTATTACTACAAGCTCTTGAAAAAGATTAATCAGTGTCCCGTCTGTTCCCCCGAACTATTCCATTTGAGTCTGAACCTACCTTATGCACAATTACTCACAAGCATATTGAACAATCCCTTCAAGCTTCCAAACGGCAATATATATCCGTTTGAAAAGCTACTCAACCCGACTAAGAAGATGCTTGAAGCGACGGGAACACTAGGGTTAGAGTTAGTCAGGAACAATCAGCTTATGGATCCTCTCACACGGGAAGTGTTCCTGATAGATGATTGTGTTAGAGTGTTCCCAGCCTAATCGTCGTCACTATCGCTATCATTCACTTGTTTTCCCTTCGCCTTGTTGGTGTTCTTTTTGTCAGGGGTTTTGGTATCTTTGAGGTCAAAAATATAGATCCTTGCATCACGCTCGGCAGCTGGCTTTGTCGTGTCCCTTATACCATTAGTCCTTTTGTGATGATATCCTTCGAAAGCCGACCATTCAAACTTGCCTGACTGGTTGACTAAGAGTCCTTCGCTCCTAGCAAGAGCTTTCACACCCCAAGAAATATACGGTTCACCTTCGAATAAGGAGAGGATAACGTCTGCTCTCGTTTCATTTTGGGACTCTGCATAACCACCGAGGTCGTTGCTAGCCGCTTGGTTCGCCATATCAAGCAATTCATGAGCACTCTTAAAGTAGCCCAACACCAACTTCTGATGGTCTCTGATGTTTCTATCGACATCTTTCATTCCACGGCCGGTGTGTGGGAAGTTAAACATCACATGGTTTAGCTTTTTGTATGGCGTGAACAATTTGGTTCCCGTCTTCTTGCGATTAGCATTAACTAGCTTCAATGCGAATGGAATGTTGGTGGCATCAACTTGATGTAGGACCCTGGACCCCTCATTTTTCAAATATAGTAGATGATCTTCGGCTCCTGGATACTTGGACTTCACTTCCTCCTCAGAATCGTAACTGGTTGCGATTAGGTTCTCTGGATTGATGAGGTGGTTTCTGACAATTGAGCTAGCGAAAGAGAAATCGCCTTCACCAACTAGTAGAAGCGTTTCATCGCGATTGAATGGCACTAGAGCCTTAATATGATGCTGCTGCTTCTTGGAGCCTTTGGACCTACCACTCTTGATGGACTTCTCCTTGTCAGCCTTCTTTGTGATGGCCTCCTTGACGGCTTGTTGTCTATTTTGTTTCAATTGCTCCTTGGCAAAGTGCTTCAGTAGCGCACCTTTGAGCCCCTTTCCAACGATCTGCTTGTTCTTGGGCTTTTTGGCCATAATGTATGGTTCTTGATTTTTACGATGAGCATCGCGCGTGAGATTTGGTTCTATGGGTGGGGGATCTATTCGACTATATTAAGGATATTAAACGTGGAAGGCTCTTTCTTCGCCCAATCGGTATTGATCCTGAAACGATGTTGCATCTTCAACATTTTTAGCTGTAGCGTCGACGGCTCCATCGCTGGTAGCTGATTCGTGGGAGTTTGACTTCTCTATCTTGAGCTCGTCCATGACATCGCTCTCTTCCTCCTCGTCAGACAGTGACAGCAGTGGCTCATCTATATTTTGAGAGTCGTCGAGCTTATTATTCTGAACCTCAGATGCTTCGGCTTCTTTCTCAAGCTCCTCATCGTCGAGCTGAACCAAGTTCTCGACCACCTGATCATCCCACTCATAGAATAACATGAAAGTTCCCTGGGAACTCAAAACTTCTGCCTCATTCACAACGTAGACTGATTCATCACTGATTCTCCACCAAGTACCACGGTATTTCCTGTAGCAAATGTAGTGACCATAATTGTGAGTACCATAGTGAGAGATCACCGCCTTAAGGTTGTATAGAAGATCTGGATTAGCCAGATGAGGCACATTTGAGTTGGGCTGTGAAGCTTCTTTCTCATCTTCGGAATCGAGCTCGTTGGGGATGCCATTCGATGTGGAGTCTTGCTTTCTAAATGGGAGTCTAGCATCCATGTTGACATCCTTTGGCTCAGCGACATATGGATTGAGATCAAGCTTGATAGGGAACCTCACCGTTTTGGAGTTTTTGACAATCATGTAGGTGCGTGGGTCAAACACGGAACGATTAATGTGGATGCAAAGTAATGGCGGAGGTCTGCTCAAAAGGGCCTGCTTAGTTTTCGTCGTTTTTCTGATCATGCTCTTAGTAGTAAGACGCTCGAAAACCTCATCAGAGATGTGGTCTTTGGCAAGTTCGGCGTCAATCTCGCTGATACGCTTCTGGAAATCAGCACTCAAACGCTCATTTGAGTTACTCTTGATGCTGTCGGAGAGAAATTCCTTTGTTTGAATCAAGCCACATCTGTTACAGTTCACTTCATCAATCATCTCAGGTTTGCTCCACTCATTGAGGAGTTGGTGCAAGGTGAAGTTACTATAGCTTGAGGCATCGTAAGGTAAGTTCAAACTCAAACCACTCAACACAGAGTAGCGAATGCCTCCGACCTCACCGCAGGTAAGACATCCAATACGTTCGGCAGATACACCATCCACTGGAGTGACGAGCTCAAGAGGGAGCACCTTACCTTCGTTGTCAGGTATGTTAGGATCGACTTGATGAGCAGGAACGTAGACTTTTCCGAGTTTGCCGAGGTTATCACATCCGAATGGTAACCTGGTGAGAAGTTTTGCATCAATGAACTTCACCAGATCATCCTTCAGTTCATTCTCAGATTCAGGCTCGGGTGTAGCCTCTCTCGACTTCGAGATACTCTTGTACTCTTTCTCGACGATTCTCATCACGAGCTGGTAAAATTCCTGAGCATCTTCCTGACTATATCCAGTGAAGAAGTTCTGTTTGGGACCATTAGGCATCTTATTAAGTAAACCTCTGGTGCTGAATTCCTTACCTCTCGAGCCATAAGCACCATTTACATCGTCGAGCAACTTTTTGAGAGCTCTAGTAAAAACTAAATTTGTGCGGAGCTGACTCATGCGGGAAACTGGAATGTTGGCATCAGCCATGAGTTGTACTTCTGTGTTGATATTTCTGTCGATGAATTGTGTGAGTTGCTTTGACGATGCCAACGATTGAATGACGGAGTTCATGAAACAGGTATTGCCGTCATTACTGATACCACCTAGTTCACCACCATTTTTCATAGCAAAAAGAGTCTCCCGGGAGCTGGAGGACGTACCCGAGCCACCGAAACGGGAGCCAAAGCCAGTGGAGGATAAGAATCTGTAGTTTGAGTTCATTGAGCTTAGCACTTTATTAAAGATTTGGGGAACGTTGAACGCAAGTGGGAAAAAAATAGCGACGGAGGCTACTAATATGGCGATGGCTGTGGTGGCACCCTTGTTTCGTTTGGCGATCGAGGAAATGAGGGAGATCTTCCCGGAGACGTGATTCTCGAGAAACTGCTGATAAGACAACTTGTCGAATGCTAGGAGCGGGGATATGAGACAAAGTAAAATAGTAGAAATCAACACTAGTCGGATACTTTCGCTCATACAGCAGAAGATGGGGTACTGCTGGACAATGACAAGAAGGTGAAGACTTCAACAGAATGGAGTCTTGTGTTACTTCAGGATAAGCGCAAGTTGGCTATGCTGTTTTCACGGGGTGGATGACAAAATCAAAGTTTTGTTTGAAAAGATTTGCCAAATGATGAATTGCTGACGGCGCACTGGTCAGATTTTTTTTTTGATAGGACACTATAGAAGAACTTGTAGGAAGGTATTATATGCGAAGATGGCAACACATCATTTACTGATATAGGACTTGCTAAAGTAATTAAGCGTACGTCATCGTCATTTACTATTAACGTCTTTGATAAATTGGCGGACCATTTCGGTTGAAATTTTGGTATTGGCCCTGTGGAGGGCCACGGCTCTTGCCCCACCCACACTTCAATGCCCTACCATTGACAGAAAAGCCAGTCAACTGTACAATAGCCAAGGCAGCTCTTTCGTGGGTGTCATACTTGACAAAAGCACATCCTTTTTCGGGATGAAACTTGAAATCAACGATGAAGCCGAAGTTTTGTAGCAATGGGATTAGATCGTCTTGCTGAGTAAAGTGAGCAATGTTGCCCAAATACACTGTGGTTTGCCAAGATGGCGTTTGTCTTAGAACGATATCGTAAGACTGAGGTGACATTACAGCGCCATTGATTGCAGGGCCGCCAAACATCGGTGAGCCATCTGAGATCTGCGGCAGAGCCATTGGAAAGGGCGATGGCTCGAATGGTTGAGGCATATGGCCATTTGTGTGACCGTTTCCATTTAAAATTGGATTGGGACTTTGGTAGCCACGATATTGGCGCGGCCCCCTGTTGTGGTTGTTATAGTTGTTGTAGTTGTTGTAGTTAGCCGGTGGGTGGTTGTCGTGGCGCATATTATTGTTCGAATGGGGATGGCCGCCTTTGTTGTTCTGCTTATGACTGGCCCAATTGCATCTTATGTTCCTTCCGCTGAGAGGTTTTCCGTTCATAGTCAGCAAAGCCAACTCAGCATCCGATAGCGTGTTGAAAGTAACGAAACCATAACCTCTGGATCTTGAAGTTTGCATATCCCACATTACGTGAGCCAGCTTTAGGGAGTTGAATACGGAGAAACATTTTTGCAAGGCTTCATCGTCAACTTCTGGGGACAAATCGCCGACAAAGATGTTGTAAACTGGTTGTTCCGGGTTCTGAGCCGTGGAAAAGGTGGCCGACTGAAATGCATAATTGATCCTAAGCTCGTTGTCATGAAGAGCCTTTCCATTCATGGAGGTCAATCCCTTTTCAGCCCCTGATTCGTCGTGGAACTCTATAAATGCATAGTTGAGGTCGGGCTTGTTTTTGTCATTCAAGATCTTGACCGAAAACACGTCACCAGTGCCAAACAACTCCTTTAATTCAGTCTCTTCGACCGACTTCACTAAGCCTCCCACATATAGAATCTTCTTGGAGATCTCTCTGCCTCCATTGGTGGCACTGGCTGCGTTGTATTGTGATTGTTTCTGACTGTTTGGGGTAGAGGTCGTAGATTTTGGTGAATCAGAGGATTCTGGTTTTTGGTCAGACACCTTTTGTGTGGTGGGATCGGAAGCGGTGGCCTCTATTGTCGGTGCTTGGGGTATGTGGTTTTGTTGTTCGGACATGGTGTTGAAAACACTGGATCTGGTGTGGAGACTATGGATAACAATGGCTGAAATATACCGAGTTCGGGCTGTTCACGAATTGGATGTGATAATGATTTCACACTTCGGGTCGCCTCGAGCCAGTGGACAACGGCAATTGAGGCCTGTGATTTCAGGAACTGGGAGTAGTTGAGAAAAATACTGGTCTCAGATTTTTAAACTTTTTTTTGGTGCGTTTCGGCGACACGCTCTGCATTAAATTCAATGGTCTACAAGGTCCACCAAAATCAAGATTTACTTCATCTCAAAAATCTAAACCTTCAATAAGTCTTCTACCTATTCCTCCTCTGGATCTTACAACTGGAGAGGGCTGGTAGTATTCCGCGACGCGAACACAGCACACTTTAGCAGTTATACTAGAACGAGCATGGGTTCTAAGATTCTTGTGAAGGCGCCTCTGCAGATCAAGAAGATCAAGAGCATTCTTGAGAAGGCAAATGTGTTCGACAAGAGAAGGAAAATCACAAGATCAGATGGAGTCGCCTGTCTATATTCTTCAGGGTCCATGGCTGAGATGAGCGCTCTACTAGGTGATTTGCAAGACGTCATTGAGGTTTTTGAAGACACAGACACAGTCCCTGTTGGAGGTCTACAAGGTGCTGTGCTGGATGTCATAGGATCTGATTCCCATCTATTGAAAGATCTTCCGAAGAAATGGTCATTGTATCCACCTATGGTGCTTTTCACAGGTGATCTGTTCAGCACCCCGGAGTGGGATGCATACTTTGAGACAAGCGGCAAATCTGAGTTATTTGAGCACCTTCTGAAAACATTCTTTGCCGGTTACACACATTTTGCGGTAAACCAGCCAATCATCGAGTCCGATGTGATGCGCAGGCCCTTCAACTTGGTACCGATATACGGAGACTTTGGGCCAACCCCTGACGACCAGAAATACGATAGACCAACTCAACAGGATTTTGATGAGGCATTTTGGTGTACAGCAAACCAAAACGGAATAGCTCAAGAATGGGCACCCCGCTACACAATGTTCTCACGAGGGAACATCACGGAGAAGAAGAGGGTTCTAGGGTTTGGCGACCTTCGGGGCCAAAATGTGGTTGATCTATATGCTGGTATAGGTTATTTTACCTTTTCATATCTCGCCCTCGGAGCCACGGTCTTTTGCTGGGAAATCAACCCTTGGTCCATAGAAGGTCTACTACGGGGTCTCACTAAAAATGGTTGCAAATATAAGCTAGTGAGACCTGGAGATGCCTTCACGTCAGACACTTACACCACCGAAATTACCAACGGAACCAGAGCATTTATTTTTCATGAATCAAACGAAAAATCGGTACAGCGCCTTGGTGACCTCGGCATCACCATATCACATTATAATTTGGGGCTCCTCCCTCTGCTGAGGCAGGGTTGGCAGGTGGTCACCACACTCGGGTGCGAAAATGCCATTGTTCATGTCCATGAGAATGTCCACAAAAACGACTTTGAAACGCTCAAAGAGGAATTACAAGAGTATTTCAAGGGGAATGTGACTCATCTAGAAAAAGTTAAAACTTTTGCGCCAGACGTGTGGCACGTCGTTGTCGACGTCAAAGTGTAAAGCAGAAGCGGCTGGCGTGCGTCTCCACCGTTTTGGGTCACCGCAGCACTGCCTCGGCGCACGAGAGGCATTTTTTCGAAACACAATCAGGGAGATCTTGGGCGGCTAACGGCGGTCACGGCATTATTCAAGTACTTTCTCTGCGACCGAATTTTTGTTGAGGTTCCAAGACTTTTTTCACAAAGGATTCTTGACGGGGTCCTTACCGAATTAGGCGTGCCGCGGCTGTACAAGATCCATCGGACAAGCTAAAAAGAACTCCGTATGTTACCCCGATAGCCTCGAGAGTTGAGGCACGCCAGCCGCGGCATGTTTATCAGCGTACGCCAATTCGTTGATTTTCTCTCGCAGGCGTCAGGTGAATCAACTCTGTCAGACTCTCTAAGCCTTCCTTTATTTGTCCACACTCCCTCCGCATGCTGTACTCCATATAATCGGGGACTTCAGCGTACTCGGTGAGACTTCCGTTTTTTTTTCTTCTCCGGCGTCCCTCCCAATACACTACACACATAAGATCCTCGAAGGTTTTTCACCAGACATTTCCAATATAGCTCTACCCTGTCTTTGCCCTACCAAACTTTTGGTCCCACCACTACCTCCTGCTGCTGTTCCGGGGTTTCCTCAAACTCCATCACGTGACCCATCTCCCTTACCCGTTTTCAAGAATACACAATCGCAAAACGTTCTTCCCACAACTCGTCATGTCTCTGAACGTCGTCAAACGGGAAGAGGAGGAGCTCTATGACATGCTCAACTTGTCACCACCGCACTTTGAGTCCTCCTTGAACATAGCGTCTCCAACCTCGGTACTCTCGAAAGATATGTTCAACAGCTCCTCCAGCATGCTAACAGACTCACCTGTCATGGTAAACAACGCTAACCCGCTTCAGGGAAAGCAGCACGAGTCGTTTGTGCAAAACATCAACATCAACTTGTCTCAGGACAACGGCGTGACTAACTCCCTACATCCCAGCCCTTCCGGCCTTGACCTCCCACCTTCCTTAAATGTTAACGTCAGCTCATCGCAAAATGCCCTGGATTTACTTTCCCCCAACAACGTGCCTGCGTCATCTTTTCTTAACCCAAGAAGTCCAGACACCTACTCTTCACACTCATTATATTCTGAGTATTCCCTGAATCCAGGCTCTCCCTATCAAGACGCCATGTCTCATTTCAGTGATGCTTACTCAGACACGAGGCCGCAAAATTTGAATCAAAATTATCTCGAGCCAGCCGCAAATGGTCGAGGTCCAGGAAACTCGTTTGATTCGGAAATATTCTTGGGCGAGTCCATCTCATCTACAAACTTGTACACTATGTCTGCCCAACAGTCAACAATGCCGCAGCAGTCCCAGCAGTCCCACCATATACAGCAACTCCAGCAGTCTATAAATCAACCGGTCAGCAATCCGCTGTACATGCAAGTTCCTCAAATCAACTGTGAAGACGGCACTTACGAGAACCAATACGATCGACTTACAGAAAACAACCTCATGAACTATACAGAGAATATTCAGCCTGACAACAACGGTCATGAACAAAAAGAGATCAAAATTCTGATTCAACAGGCACCTGATGTCGTGGCTGCGAAAACTCCATCGTTGTTCAGCAACTCGTCGCACACTTCCTCAGTTCAGAACTCACCTGGTCAGCAGGCCTCGGCCGGAAACAGTCTTAAACCACTGGGAAATCTTTCCAGCCCATCTTATACCAGTCCACAAGCAACACCCACTAGCCCAATGTCCGAGAATGATCCTAACGGCCTCTTGAAGCCTGATGAGTTTCAAAACCTAAAGCGTGGGCGCCAGAAGGCGCACTCAATAAAGACTCACTCTAGACTGCGATCGCCAAATAACTCTGGTTATTCTAGTGAGGAGATCGACGATGAGGAATCTGCTGACACTGGAGATAACGCGGTGTCTTCTCGTGAAAAGATGTTGGAACTTGCACTGACAACTCAATCCACTAGACGGACTCAGAAACACCCCTCCCTATATGCGTGTCATTTGTGTGACAAGAGATTTACAAGGCCATATAACTTGAAATCACATTTGCGAACGCATACCGACGAGCGTCCATTCACTTGCAGTGTCTGCGGGAAAGCTTTTGCTAGGCAACATGATAGAAAACGTCACGAAGATCTCCACTCAGGTGAAAAGAAATTCCAGTGCAAGGGTACCCTCAAAGACGGTACTCCGTATGGCTGCGGCAGGAAGTTTGCTAGAGCAGACGCCCTCAGAAGGCACTTCCAGACAGAATCAGGTAAAGAATGTATACGATCGCTCGTGGAGGAGGATGAAAGAGAAAGACAGGCCGGAAATGGTAACGCTTCGGGAATTCAACTACCGAGCGGTGACTACCTCAGTCCGTCTAGTTTGAGCCATCAGTACCACAACGTTCCGCAGGTTGCCATTTCACCCCCAGATTGATTCACGAGCTAGTGATTTGCTGGCTTCATACCCAAAAGTCAATATAAGAAACGGAACAATTCGTTTGTAGTATTAGTAGTCTATTGTGGTGCATACGCGGTAGCCGCACAAGCGCTTTTATCAACTTTTTCAAACTACAACCACCAAGATGTCGCTAGATCATGAGGAGTCCATGATAGATAGGATCTCTGTGGGTGCTGACGAGGGCAAGGACTTGAATCTATCCAATGAAGAGAAAGAGCTTCAAAAGCTAATGGCTTCAAAACAGCAGATGATGATGGACCAAAGCAAAAGCTACCTCGAGGAACTCTTTAAGGAAAACTCGACAATTCCAGTCAAATTACGCAATGTCCAGGTGACAAACTCCCAGTACTTCAGGGACTCATTCTTGCAAACCCAGCTTAGTCCGCTTCTCAAAGGGAACGTGATGAGCTTAGCCGACTTCCTAAACAATTTGGAACAAGTGCATACCCTGTTTATGAAACACGACATACTAGAACAATCTATGATAGGTTTACATCAGCTCCCGAAAAAGATGTGGAATAATAAATCACCACTAACGATCGATATGGTTCCTGTTTTTAACGTTGTTCCTCAGAAACGCTTCTTCGCAAAGACGGGAACAAATATTGGTAATGGAGAGGGTGACGGTTACATCCAATTCACACTCAAGAACATTTTCGGTGGTGCTGAAAAGCTTGTCTTCGATGCTGTCACTGGTACGAAAACACCATCGTCATATCTTCTCAACTACTCGCAACCGGCTTTCAATCGCGCTGACTATCTTTGGGATACCCTGGCTTTCATAAATACGAGAAAGCTAGAATGGATTCAAAGCAGCGTTCAAACGAAAGGCATTGTGACACGCATCAATACGCGATATGATTCGAACTTGAATCTCGATGTCGCCTGGGAGAACTCCTGGAGAGCACTCAGTAACCATGGTTCTCGTTCTCTCGAGGTTCTTACTCAGCTGAAGGACACTTTTAAATCATCGATTACAATGGGCGCTTCTTATGACTCTCGAGACAATAGAATTGGTCCTACTAGAGGCAATCTAGCAAGATTAGGCGTGGAATACAGTGGTCTATTCGGATTCAACAACGTGAAGTTCACCAAATTCCAATGGGAAGGACAACTGGCTCTTGGCCTAGGTCAAAATCACTCCCTCATATTTTCTAACAAGGCTGGCTTGCTCCTCAACGGTGACAAACTGAAGACGAACATCCTCGACCGTTTCCACATTGGAGGCCCTAACGACGTTCGCTCCTTTTCACTCAACGGTCTCGGTCCAAAGGATCAAAACTCTTCAGTGGGCGGCGATTGCTTCTTTAACGGTGGCATCTCCTTACTCAGCCATATACCCAAAACTCCAAAGGACACTAACTTCAAGATCATCAACTACATAAACTTTGGTAAGTTGGCCTCGATAAACTCTTCCAATACCACCAAAGATATTGTCAAGCTCTTCTCGACTGGCTGTTCTCTAAGCGCAGGGTTTGGTATACTCTACAACCATCCCATGGCCCGCTTTGAGCTAAACTTTGGTTTACCCATCTTTGCCCACGCGAACGACCAGGTTCGTAAAGGCATCCAATACGGCGTTGGCGTATCATTCTTGTAACGAGCATCTATAATACAATGTATATACTATCACTCACTTTTTGCTATTTTTTTCCCATTCTTTCATCCAAGAATCGTGCTTCTCCCTCACTGCTGGAATGATAAGAGATTCGATTTCAACCTTCTTTTGTTTCTCTTCGTCTGTTAACTTGATCCAGTCTTGCTGGCCGTCTGGGGTAACAATCACAACCTCACTTTTTCTTGATTGCAACAAGTTTCCAATGACGAGCTGGTGCTGGTAGCGGGACAATGCATCACTTGCCTTCTTGAGCAAAATTGAGTTGTCTGTCTCTAGCTTAAAAGAAACAATCATAGCCTGTGGGGCCCAGGAGTCGACCAATCTTCTCAAAAACTTGGGCACCTGCTCCAAATCAACCACAAGCTTACCACTAGGCTGTGCTTGAATCTTATGTTGAGGCATTCTCGACGATGGTAAGAAGAAGTCAGACACAGCAGCAGCAAGATAGAACAACGCCTTTGTGCCTAACAGCTGCAAGATTGTGGACATTGACTTCAAGGTATACAAGTACTGGTTGACAGTTGTAAAAGGAACCAAGAGGAGCGAGTTGCTGCTCTGAGCTTCTTGGTACTTTCTCAAAACCAAAAGCATTTGGTCTGCAAACTCGGGGTTGATCTCGACCTTATTGTCCTTTTCAACCATGTAATCCAAGAAACAGTTGGTCGTATGACTGAAATGTCTCGAGTAAGGAAGCAAAGAAAACTCTCTGTGTAAGAATATCACGGCATATCCATTTTCCAAAAAGTATTCAGCTGAGGTAGCGCCTCTTGTGCCAGCACTAAAGTTATCTATGAAACGAACAGTGTTGTTCTCTAAAGGGACGGTAGTTCCACCTGACGTAACCAAAGCAATCCTTTTGCCTGTCTTTTCTTTGTGGTATTGGACGAATTGTCTGGTTTGCTCTTCGATCTCACCTAAGTATGAGGGCTCTTTATGCGTCTTGAAGTACACTTCTTCGTCGGAGTCTCCAGCAACAGGAAAGTCGCCGTGTGTCCGGTCAATTGCCGTAGCCGTATCTGGAGCAGCGGTATGATAGTTTTTTTGTGGAGGAGGCATGATGAAAGGTTGATTCTTGAGGTGGTGAAGGTTGGCCTGACTAACTCGAGATATGGGGAAAAGATGTACTGGTGCAGTGACGTTCACAACGTGTGGTCCACTCATCTCCGAAATAGATGGCCAACCCAATCGTGTTTCTCGATGTATGTTAGATATTGATCTTTTATTCCACCAATTACTAATGCTAGATTGCCCAGGGGAGTATGTTGCATGATGCAAGTGTCTGATCACGACTAACTATAGGTTCGACCCTCGGGCGTATAAAGATAGAGCTATTTAATGACAAGCTACCCAAGTATGTTTTTAAATTTATAACTACAAAATTAAAATACTAATATCAGAACGTCGGAGAACTTTCGTCAGTTTTGCACTGGTGAGTTTCACCGGGGTGGAAGACCAATAGGTTACAAAGGCAGCAAGTTCCACCGAATAATCAAGGACTTCATGATCCAGGGTGGAGACTTTGAAAGAGGCAATGGAACTGGGTCTTTTAACATTTACGGAGGTAGCTCTTTTGAAGACGAAGGTTTCCCGTTTGACCACAAGAAGTATAGTGTTTCCATGGCCAATTCCGGGCCAAACACGAATGGGTGTCAATTCTTCATTTGCACACAAGATGCAACACATTTAAACGGCAAGCATGTCGTATTTGGTAGGGTCATTGAAGGGTTCAGTGTTGTTGATAAGCTCAACCTGACGCGAACCAAGAACGACCTGCCCATCGAGGAAGTGGTAATTGAGGAGTGTGGAGAAATGTGAGGTTTCGTTTGTGTGAAGAAAAGTAAAAACCCCTATTAGATGGCATCAAGCCTTTGGTATGATCGATGCCAAACCCAACGTTCGTAGAAGTACGTACATCTATAGATAAGGCAATTGAGCTGTTGGACATAACCTTGCCGACACGGCGTTCAAATATCCAAATTTAGAATCTCGTAGTTTCATAAACTACTCAATTTTGGGAGCACGCCATAGGTCCGTCTATTCTTGGTCACTCGGTGGAGCGGCTCGATAACCGAAAGCGCACTAATCGCATTACGACGTCGAAGTCATTGACTACCTTATATTAGAACCGCACGCCATTACTACCAAATATGTCTGCCGATTACTGGTCCTCATCACAGCGAAGTAAGTGGCAGCTTACACGAGAAGGTCTCATGGAGAGCAGGAGGAAACTAGTGCTCTTGGAGAAGAAGATGGTTCAGAGTGGATTGATCAAAGAGAATCCACAGATCGTTTACGATGTGAACATGCGAATATACCTTCATACGTTAGTGGTGAAGCTTGGACGACGCTTGAATGTTCGTCAAGTTGCATTGGCATCCGCTGAAGTGTACCTCTTTCGGTTCCTAACCAGGGTTCTGTTGAAGGAAGTGAACGCCTACCTACTAGTCACCACATGTCTCTATGTGGCATGCAAGATAGAAGAGTGCCCACAGCATTTACGATTGATTGTACTGGAGGCAAGAAACCTCTGGCCAGAGTACATTCCTCACGACGTTACGAAACTAGCCGAATTCGAGTTCTACCTCATTGAAGAGATGGAGCTGTACCTAATATTACACCACCCATACAAGCTGCTTCTACAAATCAGAGACTTTTTAACAGATAACAGCACACATTTTGGATTCACCCTCACAGACGACGAGCTCCAGCATCTGTGGTCCCTCATAAACGACAGCTACATCACCGACTTGCACCTCCTATTCCCGCCCCATGTGATAGCTATGGCGGCGATTTATATTACAGTTGTTCTTAAGAAGAACCTTAATGCTATCAGAAGTGCCGCCGGCCCCGTCGGGAACCAGGCACAGGACGACAAGTCTTCCGCTATGCATCTAGATGACCTCATGACTCTTAACGCGGGAGGCGATGTGGACATTCAGACCACCTCTGGAGGCAACTTGCCCGATCTGAGGCTAGATGAGGATACGGTCAAAATCGACCGATTCATGAATTTTTTCAACTATTCGCATGTTAATTTAGACGAGATGGTTGAGGCAATGCAAGAGATGGTAAATTTATACATTGCGTGGGATCGCTACAACGAAAATCAGGTGAGAAAGGCACTCCAGCAAATGTTACTTAGCCGGTAGGCGACAGAGACTAGAACCAGTTTGGTTGGGCTGCGCTTGGTTCCGGTTCCTACAGTCAATGATAAATGGTGCCTTATGCACTCCAGGCGTGGGCCCGGCTTCGAAAGTGCCTTTTAGGGCAAAGGGCGCTCAAGGCTGTACCATCGACGGGTAAAAAAAAGTTTAGTCTCAATTTGACACAAAACCGAAGGGGACCCCATAAACCCAAAAAATTGTCCCAAATTACAAAAAGCCCGAGTAACTCGTTTGGACGTTTAATTCTTTGTTTCTGCAGTCGACAATAGCCGCTCCCCACCACTGGCTGCTCCCTCCTCAGAACAGAATTTACTTCGCGTTTTCATTAGCTTCCATCTATCAATTCTTCCCCATCGCCAACCTGTCAGAATCATCGATCTGGGTACACCACTTTTATTACAGCCTTTAACAAAACATATTAAAATCGGCCATGGCGTCCCAGTATTCCTCCTCGTGGCAGGAGGTGATCGACAAAAACCAAATTCCACTCTCGAGGAACTTTCTCGTGGGCCTTCATTTGACACATTTATTCAGCACTCGGTTTGCTCCGAATGTCACACATTATACACAGAAGTTCTTCCATCTACAATACTTCATCGAAAGAGAGGGCTCGCAGAATATATACGACATCGGCCTCGACGATGGCTACTACGTGGTGACCTGGGTGGTGTTACTTACCTTCTTCAGATCTGTTCTTATGCAATGGGCCTTCACTCCCTTCGCTAAGCACGTCTGTGATATCCATTCTAAGAAGGCCAAGATGCGGTTTGCCGAACAGAGTTGGACTGTCACCTATTACTGCTTCTCGTTTGCATTTGGCTTATACATCTACCGCCATTCCCCCCACTGGCACAGCCTTGATAACCTATACATAGGCTGGCCACACTATCGTATGCCATCATTATTCAAAAAGTACTACCTTGTGTCCATTGCCTTTTGGTTGCAGCAGATCGTTGTTCTCAACATCGAAAAGAAGCGGAAAGACCATTTCCAAATGTTCAGCCACCACATCATCACCGTCGCATTGGTCTTGGGCTCTTACTATTATTACTATAACAGAATTGGTAACATGATCTTGATGATCATGGATTCTGTCGACATTTTCTTGTCGACTGCTAAAGTTTTGAAATACTCCGGATGGCAGCGCACCTGCGACGCGATGTTCGTTCTTTTCCTCGTTTCTTGGGTTGTGTTACGCCATGGTGTTTATAACTACCTTTACTACCATGCATGGGTGAAGGCTAGAGATTTGATGTTCGACAGTCAGTGCATCCCTGGTCTTGACCAAAAGAGGTGTTGGACTACGACCGTCGTAAATGTTTTCTTGGCACTTCTTGGTGGTTTGCAGATCATTACTTGCCTCTGGATGTTGGCAATCTTGAAGGTTTTAAACAAAGTCATACACGGCGATAGCGCAGATGATGTCAGAAGTGATGAGGATGATTCCGATGTAGAGGTGGAGGAGGAAGAGGCTGATCAGGTCGTGACAGAAACACCAGAAACGACCGACGAAGACGTCTCTGAGAAAGTGGCACAGGACATAAAAATCTCCATCCAGAATTAATCGACATGAATCTATATATTTATATGAACATCACTTCGTCCTACAATGCCAAACTGGAGTAAAGGCAAACAACCATCACCACGAAGCCCCAAACTGAAAGAACTAGACCGAGGTTCTTGAGCGTTTGCTCGAGCTTGCTAGGGTCATCGGATTCCGATCCAATCAATTTGTAGCCGAAAAGACCCGGCAAGATGAAGGAAATAGCTGTGGAACCGGTTGCTCCCACGACTGCTAGAACAAGTGCAAAAGATTTAATGCTCACTGCAGCTGTGTAACCCACTAAAAGCAAGACAACTGTAATTCCGTAAAAGGTGGAGTCGGGGAACGGAACGATATAAGCTTTTGAGCTTGGTATGAGAGGAGCGGTTTCATCACGCTCCTCGGTTGGTTGCAAAAGTGCGTCTTGGTCCTCGGCTGGCTCGTCAGGCTTTCTTCCTAGCACATTGACCAAAACCCAAAAGTAGATGTTGTTGACAGATATCCTAGCTGGATGGATCATCAAGGGGAATGAAAACACCACCATGAAGACGATACAGAATCTTCCCACGGTCGTGGAAAAAGCGCTAGGATACAGCAAGATAATGTTACCATTAACAAGATCGCCAAACGTTAAATAGCCAGCGACGCCAATGATAATGAAGAGCACGGCCAGGATTGCAATAGCAAGGTTCACCAAGGTGCTGAGGGAAGAAAGCGACTTATTCTTAGCCTCGTTTATAATTGAGAACATATTTTGGTGACCAGTGAAGGCAAACACCACAATTGAGAAGGTTGAAAAAACCTTGGTAGCCGAGTCAGGGAAAAGGACAATTTCGCCTTTGTATGACTCTGGAACATCTCCGATCAAGAAGTGAGCGACTACTAGGAGCGCCATATACCCAATGGCAGTAAGTCCGAGTACCGAGGTGTACTTCAAGGAGTCCAAGTTTCGGAGAAACGAAAGTGGGACACATAAAACAGCTGAAACCAATATCCAGAACTGCTTATAATGATCCAGGCTAACAAACGGCACTGAAGTAATGATGGTAGGCATCAAATCACCTATCAAGACCAAATAGGATATAGCACAGCCGAAACATTGGGTTGCAATGGCGATATCAAACACTACACTGAGCGTAGGATAAGTGATGGACCACAAATTAAAGAATGTCGCATGACCAGCAGGAACATATTTTGATACATAAACCTGCAAGAACAAGCCGTAGCCTGATGTAATACCAGCAAGGGCGATAATGAGAACACCAGCGATCAAGCCATCGGTCGAAAATGCAAATGGAATCGATAAAAGGCCTGCTCCTGATATAGTCTTTATAAGACTGACAAGAGAGGAGGTCGGAGATGCTGTTTGGGTGATTTCCACCATTGTGGGTTGCTGAGATGGATACGGTGGAGTAGGTGTGGGTCAAGCCGTAGCGGTATAGTCACGTGCGATCGGCACCTATGCTCACCTCTTCAGGCTCCACACATTCGCGTATCAACGCTTTATTTTTGCAACCAGTTCATGTCGGTGCCGCCTGAGCTTGTGGCACGCGTGTTTCACGACGTTGCATTTCAAAAACCAGATACGAGAATCACAGCTTCCACTGTCGCGCTTTCCACGGAATATATGCGCCTTTTTATCAAAGAAGCCATAGTGAGAGCTAATGATGTGAGACTTGAAGAAGAACCACCAACAGCCATCGATGGCATTGACAATGTCGTTCAGGCAACTCAGTCCCTGCAAAACGTTGATCAGTTTGGTGATACCTCGGTGGAGGAAGAGGATGTGGAATTGCCCGAACAAGAGGAACAGCCGCCAACCTCAAGTGCAAGTACGCTAGATACGCGGCATCTAAGAGCTGTGGCGGGAGTACTTGTTCTTGACTTTTAAACCTCAATTGGCATCACCTGGTCATTCATTCGGTGAATCAGAATGGCGGAGCTCTGCGATGGCCCAGTATTTGAAGCGTAGGCCTCGCCTTGCACTGAACTGCTTCCAGGCTTCCGGGAGTTTTGTCTCCACTTCCACATGAAATGGGATTTTGAGAAATTCAGGTACTGCTTCACCTTCTTCGAGTGAGATTGTGAATGGAATCGAGGCCCAATTGGCACCGTATTCCACTGGGTCTGTGGGGCGGCCTCGTAACACCTGCTGGGCCTGCGCCGCTTTCGTTTTGCAACCCAAAAGGGCAGTGGGAATCGTGTCAATCGTATCAATCTTCTCTTTTTTCCCTCGGATGCTAACATTCGACACCGGTAGCGAGACGTTTATGTCTTCCTCGTTGAGGGATGACGGTACCTTACCGTAAATAGATACAACGACGTTTATGCTTGAAGAAAGGTTATTGATTATGCTGAGTGAGCAGGATATATCGTCCAGGTCATCATCTTTTCCTGTGATATAAGTTGCAGCCAAGTTTGGAAGAATGTCGCCAGCGTAGTTCTTCGCTAGTATTTTGATCAGCTTGATATCGGCCACAGGGGAGACAAGCTCATGTCGGCATTCACCGCAGCTGATACTATGCTTGTAGGCCAACTTTGCTCCCTTGGGCTGTTGGTGGTACTCGGGCACCGCACCCATGATATCTAGAGGGCCATTTTCAGATATGATGGTCTCATGTTTATTGTCTGTGGCCACCTCTTTTATTTTCATGGCAGCAAGTCTTTGCATATGCGATAGACTTACTTTATCTTTCCTCCTTGTTTGATTGTTCAATTGGTACATGGCCGAGTATTTCGCAACCGTCTTCGCATGTTGATCTGGTAGTTCCTTCTTCAAAATCTGCTGTAGCGGCGACGGTCTGGTGATAACCTTCGTTTTATATTCAAAGCTGCAGTGTACGCAATTGAAAAAAAAGCGCTTTCCCCTCCCCTCGTCCCCTACTTCATCACTGCTTCTGACATCAACAGGACTCATACATTCTGGGCACTCAAAGCAGTTTTTCAGACACCGAGTCTGGCCAGCATTCTCGGTATAGTCCACCATGCAACGGATGCAATACTTACTCCGGATCTTGATATTGCTGCATTCATCACACTTTATGGCCTGGCACTGGGGACAGAAGTATAGGGCACCAATGTGACTGGATTGAAAAGACTTAAGATTCTCACCGAGAGATCTCACCGACTCATATCTGCACGAGCAGAAATACCTAGCGGAATCATAAAGCATTCACCGAAAAAAGTCTGTTCCAGATACTTTCGAATCGGACCAGGTGTTGTTGATCTGGGTTTCTATTGATGGTCCGGCACAAAAGCGAAACCAACTCTTTCTCAGAGTCTTCGCAAAAAAACGTCTACTTCATCGACCGCCTCATCCACACAAGTCATGTCGTCACCTCAAAGAGAGGCTTTCAGTGCCCCTTCGTCGATCGCTGCTGCTGCCCATGGTCACATCACCAGCAAGTCTTTGGGTGTCAAGTACAACTGTGCTCAGTGCGGTGCCTCTTTTTCTTTGGGCAAGAGCGATGCCATCAGATGTAAGGAGTGTGGCCACAGAGTCATTTACAAGGCCAGAACTAGAAGAATGGTTCAGTTCGAGGCCCGCTAGCTGATGCTAGCCCAATAGTTCAACAGGGAAAATGTATTATAGCATATAAGAAATCGGATACAGCACATACGCATTTGTAGTTTTGCCGGGAGGTACATCTTTCATCGATTTGTCATGTAAAATTCTACATTATTGCATTGCTTTTGAAGAGCTCCGTTTGTGGTGCATCACATTTATGGCAAAATAGTACAATTAAGCTATATAGTATTAAGGGATGTATGGTTGACATGGAGCGGTAAAAAAAGATCATTCAACATGTTTGAAGTTTGGTACCAATGCGAAAAAAAATAACTAGAAAGATAGCGCCAGCACAAAATCTGCTTACTTGAAGATTTTCTTGAGCTTCGAAAGAATGCCCTTCTTGGTCTTGGTTGCCTGTTGCTGTGCTGCATTAGGAGCCTTCTGTGCCTTCTTGGGGGTCTTCTTCTCTGCCTTCACTGGACCAGCAGGTGGGTTAGATGGACTGGCCACTTCTTGGGCTCTCTCAGCGGCAAGCTGGGCCTGCTTCAGGAGATGAGCCTCCTCGGCCAATCTTCTTGCCTCGGATGGAGATGGTTGGATCTGTTCAACACTGACATCTCCTTCCCACTCCTGGATTCTCTTCTCGACTTGCTTGACGCTTTCACCACCTTGGGCGATGATGATCTCGTCCTCGCTGTCGTATCTGTGGTCGTTGCTCTTTGTTACTGGAGCGGCATCGACTTCCTTTGCGCTGACCTCCTTAGGACCAACCTCTGGTGTCACGGCGGAGCCGCTGCCGAAAACACCAGGCACTTCAGAGCCATCCTTGGAGGCAACAGGAGCATCAACCTTGGGCTCGGCAGCCTTGGAAACGGGAGCAGCCTTCTCCTGAGATACAGGCTGTACTGGAACGGCAGGCTCGGTAGTCTCCTTAGCTGGAGCAGCGCCAGCTCCACGAGAGGCTGCGGTACCACCAACGGCACCAGCAGCGACACCAGCAGCAGCACCAGCTCCCACCACAGCAGCATCGTGCTTCTTGTCTTTGTCCTCAGCCTCCTTGGCTTGTGGATCCTCAGGGAATTCGGTGTTGTCCTCTATGTTCTTTGCGAGTTTGTCACTGTCCAAGGGCTCAACCTTCGATGCACCACCGTCTGTCTTCTTGTCCGCATACACAGCAGTGGCAGGAACAGCAGCAGCACCAGCGGTGGCCAAGTCATCCTTGACGGGGTACAGCTCGATGTTCTCTTTCTGCTTCTCAAGAGCATCGTCAGGTGATGGCTTATCAGCGCCATTCTGAGCAGACTTCTTGTCCTCGTAAACAGCGGTGACGGGAACAGCAGCGGCACCAGCTTGAGTCAAGTCACCCTTGACTGGGTATTCTTCAGTGTTTTCCTTCTGCTTGGAGAGGCCATCCTGAGTAGTTGCCTCGGCTTTCTTGTCTTCTGGAATTACTCCAACAGCAGCACCGCCCACAGCAGCACTGGAGCTACCAGGAGCATCCTCATCCTTGGAGTCAACGTACTCGGAAGAGGTTAAGGTGTCAAGAGTCTTTGTCTTTGTGGCTAAGTTGTCGTCGTCACGAGTTGGAACCTTGTCGACACCAGCAATGCTGCCTGGAATGTTAAGGTGGGCTTGTCTACCAGGGTCCAATGTCTGTGGAGCCTCTGTCTCCTCTGTTTTGGTGGTTGTGCTGGCATCCTCGGAATGAGAGCTAGAGTAGTTGTGGGCAGCTTGACCAGCGGAGGCACCACCAAGGGCGCCGACAAGAGCACCACCAGCACCTGCTGTGGCAGCACCGCCAACTGCACCAAGGATGGTTCCAGTGACTGTAGCCTCAACGGCGTCAGGCTCAGGAGACTTTTCGTACTCAGAGTCCTCAGATTGGTCGTTATCCTGGTCATTGTCTTCACCGGTGGCTTTAGCTCCAACATTGCCTGCGGCAGCTCCACCAGCAGCGGCTCCACCAGCGGCTCCGACAGCAGCACCGCCTGCAGCCTGTTTCTGCTGCTTCTTGCGAAGCTTGTACTGTGTCTTCTTCAACTTCTTCTTCTGCTTCTTCTTCTCCTCAGGGGTCAATTCTTTGGTGAACTTTTCGTCATCCTTTGGTTCATTCAATGTCTTGGGGTCAACGTCTCTGACATTCTCGAAGGCAGCTAAAGCCTCGGTATCCTTAGCTTGTGGAACAAAGATACCTGGCTCGCCCAACGTAGTCTGCTTGCCCTCTGAAGATGGCAAAACAGTAGTCTTGAGGTCCTTATCACCGGCATGAGAGGATGCAGTGGCAGAAGAGCCTTGTGCTACGGCAGCGCCAATACCACCAGCCTCTGGAATTCTAGAGGTAGTACCTTTGTAGTCCTTGGCCTTCACAGGTTCTAAGACATTGTTGGTGTGGCCGGAGGAGTCGCTTGTAGTCTTCTGGTCTTTACTGGTGGTCCATTCTCCGTCGACGACATACTTGTAGAGAACTTCGCCGCTTCTGTCAAGCGGAACATTCAATTCAAAAGAGCCGTCGGTCTGTTTCACCAACGGGTAGGATTTAGACCAGTTATCAAAAGTACCGGTCACGATGACTTCATTTGGACCGCTAGGCCTGTGGCGTTAGTATCATAATAAGTATGGCAATATAGAAGCGCAGAGCATATTGCAATTGATTTTGAAGGGGCAGATATTCAGTATGGTCCATCCCGAATTCTGGGGCTCCTCATCGTCAATTGGTGCAAGTCATCAATTGCCCCCCATTATTTGAGGTGGTGGTAAAAGAATGTAGCTTTGGCATTTAATCTATATTCGCTTTAGATCAATTGCAGTAATTTTGTGCAGAAAACATACCATTTGAAGGTGTAAGAAAAAGACATGTTGATGGATAACTTCGCAAGCACTTGTTGCTACTATTGTAGTACTTTCAACGCTCCGGGCTTGAAAGAGGAAAGAAAAACATTGCCCATACTTTGAGAATTTTGTCCTGCAGGGAGACTGACGGGGCCTTGATGGTCACGTTTCCATCTCTATGTTGAGACGAGAGCAACGCACAGTGAATCGCAGATTGCTAGCAGCTTTTTCCTATTCGAGCGATAGTCCGCACCAAAACAGCGAAACGCTGCATAACACTGCGACCTTCCTTCGGTTCCGCCGTGCAACTTTGCTCTGCAAAACGTGAATGAATAAATTTTCGTCTAAGCCCATTTAATGTAAGGTCTTTTAGGCGCACATCTTTAACCCCTCCGATTTTTTTAGACCTCTTATCCGAGGTCCAGTGACTTATATGTCGCCGAAGATGCTAAGCAATATCGGTAACAATATGAGGGAATGTGTGGCTGCAATGACTACCAAGGATAGCCACATTCTAAAGTAGTACACCTCAAATATCTTGGACCTTGTGAAAGCAAGTACACTGATGCCAATAAATTTGGTGATTGTAATACCGCCAAGCACAGATCCTCCGACCAGACTCAAAGCTTTAAATGCCAGTGAAGCTCTTTTATCCTGTAAAAATTGAGCTTCATTGTTCATGAAGCTGTCGTAAAGTTCGTCTTCTTCTTCTTCGCCGGCTGTCAAATATGCCCGCGCGATATGCACCGTGAATTCCACGGCGAGACCGAGGCATATGATTAAGTTCACCAAACTGACAGCGTTCAATGAAATTGACCATAATGCCATCACACCTCCGATATTGGCAAGAACAATGGTCACTGTCACAACCAAAATTGTTGCTGTGCGGAACAGGCCCAAGAGAAGGGTACTCACAAACCATATAATAGCCGCGGCGATTGCAAGCGTGGTAAATGTGAGTGAAATTATCGTTCGATATTGGACAAAAAACACGTAGAATGGCGAGAAAGCGAAAACGTCGATCTTGCCTCCGATATACTCTTTGACCTCGTTGACGATTCTAATCGAATTTTTGAAGCCCACTATGAAGTCTTTTTGGGACCTCATTGGGGTGTGGCTAGTGCGGAAGTAGCTTGCCTCGACCTTGGTAGAGTTGTACTTAAGCGAATTGGAATACGTCGCTTTTCCTCCCAATGGACATGGATCGCTAGGCTCTGTAATCCATTGTCTGAAGAACTTCATGAACTCTCTACCTTGAGGCAATCCTTCCATAGTACTGTTATAAGGTGGGTTGTGGTCGGTATAGCACGGTTCACACTGACGTTCTGGTGCTGTAGGTGAGCAAAACTCTTCCCCAAAGGCTGACTTTTTGAATCTGCAGCACTGATCAAGAGCTGGATTAAGCCAATTGAGGAAATCGTCCAACCAATTAGAAGCAGGCTCTGCGATAGTTGAGATTTCAGACCTTTTAAACTCTTGTTCCAAGATATTTGCAAGTGAATATTCGTTGCAAGTTGAGAATTTGCCACAAAGTGCCTGCTGTTCCTCTCTATTCGTCACGTCAAGATCTTTAACGACAAAGAAGACCGGCGGTCCTACGTTCAAGTATTTGTAGACGCTCTCGAAATAGTCAACGAGATAGGAGCTCGATGGAAGCGCTATTTTTTGATCAAGACCCAACTCAATACCAGGTAGCAAACACAATGATATACCGAGCCAGACCAAAAACACAGATAGTATTTTTCTTTTGTTTGAAGGCTTGAGTAACCAAGGTGCATAGCTTTTGCGAATGTATGTTGAGAAGTCATACTCGATGTGATCAACAGTAAAGTCTTGCTGGTCGAGTGCAACTTGATGATCAAGCTGTACCCATGGGACGCAATCAACTCGATTGTTCTCAAGTCTGTGTTGATCCAAAGAAAGGAGGGAAATAAAAGCTGTCATTTGCAACAAAAAGTTGATACCGACAGCACCAGCTGAATAGAATGCAAAGTTTCTCACCGCAGGTATTTGAACGCTTGTTGCAAGCAAAAACATCATGACTTGTACGCCAGCACTAATGAAGCAGGACGGGCCTATCTTACCCAAGGCCTGGGATATTCTATCCTCAACATCCACTTCGGGCAACTTTTCTGTGATGCCATGTAATTCATGAACAATTAAAAAGATGTTATCAACACCAATAGCCAAGACTAGGAATGGAATCACTTCAGCAATGATCAAAGTGGATTTCACACCCAAGTAAGCGAACACGCCTGCTGCCGACACCACTGATAGGAGAATGATGATAATGCCACTCAAACCCAATAAAAACCTCGTTCTGATAAGAGCCTTGAGGTTTAAGCTCTTCGGAATTTTGCCACCAAGAGCGAGGGACGCATACAAAAACATCACCAAGTACGAGATTACGACAATCTTGACATCCGTATTGGTTGACTGATTAAGCTCTTCCTCTAGTGAGCTTTCAGTACTGTAGGAGATCTTCAAGTCCGGGCGCTCTGCTTGCAAACCTTTAATCCACTTCTGCAATGAATGTTCATACTCCGTCACTCTCAACTGATAATCTTGACTGCTTGAATTACTCTCGAGAAGAATTGTGACAACAAAAGCCTCTGACTCCAAAACTTCACTCAGAGAAAAAAGAAGCTTTTTGTTCAAGGGTTGCTGAAATGGTGGTAAGCATTCAACAGGGCTCTCAGCGCAGGAAGAAATTTGCTTCTGCCAGTTGTTCTCATTCAAGAATCCGATTTCACCACCGAAATATTGTGGGAAGGACTCAATAGCGCACGCATCGCCCAATGGTTTGAAGCAAAATTCCTCGAGGCCAATCAGCTTATTGTTAGAATCTCTAAGAGTGTAGAGCTCAAGCTCTTTCTCGAACCACCATTGCACATTTTCCCAAGAAAGCACTGCCTTATCCTTCTCTGAACTAGCGATGAAGAGTTGTTCAATTCTATACCATTCGCCAAATGTATCTTCGAAGTATTGTTTGTTGTGTAAAGCGGGCTCGTTAGGACTGACCCATAACTTGACAGGCTCTGTCTCCCATGTCAACCGCGAAAGACCACTGCCACATAAGATTACTAAAAGAATACTTGCAGATATGGTTATCGCAGGGAATTTGGCACAATGGAACCCAATGTTGGTGAAAGACCTCTCAAGCCCGATAACAACACTCTCACGGAACGACTGCCATCTTTGAGACATGAAAGATACAGTCTTATTCTTTGGACTGATGTGGGTGTCAATGATGGGGCTGTCATCATGAGCGTGTGTGTGGTGCTCCTCCCCTCCTATCAATCTGTTCCACTGCTCAATTTGGTGTCGCCTTTGTCTGGCAATGTGAATGTGGTAGACGCCAATTATCAAAATAATTATTATCCAAACCATGATGACAGCAAACGAAAAGCACGGTAAGTGGCCAACGTGGCATTGTCTATCAAGCCTACGAAACCTGGGAAGTTTCGGACAGGACGTAGGACAGTCAGAACAAGCGCATTTGTAGACTTCATCATCACAAGCCTTCATTTCACCGGAGTTGAGCTTCAATCCATTGTCCTCGTTATCAGCCAACTGATACTCAAAGTTGATTTGGAAAGGAGATCCACCTAGAAGCGGTTTCTCGTCTCCCAAGAACTTCAAAAACTGTGAGTAGTTTTTAGCACCGCCACCGATAAGGTCCATAGCGTAGCTATTAGATGCTGAAAACTTGATATTCTTGCAAGAGTCGAAAAAGTCCGAGGCATAGTCCGGGTCAGTAAAGATGGTCAACTCCGAAACAATCTCCTTTTTGGTGTCGATTGCCTCAGTTGTTTCGACAATCTCAACAAATGTGGATTGGTCAGGGGAGCAAGTGAACTTGCAAAAGAAGTCAAAGAAGTTCTTGCGGCAAGCAGGACATGAACTTATCAATGGTTCAGCTTTCTTGAGGTTCAGCTCCAAGTTGATCAATTGGTCATAAGAGCAGCAAACGCCGTCATTTGTGGGAAAGTCACTTCCGCATATCTGAGCCAAAAGGTCCTTGGCTTCGTCAGAAGGTTTCACGGCACGTTGGTTGGAAGGACAGGGAATCAGAGAACCGAAGATCGACTTCTTCCCGCAATTGTCATACATGGAACAATAACCTTCCTGTCTGACTGGCGTCTTGCCCGCAAGACCCAGAACACAGAAAAGTACCAATATTTGGAGAAATATGGTAAAATTCATCGTAGCGATTGGAAGGCGAAATGATCTGATAAGAGTATATGTATACGACTATCGCGAGCGCAAGGTGTAGGTAGTGATCGACTTGCAGATTGAAGCACCCGACTGCAACGTCAACCAATGAGGTGAACTTTCTCGTTATTCTGAAGAGTGCTTAAAAGATTGTGGAGTTGAATACTTTTGTAATGAAATGTCGGCAAGAATTATTTTGCAAAATGTTAGTGTGATAGCAACATTTTGTAGAAATGCAACTGGATGTCCAGATTACTGAGAATCCCTGAATTCTTACTTTTTCGTTGTCCCTTAAGACAGCAAAATATAATTCATCTGTTTGAACAAAGCTCTCGAAGGGTCCAAGATTCTAGACTTACGGACTGCTGTGTTTGTTTGATGAATTTTTATAGGGTGATAGCTGTTCGGACCATCTCTAATGGGTCGCGCTTTAATCTTAATACTCTACGCGTATCACCATGTTCATCGCTGTATCTGGTACCCTTTCAGCGGGCAAATCAGAGGTTGTTAGATACCTTTCCTTTCAAGGATTCACGCTTGTTTCCATAAATGCTAGCCAGGAGAATGGAGCCGTTCAAAATGGCCACAGTGCAGAAAATGGGTCCAATGGGACTACTAAACTGAAGCAGGCATCATCAGACCTGGGGCAAATGATCTTTGGGTCATTTGATTCGCTATTGGACCATGTTACAGAAAACTGGCGCTCCAACTTTGTTCTTTCCCATATCGACGACGTTGAAATGCTCAAGGCTCTCCAAAAGAGACCGTTCTTTCTTCATCTTTCGATAGATGCCCCATTGAACTTGCGATTCCAGAGGCACGAACTCAAAATGGGTACTCAAGCTCTAAGCCGAAGCCTGTTCATAGAGCAGTCCGATGACCTACTTTTCAATGCCTCCAACCCACTAATTGAGATCAACAATCAAGCGCACATCAAAGTCATCAACACCTCCACATCGCTCAAGGACCTATATATCAAGCTAAGCGAACTAGACCTTCTTAATCAAGAACGTCTTCGGCCGACTTGGGACGCTTACTTCATGCGTCTAGCTGATTTGGCTGCATTGAGATCCAACTGTATGAAGCGCAGGGTCGGCTGTGTGATTGTCAAGGATAATAGAGTTGTGGCAACAGGATACAACGGCACACCTCGCCACCTCACTAACTGTAATGAAGGAGGGTGCCCAAGATGTAACAAAGGTCAAGGCAGCGGTGCAGCCTTATCTACATGTTTATGCTTACACGCGGAAGAAAATGCATTACTTGAAGCCGGTAGGGACAGAATTGCCGGCGAGAATTCAATCCTTTACTGCAACACCTGTCCATGTTTGACCTGTTCCATTAAGATCGTGCAAAGCGGCATAAAGCAGGTAGTTTACGCGCAGAGCTACTCCATGGATGAACATTCCCACAAAGTCTTCAATGAGGCTCGTGTTGTTTTAAGACAATACGTCCCGCCCAAGGAGGGAATCTTTGTTTAGGTTTCTTTGAATTCATAAGGGCCATCTTTTTGCTCCGCATTGATGTCAATAGTCTCCAATACCTTATCATCAACACTCAAGGTGGCCTGGACATGATCACCGGGACTCACGAGACCAACGCCTTTAGGAGTACCAGTGAGAATAAGATCACCCTTCTCAAGGGTCATGATAGATGACATAGTGCTCAATATCTTGTGAATAGGGAATATCATCAAATCGGTGAGGTCATCTTGCTTGGTTTCACCATTGATAGCAAGCTGTAAGCGAACCTTGTATGGGTCTGGTATCTGCAGTTTTGGGATGAAGCCTGACACAGGAAGGAAAGTGTCAAAGCCTTTGCCAATTGACCAGGGCAACCCCTTCTTCTTAGCCTCATCCTGAACATTTCTGGCGGTCATATCGATTGTCAATGCATAACCTTCAATTGCATCCAAAGCCTCCTCGTGAGAGAAAGTAGCTGGCAAGTTTTTGAGTGTCTTGTTCAAGGTGAAGGCCAACTCGACCTCGTGGTGAACTTTGGTACCTTTTGGAACCAAGAATGGACCGTTGTTAGGACGCAAAACTGAGGAAGATGGCTTAAGGAAGAAAAATGGCTGCAATGGAGGCATGTTGTTGAGCTCCTTGATATGAGCGGCATAGTTTCTGCCTATACAAAGAATCTTTCTTGCCGAGTCGAGGTACTTAAGCGACATGTCTTGCTGATGATTCAGCTCTGTTGAGGAAATCTCTAAAGGCATATTCGGCACGGCGCTTGTGTGAGGTACTGGTGTGAGTTGAATGGGTTACAATGGCTTCAATCTAGGGATACTGGGGATCAGTAGAAGGGAAAAGTTTTGATAATCGGGATCATGAGAATTTTTGTATTTGAATGATTTTCATCTTCCCGGTTGAAGTCAAGATTCACCCCACATCAGCTCCTCTGCAGGCAGACACCTAGTTCAAGAGCCGATGAACCGCCCAACGAACAGCCATTGGCAGCTCAAATACATTGATGAAATATTGGATGCTCAATTAGCACAAATGGCGCGATTATGATATTACTTCGTTGCTATCGCTCATATTTGGGAGGCCACTGATGCAGACACTTGACTGCGAAAAGTGTATCTCGGCCGGAGTCAATCACAGCAGTCTTAGGAATGCTCAACTGGAGAACCCGACATCCGGTTCAGGAATCTGGTCGGTGACTTACGAATAGTTTGAAATCGTGAATAGAGAAGACTAAAGTGTCCAGAAAAGTCGGCAGGTCAATGGATCCGATCATCGAAAGCATGGGCCTTTTTCAAAACGCTTCCATTGGCTATACCTCTACAGCAGAGAATCACGCCACACTCAAATCCGGTTTACGGGATCTGGGCCGGCTAATCGTCAAAAAATCAAGAAAAGGAAAGGCGCATATTCGAGATATGCGATAAACGGGCAATCAGGCCGTTCAGGGGGTCTTTTACGAATCCCATGAATCACTGGCCATAATTTCACGCTTTCGCGAAGAAAGCCGGCCCGGTATTTCAGAGAGCGAACCAGGTAAGCGTATTTCAAGACATGCCACTGGCTATGGATCCATACAGACCACGCCCCGAGCAATTAAATTGACATATGCACCGCAGATGCACGAGCCCATCAAGCTAGCCGAGAGCGACAATGTAAGCGATGGAAACGAAAAGTATGTAGTTTTTGAAAAAGTTTCACAGCCGGTGGCCTTACGTTCTCAAACTCCCATCACAAAAGCTCCTCTAGCTGGTGGGTCCATGCGGAGGACCAATATAGAAAATAGTACATGATGCGCATGCGTCGACGACGGCGGATGAATGCAGCATCACAAGCTTGAGATTGTAACTAGATTTATCTGATTAACATGCTGAGCGTGCCAAGCAAAGATACATGTCTAGAGGCTAAAATACGGCATCAGGGGGTCAAACCAAAGCGTCCTAGGCGATTTTATCGAAGGACTAGATTATAGGGTGTTATGTGCATCGTCCCCCAGGCGATCGTAATAATACAATGGAGCCCCTCTTGTTGTAGCGATCTTTTGTTTTTGGCGGGATTATGTCAATAATCTGATGCATGGGAAAGAGTTACCGGGTACAAATTAGCCAATGAATGAAGGGTGCCGCGGAACCATGCCGCAAATGGAATGGTGCGGCCAGTGACACAATATGGGCCAACGAGGCTGAAATGGTAATATTTAACCCGCACGGGCTTCCAGCAGCAAGCGACGTTGGTGGTGAGAATCGCTTATTTTGGTGTACCAGAAATGCTCTTTTTTTCTTTCTTCTCCAATTCCATCCCACTAGAAACGTGGGACATGTCACCTAGTTTTGACAGGTGAGATACGGTGTTTTTGACATGCCAAGAATTTCATTAGCGCTGTCATGCACCAATCTCGCATTGTGTCTGGCAGGCGATCAACATCATATCCCTTCCGATATCGGTCAAAGATCGCTTAGAAAAGGATAATGATAATCGCAATTTCAATTACCGACGAACATCGCCGAATTTAAAGGATTGAAATACCACAGCCCCGCCCTCTGACATCATATCAGAGCCTGCTTTTTTGCGCATTTCAGAGAAAGATTCTCAGGAACATCTTCGCGTGCGTCTCTCTCGACTCCCTACCATTGGCTGGCAACCTTCATACGAGACGTTGACATGCTGCTGCAGTGGACCCGATGCAGGCTGAAAAAGCCCCTAGACAGGCACAGGACTGGAAATTGCAGCCGTGGCTTTTGCACGTTTTGAACTAAAGATGGGCTTGAAATCCACAACGGATGCCGGTTCTGCTCCGGTTGCATATATAATCATCTCCTCCCACCGACGCTCTTTTGATTTTTTTTTTCTCTACCCCCATTCCCATTTTTTTAACCTCCTTTCCATACCTCCTCTAAGGTACCACGGCCGAGTTAATTACCGAAGATGGTTGACGTTTTCAACGTACAAATTTTCTTTGTTGTCTTCAGAGAGACCTTGGAAGCTGTTGTGGTTGTCTCTGTGCTTTTGGCTTTCTTGAAGCAAGGCCTTGGCGGCTCCACTGACGACCCTGTCGTCTACAAGAAGCTTAAGCGACAAGTCTGGCTAGGGGCGATTCTAGGAGTCGTAATCTGTTTGATTCTTGGTTGCGCTTTCATTGGTGCTTTCTACTCGTTGGGTAAAGATATCTGGGCCTCCTCCGAAGACTTGTGGGAGGGTATCTTCTGTATCATCGCTACTGTCTTGATTTCTATGATGGGTATTGCCATGTTGCGTATCAACAAGATGAAGGAGAAGTGGAGAGTCAAGTTGGCTCAAGCTCTTGTCAAGAAGGAGAAGAAGGGCCGTTTCAGTCTTGGCCAATGGGCTAAGAAGTACGCTTTGTTCATCTTGCCATTCATCACCTGTTTGAGAGAAGGTTTAGAAGCCATTGTCTTTGTCGGTGGTGTTGGTTTGAGTTCTCCAGCCACATCTTTCCCTATTCCTGTTATCACCGGTTTGATCGCTGGTTGTCTTGTCGGTATCCTCTTGTACTACTGGGGTTCCAACATGTCGTTGCAGATTTTCTTGATCATTTCCACTTGCATCTTGTACCTTATTGCCGCTGGTTTTCTTTCCAGAGGTGTTTGGTTCTTCGAGACCTACGTCTACAACCAGAAGACTGGTGGTGATGCATCCGAGAACGGCAGTGGTCCTGGTACTTACGATATCAGCAAGTCTGTCTGGCACGTGAACTGTTGCAACCCAGAGACTGATAACGGTTGGGATGTGTTCAACTCCCTTTTGGGTTGGCAAAACTCTGCCACTTACGGTTCCGTTATTTCCTACAACATCTACTGGATTGCTGTCATCATCACTCTTGGCTTGATGTTGTACGAGGAGAAGACCGGTCACTTGCCATTCTGCAAGAACTTGACTTTGAGATCTTTGAACCCAATGTACCACATCAAGGGTAAGAAGAAGAATGAGTTGAGCAAGGCCGAGCAGGAGGAGTTGTTCAACAGAGTCAGAAATGAGGGCTTTGAAAACAACGAGGAAGAGTCGAATGAGTCAATCGCCAACAAAGCCGTCGAGGAAGGAGAGAAGGTTACTGCAAACGAGAAAACCACTGCTCTCTAAGCTGTCTACTAGTCTCGTTGCGTGAAGATGCACACACACACATACACACACACGAACATAACGCATGCAACGGGTCGAGGGACAGTCCACAGGCAGAAATTTCGCTTGCTTTTAATTGCTTTTAATATTTTTTTATAGTCGAGCCGTTCTATCTATTTTGTTCTGGGGGTCACAAATGGGTCAATATACAACAGGTAACAACTACATTGTAGCTATCATTAGCAGGCTCACCAGCCTACAATGTCCGATTGATCTGGCAAAAGGTCTTGAATGTTTTTGCTCTCTGACGTTCAAAATACAAAAGAATTTTATCTACTTGCTACTTGGTTGAGGCATTTTGCTCAAGATGAACAGGGGTCGAGAAAACCATTATTTCATTTCTCATATAGACAGAAGACTAAAAACATTACGAAGTGAAGAAGATAAAAGACGCCATTAAACACCATTAGCCACGGCGGCAGAGAAGGCCAAAGACCATGTTCGACTCTGACCGTCATCCAAGTATGCCTTTGTGAAGTCGTCAGACGAGAAGAAGTCGTAGGACTTTTCACCGTCATAAAGGGCTTGGTTAAGACGGAGAATACCCGTCCAGCCAGAGTTGACAGAGCCAATGACACCAGCAAGAACGTCTTCCCATTCTTGCTTGACGTAGTTAGCTCCTCTGATCAAACCAGAAGCTGGAGTAATTGGCAACATGTGGATACCGTGGATGTACTCAGTGTTGTCACCAAAGTAGGTGGCGTAGGCGATCTTGTTGTCGAAAAGAATACCAGAGACCTTGTTAGGAATAATCGAAGCTGGCTGCACGTCGTTGTCGTCGGAGTAGAGCATGTACAAGTTCATGGCTCTGCTCATGATCTTCAAGATCAAGTCACCACGGGCCTCCATGGCATTGTCATCAATGATGTTACCCCACAATTTCATACCGTAGTAGAAGTGGTAGTCCTCAGATGACGACTCCTCGTCCTTACCATCTCCACTGGCAAACAAACCCTTAGCCCAGGAGTGGCCCTGGAACCAGTCGAACAGTCTGAAGACTGGGAAGTAGGTGTCCTTGGTGCTTGGGTTGGCAACATCTCTGATCAAAATGTTGACTTGCTCCTTGTTGTCCTCAGCCCAGGTACCACCAAGCTGCTTGTCAACGTGACCGATGATAGCGGCAGCGTGGATGTGGTAACCGTAGTGGAAGTGGTGGTCGTTGTAGAAACCAGAACCAAAGTCAGCACCAGTGTCACCGTCATTGTTGGCAGTACTGGTAACACCACCAAACTTGGTGTCGTGCATCAATGGGAAGCCCACGTCAGTGTTCTTGAACCAGGTGGAGTAGTACTTCTGCAAGGATTCCAACAATGACTTGGCAGCTTCCTCATCCTTGACAATGTCATTGAGAACGTACAAGATGTAGGCGTACTTGTCGGCAAGCTTACCCATGGAGTAGGTGGACTTGACAGAAAGGATAGTCAGGGGAATGTCCACATTGGAGATTTCCTTAATAGCAGTCTCATGGATGAGCTTAAGCTGATCAGAGGAGTATCTGGCGCTGGTACCCATTCCATCGACCCATGGCAAGAACTGAATCTGGTTGTTGATGGTCTCACTGAAGGAAAGCTCGTCAGTCAAGAAACCAACCATAGTACCCTTAACAGTAGATTCAAGCTGAATACCAGTGCTTTGAGAAGTGACGCTAGCATCCAAGGTCTGCAAGTGGTGAGGAAGAGCAAACACAATTGGCTTGTTGGCAATGGAAGAACCCTTGGTGGTGTAGTCAAACTTGTAGCTGGCAGAGGTACACTGAATGGATCCCTTGATCTGAGCAGTAGTAACGTACAGACCGGCAGATTCGTAGTAGTAGTTGTCTGAAACAGAGTCAGAAGGAGCAAAAGCAGCTTGGATAATAAGACCATCCACGTTCTTGTTGGCAACCAAGTCGCTGCCGTCAATCTCAAGCTTGAAGTCAGAGTCCTTAGAAGGCAAGGTAACAAAGACCAACCATTCGGCACCCAGGTTCAAGGAGACTCTGTACTTAATCACCTTGTCGTTAGAAGAGGCAACGGTTTCCTTAACAATCGACTGGAAGGCGTAGACAGTAGCCAAACGAGCCTTCAAGTCACCGTGGTAGATGGCAGTAGCGAAACCCATACCGTGGACAAGAGGCAATTCAACGTAGTTGTCGCTCTTCACGGAGTCTGGGGAAAGTCTGACGTTGGCGGACATTGGAGTCATGTCAGTCACGCTCAAGTAGTTGTTGCTCTTGGAGTTTCTGGTGGAAGAGAAGATAATCTCTCCAAGCAAGATAGGGTTGTAGTAGTAAGAAGCAGCGCCGTTGTCGTTCTTGTCACCGAAGACACGCTTGTCTGGGTCAGTGTGCTGAACGGCAATACCATACTTGGAGTCCTTGGCCCAGTAGAAACCGTAAGGATAAGTCCAGACCATGCTGCTCTGGTCACCCAAGAACAAGTTGGCGTAGAAGGAGTTGGTACCAATAGGAGAGCTGGTGTCAATTCCGTCAGGAATGTCAAGAGGCAACTCACCGTCCTTGTAGTACTTGGATGGGTTAGCAGTGTCAATTTCCTGGAAAAGATCAGAAACACTGTGACAGGTTGGAACAGAACGAATGGTGAGGTAGTCATCGTTTTCGGAAGCACCAGCCACGTCGGAGCTCGAGGAGACTGTCGATGACTCGCTCAAGGAGGAAGCAAATGAGGAGGAAGCAACGGAACTCAAGATGCTGCTAGACAAAAGCGAGCTGGAAGCCTCACTGCTGAAGTCGCTGCTGAAGTCGCTGCTGAAGTCGCTGCTGGTAGCCTCGCTGCTGTAGAGATCACTTCCGGAAACCACAGCACTGGCAGGGTAGGAGGACGAAGAGTTCGAGTACTTAGGATAGCCAGAGGACTCGGTCTCAAGCACGGCAGCCACGGTGGAGGTGTTCTGAGCACTAGTAAGTGGAGCACTAGACACAGAAGCCTCTTCAGCGCTGAGGGTGGAAGTAACAAAGTAGCTGGAGTGCAAAGGAGCCAGAGACAAGCTAGCTCTAGTGGAGGAAGAGCTGGTGTTGTTGGCGTAGGTGTCCGATGGAAGGCTCTGACCGTAAGTGGAGTCAGTGGCATTGTAAACCAGAGAGACATCCCAGGAAGCACTAAGAGTGATGCTAGAGCTACCGCTAACAGTGGAGGCGGTGATCAAAGGATCAGAACCAGTAGCAGATGGGATACCGTTTGAGGACAGACTCAGCACAGTAATTGGCTGAGTAGTGTTCACAGTGTAGACAATGGTGGAGAAAGTAATCAGGGCAGACTCAATCAAAGACACAGTTTGGCAAACAGTACACTGGTTTCTCTCGGAGGTGGTGGTCAAAGGCTTGTTGCCAATGGAAGCCTTCAGAGAGCTTCTTGACTTCAGCGAACCAGAATTCAGACCAGGAGCAGCAGTGACATGTGGAGTTTCGGTGGTACTCGTGAAAGCACCGACAATACCAGGAGCTGGAGCAAAGCCAGCGTCTTCGGAAGGAATTGGGTCCTCCGGGTTGGCGTAGACAATCACCAAAGGAATACCTGTGGTGTGGTTCTCATCGTTGGTGTACGATTTGAGATGCTGCTGGAAACAGTAAGGAGTGACATAGTTGGTATGTGTGACAGTAACTTGAGGCTCCTCCTCTTCTGGTTGGGCGGAAACAGCCCTCAAGAGGAGTGGCAACTGCCAGACTAAGTTCCGCAATTGCATCTTAAAGAAAGACTTGGGTAAGTTAAACGAAAGTGAAACCGAAAAGGTAAAGAGTGAATTTGATTTAGACTGTTGCGATCTGCGACGGAATCGACTTTATTTATGTCAAGCAGGCGGCTGGCAGTCACCAGCCGCTGTGTAGGGTTCCGATTGTTTTGCAACCTTTGGCTGCAAAACCCTGCTTCGACGCTGGTTCGCGCTGAATCCAGCAAGGTGTGCTTGCACTTAAACCGCATTTTAGCTAATTTTGGTGTCAAATACTGCACACAGTGCCCAACCCGCAGCGGCCCAAGCCGTTGCACTACTCTAGTGCAGCACCACTAAGACTACTGCTGGCTCATTCTGTCTTGACTAAGGTTAGTAGGGTCCATTCCACAAACTCTGCCGAACATTCCAGGGGAACAAAATGGAATGATGTCATTTGCTTCGCCAGCAAATCTTGAAATTAAAACTTCAAAATTTTAAACTTCAACTTTTACCCAACAGTTTTGTTGTTGTCAACACGGTCGCGAGGTTTTCCTGGGCATCACAATTGCCTGATTCCTCGCTAGCGGATGCATATACGCAAAAAGGCCGTTGATGCTCCGAAAGTGCGAAAGCCTCCTCCACAATCTGACTATCTTAGAGATCAACGTTCTCCAACGCCTCGCAAATCCCCAACGGTGATGACGTCGAAAGCCAGCCAGTTTCGTCCATTTCTTAGATTCGGCCCAAGGCTTTTTCTTACGCGACTGGTTGTGAACCAGCTAGGAGTATCATTGGGCGAGCCACCCGCCTATTGTTCTTTGCAGTTCTCGAATGGTGCACTCTTACGAACAAGTCCGATATCTTCGACACAGACCCTGGCAACGCCGTGCGTGGGGAGGCTGTGCTGAGGAGACGATGCTGTTCTGTTAATATTTTTGTGACACTAGAAACAGCGTCTGTAGTGTGTCAAAATTATTTTTTAGATCATTTGGGGCAAGAAATAATATGCCAAATGGCTGGTCAAGATCACCAGGGTATGACGTGAGTACTTGGCCAGGCCAAGCTTTGGGACTGCGCCTGGCAACCGTACGGCAATTTCTCTCGGGTCTTCCATGCTGATCCTGATCTGAACTTCTGTCATCTTCTTCGTCTAGTGCTCCGTAGTTGACTGCAACCTGTGCTTATACGGCTGTGCCATCATCTCACGTCAACCCAACAACTTCACCGATTGGATAGCTAAAAACGGAACAGGCTGAGCGACGAGGTGCTGACTAATTTCATTAGTCAAGGAAGCGAACTTCAGGAAGGTATTGGCTTGAGGGGTCTGATTGGAGGGGACGACAAACATTGGCTCAAATCGGGCAATGGAATCCTCGTAGTATGGAACTTGATAATTCCTTCTCTTCAAGTTTCGAATTAAATTTTTCTTGGATCATATTGGAAGAACGGAAGTCGTTGGATGGTGCTGATCGGGATGCAAAGCGATCCTTCTTCTAGAACGATCTGTTAATCTTGATTCAACAGCATTAAACAACATTACTCGTTCAGCTGAGTTGAAGATTGATTTTTGAATCAATGGACGTTTTTGATTCGTCCTTTGATGAAACTTGATGCTAAATGTCCACAATGTGATTGAGAATACATTTTTCTCAAACTCTGCTGCTTTCATTGACTTTGATAAATTGATTGAGCCAGTCATGAAAGATCTTTTAAGGTCAACTTTGCAAGTCCCATCACACCACATATCAGTGAAACCAGCAGGTATGGTAGAGGGTGGTGGCAGTTAACGCAATGAAATAGTATGGGTGCCGTTTTCTGTCACTGGTTGCCATTTTTGTCAACTTAGTCCACCAGAAGGGAATGCTTCCTTTGAAAAGACCTTCCTGCTTGTCAAGTTCGTCCTCCAGAATTGACCCCTTGTCTTGCAAGGTTATTTCGTTCTCGAGGCAGTCCATCTTCTAGACAGAGAGAGCTTTTGAAAACTAGCTGATGACCACAGAGCTATCTCAGCTGAACGATCCTGTCACAAAATTGCGGTTTTCATAATTATTCCAATCGTTGTATTTGAAACACCCACAGGTCACCATCACCCAACTGTCCTCATTCACTCGAATATGATGTTATGAAGCCACAACATAACCGTTTTCAAGGAGAGTCATCATGAAAAAGAAGTCATTTCAATCATCTGTTGCTAAACTCGTCGTCCACAATTTGTCGTCAATTGTCGGTTAACGAAGGTAACTCTTTGATAGGGCAGGATTGACGAGTGATTGAAGAAAGCCTTGGTTCAATAACATACAATACACATGAATACCAAAAGTCACATTCATTTTCTTGTGAACACAATTCCTGGTGTGATTTTGATTTTAAATTTGCATCTGAATGGCCTTCTCAGGAACATCTCCAAACCAACCTAATCGGCTTCTGCGGAACCCCACCTCAAAGTCTCACCGAGAATAGTCCCTTGATTAGGAGCATTTACAGCAGATTCAGAGCGAGGGTTCTTTCGAAGGCCACATGCGCTCACATTGTTCAAGAGCGTCTCCAAGATAATCAGGGCTCTTGGCTGGTCTAGTTCTCCAGCCGGACTTTAAAGACTAAAAGAGGGTAAGGGAGAAATCAAGAAAAGCATCCATTGACAAAAATACAATGGTTTGTTAAAGTTTTGACGGTAATCCATGTGAAGTTAAAATTTGGTAATGAAATGTCATCGGCGGGAATTGATCCCGCTCAAAGCCCCGAAGTAAAAGTCTATTGTTCAAAGAACGGCGGTGCTCTTGACGGCTTGACAGGAAGCCCTGGCGGTGTACCTGCTACCCCACCCTTGCAGCCTACCACTGACGCTTCCTATATCAAGCCCATTGGCCAAACCCAAATCACAAGCCTCAGGCGGCAACACAGGCACGATTTTTCATGACGGCTGAAGAGAAAAAGAAAAACTTTGTTCTGTGTGAACCCTGCAGAGTTTAAACAATGAGATGAGGCAAGAAATTGTTCACGGCAAGACTCTCGGAAACATGTCACGCCACAAGCATAGACGAGAACGGTCTGAACCAAGAGTGGCTGCGTTCGATGGCATCTCGGCTAAGTGGTGGAAGCGCTTACCGGGCGCTTACTGGGCGCTTACCAGGTAGGGCGGTCTCCACCAGGCGAAGTTCCATGCATCCGTGTCAAAATGTTTTGACGTACTTGACACCCGAGGCAGTGTATACAGCTGGTGGGACCTTGGCGGCCGTAAAAGCACCTTGAGGGCTCATCGGCTTTGAGATCAAGTCCGAGGTCGGCCCATACGCACGGCTGGGTTCCTGAAACTAGTGCATCGTGGCTAAATTGTATAGAAAAAGGAAAAATACCTCAGCAATGGGGAGATCTTGCTTGCTGGGCTGAGTACACGTTTCTGTAGAAGACCTAATGGCATCGCAGTGTGAATAGCGGTGTGTGACGGCATGGCTGCGAAATAGACTGCTGCGCAGGTTAGGCGTTACCAAGACCAAAACGGCGAGTGAGCCTCACGACTGTCTTTTTGTAGAAGAACGAAAAAAAAGTACAGCCGTAGACAATTGAAACTCGTATTGTTTCAAAAAATAAATAGAAATACGCCGTGTAAGCCCTGCTCGCATATCGGCTTGTTTCAGGTGTAATTGCTATCTAAGCGATCTAACTCCACCTACGTGTCGGCTCAGCAACCAAGCAGGTATACCGTTAGAGAATGCGGCGGCTTTGGCAGCCAAGCGTTTTTCCCACTTCTGCGGGTTGGTTTTTTTTTTCGCCGTCGGAGGTTTTTTCGGATTATCTAGATCCTTGTTTTACTCTTTCAATTCTTGGACGTATGGCTCAATTCAAAGCTCTCCACCACTATCGTCTCTTCTCTTTACTCTAGAATATTGTAGTTTCGCGCCAAGCTTTCCCCCTCGGTTCGGCACCCTCAAGTGGTACCCGATCCGCAAAAACGAGCTAAGAATTTTCCCCTGCCACCTCGATGTGCAGAACCGGCAACCAACAATACCCTTTCCGGCCAAGCTTCACACTACTAACTTACGGCGATGGGATTGTGCAGAGGGCAAAGATCCGCCCTAGCGTCAATTTGAGCCAATTACAATCTTACCGACCCAGTATAAGATTCAAGGCGTGCTTAGTAAACGGTTTGTGCGACTGCATATGACCGCCTTTTTTTTCTGTCTATCTAGATTATCTGCGTGAGTCAGTGCGGTAGCAGCCAAAAAGAAACGCCTTTCGGGCTTTGCTTTAGCCGCCATTGCCTTTCGTAAAAGTAGTCAGCGAAAAAAAAAAAGAAATCCACCGCTCAAGGTGCCAATGGGTTCAATTTTTCAATTACTAGCAGCTTAAGAAAAATCAAGAATCCTCCCCTCACCCCGTAATGCTCCGAACGACGGAGGTCTGGCCGCTGTCAGTCTGTATACAGCATATGTCAAGAACCCCAAAATGTTCATTATTATGGTGAAGCAGCAAAGTATGCATCGCCAGGCGCAGGCTCCTGTAGGTAGCCCGCATGAGCGTGCATATGTCATGCACCTAACTTCAGAGAGATTTTACATCCTCTGCTCCGCTCATCCCTTCTTTATCTTTTTGATCGATCAGGCTCAAGGTATAAAGGCAAGTCATTGAGCCCTCCCCTCCGTCAGATCTTTTTTTTTTTTTTTTCATCTCTCATCTGCATCATGGACGCTATCCAAACCAAGAACGTTCACTCCAGTGACGAGTCTAAGAACTTGAGTGACGAGTCCAAGCGCTTGAGCTACGAGGACAAACACTTGAGCGATGAGGACAAGCACTTGAGCGACGAGGACAGAAACTCTGTCGAGAGACATGACACCGTCAAGCTGAAGATCTTCAACTCTACCGCCAAGTCCTTTGGTGTTAGAAAATCTGAGATCTTGTGCGCCCAGTACAAAGGTCCCTTCTGGATCGGTCTTGCCTACTTCACCGTGTTCCTTGTGGCTTACACATACGGTTTGGACGGTACTGTCAGATACGTTTTGCAGACCAATGCCCAGTCTTCCTACTCCCAACACTCGCTTCTTTCTACTGTCAATGTTATCAAGACTGTGGTTGCCGCTGCATCTCAGCCAACCTACGCCAGAATGTCCGATACCTTCGGCCGTATTGAATTGGTGGTTGTCTCCATCCTTTTCTACGCCATTGGTACCGTCATTGCCTCCCAGGCTTTTGATGTTCAGCGTTTCGCTGGTGGCTCTGTGCTTTACCAGATTGGTTACTCCGGTATCATCCTTATGTTGGAGGTCTTCTTGGCCGATTTGTCCAACTTGAACTGGAGATTGTTTGCTTCCTTCGTTCCAGCTTTGCCATTTATCATCAACACCTGGGTTGGTGGTGAGGTCATTGCCGACTTCAACCGTAAGTACTCCTGGAACTTCGGTATTGGTATGTGGGCTTTCATCTTCCCATTGGCATCTGTCCCATTCTTGCTTTGTTTGATCCACATGAGAATCTTGGCTGGTAGCACCCCTGAGTGGATCCAGGTTTGCCAGGAGGAGGAAGACTACCGTATCGAGAACAACAGATTCTACCGTGCTTACGTTGAGAAGTCTGCCAGCTACGCTACCATGCGTTTCTACAAGAGATGGCCCGCTAAGGTTTGGGGCACCACCAAGTGGGTCTGCTGGGAGCTTACTGACTTGTTCTGGATTCTCGATGTTGTTGGTATTCTCTTCATCATTTGTGTCTTCGGTTTCATCTTGGTTCCTTTCACTCTTGCTGGTGGTCAGCAAAGCACTTGGCAAAAGGCCTCTACCATTGTGCCATTGGTCATTGGTGTTGTCCTCATCCCATTCTTTATCATCTGGGAATTGAAGTTTGCCAAGTTCCCAATCATTCCTTTCAAGCTTCTCAGGGACCGTGGTGTCTGGGCATCTCTTATCATTGCCCTGTTGGTCAACCTTATTTGGACTTTGCCAAACGACTACATGTACACTGTCTTGGTTGTTGGTATGAACACTTCTGACAAGGCTGCCAGCAGAATCACCTCCTTGTACTCCTTCGTTTCTGTCATTGTTGGTCCTTTGCTCGGTTTCGTGCTCGTGCTTGTCAGAAGAACCAAGCCTTTCATTGTCTTCGGTTGTGCCACTTGGTTCCTTGCTACCGGTCTTCTTTACCACTACAGGGGTTCCAATGACGGTTTCAACGCCGAGAGAGTCAAGGACGGTATTATTGGTGCTTTCTGTGTTATGGGTTTCGGTGCTGGTTTCTTCACTTACACTACTCAGCTTTCCATCCAAACTTGTACTAACCACGAGTACATGGCTGTTGTCCTTTCCCTTTACTTGGCTACTTACAACATTGGTTCTGCTATCGGAAACAGTATCTCTGGTGCCATCTGGACCCAGCTTATGTACGATACCATTGTTAGCCAGATGCAAAACTTGGGTGTCGACACTTCCATGGCTTCCGATGCATATGCTGACCCTATTGGTTGGTACAAGGAGCACGCATGGGGTTCTGCTCCAAGAAGAGCCGTTGCCATGGCTTACGCTCAGATTCAGAGAAAGATGTGTATTGCTGCCATCTGCTTGTGTGTTCCGTTGTTGGTTTCTGCTCTTCTCTTGAGAAACCACAAGTTGCTCTCTGTCCAGTCTTTGGATGAGGCTGATGGTGATGTTGTTGGTGAGAAGGGTAACAACAACGAGGACAAGGACATCATTGTTGTCAACAACTACGATGACGATCCATTCGTGAAGTTCTTCATGAAGACCCTCCCATCTTTCTTCAAGAGATCTTGAGTGGTTTAACCACAATTTTAGTCATAAACCTTACCTTACGACGTCTTTACGACCTATGTCATCAATTTAATTTTGGATATAATAGATAAACTGTATTACTTAAATCCCTGATTCTGCATCTTCAAACATTTTGAATGTCTTTCGGACATCATTTTTCATTTGAATGGCCATTTCCACCAAATGCGTGTTTGACTTATTGTACATCACACAATTTGCGAACATGAGCATGATATCTCTCTCCAATTCCTTGACAGTCTCGTATGCTTGGACATCCTTCTGCCGTATGGCTTTGAGAATACTTTTGAGGTCTTTAGGCTCGTATATAACCTGTTCGTATTCTCTCGCATTGACTGGAGTCAAGAATGGTGAGGAGAAGCGATGCTCTTCTATAGTTTTGACAAGATTGACTGCAATATTCTGGAAACGCTTGTGTTTTTGACTTGCCGCCAGTGGCGATAGAGAACGCTTTCTGGATTCCTCCTTTATAAGTTCAGATCTCTTCGGAGTTGCCTCGTGTTCCTCTGCAGTGTTTTCATCTTGAGTAGGTTCAGGTGTAGCCACAGCAGGCGAAGGTTCCTTGACCTTGGGAGCCTCATTTTCGTCCTCTTCAGCTTCAGCTTCAGCTTGAGGAGACTTCTCATCTTCTTTACTTTCTTCTTCTTCGACCTTGTCATCCACATGCTCCTGTTCGTACGCCTCTGTCACGGCCTCGGCCTCAGTAGGAGCTTCAGCCTCCTCTGGCTCCTCTGGCTCCTTGACATCATCTCTACCAGCACTTTCTTCTTCTTTATCCTCTGGCTTTTCTGGGGCAGTTGGCGCAGGCTCCTCGGTGGAAGCAGTCGTATCTTCTTGAACCAGTTTTTCTTCGACCTTTGTGGTTTCGTCTTCCTTGACTGGCTCTGTGGGCTTCTCTGGCTCCTTGTTCTGTTCATTTTCGGTTTGAGCTTCGGTAGTGGACTCTGGAACTTGCTCCACCAGTGGAGACTCATCAACTTCCATTTTATCCTCGGCCGGTACCTCAGAGGTGGGGAGTTCCGGCTTGACTTCTGTTTGCGGTGGTTCTGTAGGTTCTTCCATGGCATTCTCATCGGTATTATGATATTTCTCCGTTAGCTGATTGACCTCCAGCGTCAAGGTATCACTATAGCTCAATGCGGTGTTGACTAGGATATTGGAAAGTGTAGTCTGGAACTTATGCGGCGTGGCATCGATTTTGACGGAGTCCTCATGAATATTGAGAATGTGCTGGAAGTCGGATTCGCTTATTATGGTTCGTAGGTTGTCGCTTCCAATCATCTCCAGCTTGTCGTCTAGGTCAAATGTCTTCTGGTAGTCCTTCAAGAGCTTGTTTAGTGTGGACAAAAACTTTGTCAATTCACACTCGACAGTGTCATTTTTGATATGTGACGTGCTCACTATGCTGTTGACCACATGTGCTACCAATATGTGGTGCATTTGGTTTGTTGATATTGAGTCCATGAGTACTAGTTCTTCAGTTTGATGCGCACCTCACTGTGCATTTGAGTCTGATTTGGTTCACATTGAATGTCCAAAGAGGAATAGAATAACATCTCAGATTTTAAAGAGGCAAGAAAACCTCTCATGTTATCAATCTCTAGTCTCGAATAACCGATCTACATCACCGTTTCACGAGTGTAATCTCCATGTCTACATGTTGCATCCGTTTGCTGATATTGTGCTTGCGTTAAATATATACAATTGGCACAAGGCCGAACGTCATTTCTTCATTCAGTCAATGGTCAAGACTAGTTTCTCTGCATGTTTTGCATCAACATAGCGCTGTTTGTTAGTATAATTCTATGGTGGCAATCTTCTCAAGATACATACTTTTGCTCCTGGAATCTCTGGCCGACTCTCTCGGAGTGCTTCAAGAACTTCTCGGAACACTTCTCGATACAGCTAGACTCCTTGGTGGTCAAGTTGGCGGAGGTGAAGTCGTTGACACAGTCATCGAAACATCTAGAGACCAAGTTGGAGTAAAGTCTCATGAAGTCCTTCATTTGCTTCTGCTCCACGACTTTCTGGAACTCTTGCTGTTCTTTGACGTTCAACTGATCCATTATGTTATGTTTTTTTTATAGATATATGGGTAGCTAAAGCAAGAGAGTGATACTCACAGCCAAAAACTTTTCAGGCTCGTGGTGCGCGCACGCTAACCACCCGCTTAGCAACCGCTTTATCAGTATATACAAGAATTTTGCAGCCAATACATAGACATTAACAGGGGCATAATTCGGGCGCTCTTGGAAATGCAGAAACATCCCTGATATTGTCCATGGCTCCAAGGTAAGCAATGAGCCTCTCAAAACCCATGCCAAAACCACCGTGGGGTACTGATCCGTTCAAGGTAGCCGAGAGGTACCATTCCATGTCGGCAGAGTTCATCTTTCTGTTTTTCATTTCAGCGAGAAGCTTATCGTGGTCCAGCTCTCTCATAGATCCTCCCACGAGTTCACCTATCTCCGGCATGATGAGATCAAAACAGGCCACGGTTGGTCTATCTGCGTCATAGACGCTTTCATGAGATTTTGGCATGTAGAATGGCTTCTGCTCTGAAGGATAGTCAGTGACAAATACTGGCGATTGGAAATGGGTACCCGCTAGCCATTTCTCATTTTCGGTCAGGATTGAGTCACCCCACTCCAAACGTCCCTTCAGCCTGCCTTTGCATTTGACTTGATTTATGATTTCAATGGCCTCTGTATAGGTGATAGAAGGCCATTGTTCCAGCAGCAAAACAGTATCCCATCTTTGCTCTACTTTGGCAGCTTCCTCTTTGCTGAATCTGGCTTTAATTAAATCTGAGTACCCCACACCTTCATCCTTTATAGCTTGTGCGGTATAGCGAATCATATCTTCTACCAAAGCCGTGAGTTGTTTTACATGATTCACGTAGGATACTTCAGCCTCTAGCATCCAGAACTCACTGAGGTGTCTATTCGTATTGGAATCTTCAGCACGGAAGCAAGGTGTCAAAGTCCAAACTCTGTTGAGCGAATGTGCAAGAATTTCTAGATGGAGCTGGGTCGAAACCGTTAAATAAGCGGGTTTGCCGAAGAACTCACCAGCACTTTTATTCAACTGTTCGACTTTGAATTGCTCACCAGCACCTTCACAATCAGAAGATGTGATCAACGGAGGAGACACTTTCACGAAGCTGTTTCTGTCAAAGTACTCGATTAATTTTGATTCAACCAAAGATCTAAACCGTAACACGGAGGCCAAGCCAGTCGTTCTGTGTCTCAATGTCGGTAGACTTCTCAAGAATTGTAAGGAATGTGTCTTCTTTTGGATTGGGAAATCGTCGGGAACGTTTCCAACGATAGATAATTTATGATCTGACTCATCGACATCGAATTGGAGCTCGTACTTTTGCTTACCACGAGACTCAATCCACTTTCCGGTAACAGACAAGCTCTGACCAACTTTGAAATGCTGCTTCTCGAGCACAGTATCAGGCTTTGGGAACACCACATTAAGTGTATCTGAGCTCAGACCATCAGAGACATCTATGAAACCCACATTTTTCGATGTTCTTAACGATTTGATGTGTCCATTGACTGTGACAACTGAATTCGTATCTGGAGGATTATTCAAAATCTCCCTAATGGTAGGATTAAGGGATGATAGGTTTGCTTTCAGCTGGACAAACCGAACCAGTCTCAACAAGGTTGAGTTCGGTAGAAGCCTCATCTCTGCTTATTGCACAATGCTTGTAGATTCACAGCTACTATGTTGGCTGCTCATGCAGGTCGAGGATGTAGAACAAGGCTTTTTGAGGAGACTTTTGTAACTTTGGCTTATTTTTTTACTCTGGTGGGTTCATTCGACAACAAGATACTCATATATATGGCTTTTGTCACTTTGGCAGTGTCGCTATTAATTATGAGGTGTGATTCGTAATTTTCCACCAAATGTCAACATGCGCGTCAAAGTTGAAAACTTAGCGGCACCATGAGACACTGATGTTGATACCAACACCCCGAATGTCTTGTAACAAAAATTTGGAGATTAAAAATCTAGCAAAAACAATAACCTGGCACTTTATTGTAAAACCCCTCGCAACATTACATTTGCTTCATTCCCATTAGCGCATTTCGATGCCACAATCAACTCTGCGAAGTTATGGTTGTCTAGGTGCAGAGCCATCAACTACCCGCTAATAACCACATGTATTCCCATCACTCCCATAGCGGTGACTATGTTGAACATGCCTCAGGTTCACTAGAAACCATGATTCACACTGCCAAGGATAAAGGCTTTGTTCAGTTTTGTCTCACAGAACATATGCCTCGGTTGCAAGACCGGTTCTTATACCCAGAAGAGCTCGATAAGGGCATGACAACTACAAGTTTGGACGACAGATTTGATAAATATCTTGAACATGCTGCTGAGATCAAGAAACGAGAAAACGCCCTTGATGGTTTCAAAATTCTCATCGGGCTAGAAGTCGAAGGTATCGATGAGGATCACATCAAAGCAGTGGAGAAGTACAGACCGCTGATAGATATGTGCGTCGGCTCAGTGCACTTTGTTAAAGGTATCCCCATTGATTTCAATGAGGAGAGATGGAGAGAAGCCCGTGAGGCTTGTGGAGGCACTACGAGACAGCTATACAAGGAGTATTACGAGCTACAATACAAAGTCTTGACCATGTTGAAGCCTGACGTGGTGGGTCACATTGACTTAATCAGACTTTTCAGAGTCGACGACTTGGACCCAACTACGGGCAAGACGCTATCTGAAGTGAATCTTGAAAAAGACTGGCCGGATGTGTGGGGGTTAATCAAGCGGAATGTCGAGTTTGTCGTCTCATATGGCGGAATTTTCGAGCTTAACTCAGCTGCTATCCGTAAAGGCTGGGACCTGCCCTATCCCAAAAAAGACGTCGGTTTGTTGATCAAACTGGCAGGCGGAAAGTTCTGTCTTTCCGACGATTCTCACACATATGATCAAGTTGGCAAGAACTACCACAAGGTATGGGAATACGTGAAAACTACACTCCAGCTAGACAGTGTATACTATTTGGATCTCGATTCCAACGGGAAAACAGTGGTTGCGGAGGCGAACGTGGCTAGTTTGTCCTCGTCCCTGTTCTGGGACCAGTACCGATAATACAATTAAATTAGTAAAAAAAACCTATGACACATAACTCCACCCCAAAATCCATGACCTAATTACAGTTAGTAAGATCTGCCAAACATGCAATACGTGACAGCCTTACGTGTGCATCTAACACACAATTGTCCTGGCTTCAAAGGAGGCTGGTGACCGGGGATGCACAACGACTTGGCACCCATGGATGGTGCTCTGTCGTCCACTTCTTCTCCCTCCTCACCAGTTGATGCAGAAGAATCCTTGATATCGTCCTCACACTCAGGGACACCACACCAAGGAGACAAAATGACGTTCTTGTTGTTCAAAGTTGGGACAAAGTCCTTCCATTCCTCGACAATCACACGGTGGTCGTCAAAGTCCTTACGAGCCTTCTCCAACAAGTCCTTTTGGATGATCTCCAAGATTTCAGGAATTCTGGTTTGCAACTCGTCCAACTTCACGTTGAACTTGGCACCCGTATCACGTCTCACGGCAAGAACTTGGCCGGCAGCCTGGTCCTTAGGACCAAACTCGACACGCAATGGGACACCCTTCAACTCCCAGTCGGCGAACTTCCAACCTGGGGAGTAATTGTCTCTGTAGTCACCAGTAACACGAACGTCGGCATCGAACAATTTCTGCTCAATGTCCTTGGCGCCCTTGTTGATGGTCTCACGCTGCTCCTTGGTGGACTTGGTGGTCAAGCCAACAGGAACAACGACAACCTGAGTCTGGGCGACTCTAGGAGGCAACACCAAACCTCTATTGTCAGAATGGGTCATGATCATGACACCAATGACTCTAGTGGACAAGCCCCAGGAGTTCTGGAATGCATTGACACGGGGCTTGTCGGGACCCTCGGGGTTCTCCACGGAGATGTTGAACATCTTGGAGAAGTTGGTTCCCAAGTGGTGAGAGGTGGCACCTTGGATACCTCTACCGGTAGCAGCAATGAAGCCCTCCACGGTGGTGGTGTAGTTGGCACCGGCGAACTTCTCGTTCTCGGTCTTCTTACCCTTGACGACAGGAACAGCCAACAACTCCTCGTAGATACGCTTGTAAAGCTCCAAGATCTGGTCAACTTCCTCGGTGGCGCCTTCCTTGGTCAAGTGGGCGGTGTGACCCTCCTGCCACAAGAACTCTCTGGTTCTCAAGAAAGGCTGTGGGTGCTTGAACTCCCATCTGACCACGGAGTTCCACTGGTTCAATCTCAATGGCAAGTCACGGTGGGAACGGATCCACTTAGCGTAGTAAGGGTACATGACGGTTTCGGAGGTGGGTCTGATGGCAATGTGCTCGTCCAATTCGGACAGACCGGCTCTGGTAACCCAGGCAACCTCGGGAGCAAAGCCCTCAATGTGGTCCTTCTCTCTTTCGAGAACCTTGGAGGAAACGAACATTGGGAAATAGGCGTTCTTGACACCGAGCTTCTTGATGTGGGCGTTGAACCAGTTCTGGATCTCCTCCCAAACAAAGAAGGAGTTGGGTCTCAAGATGTAACAGCCAGAAACATCGTAGTAGTCCAACATCTCACCCTTGGTGACAATCTGGGAGTACCAAGAGGAGAAGTCCTTGGCCTTGTCGACGGTGATACCGATCAACTTGGCATCCTCCAACTTGGCAGCCTCCTTCTCTCTCTTCAAAACCTCCTTTCTAGAAGTAGCAGTAGCCACGGGAGCAGCAGCAGGAGAGGCGGTGGCCTCGGAGAGGAAATCCACCTTGATAATCTCAATTCCAGTGGAGTCGAGGTAAGCGTTGATGTCCTTAGCAGACACACTGACTCTAGCGGACTCGGTGGCCAATTCAAGCTTGACAGAATCCGAAGCATGGGCAATGCCAGCATCCAAAACCAATTTGACCTTACCAGCCAAGTCCTTGTGCAAGTTAGCAATGGAGACTTCCTTAGCGGTGGAGTTGAAAAACTCGGCGATCAATTCGTTGTTGGCCATACGTGGCTCCTTCA